TAACAATTATTTAATTATTTAAATAAAAAATATAAATGTTAATTAATTAAATAATAAAAATGTTTGACTTAAGTATTAGAAAAGATGGGATGGGGGTAAGAGGGGGGGGGTAATTTAAGTAAATAATTTACTTGTATTGAGAAAGTATTTTTTTGATTGAAATCTATAAATTTTCTCAAATCAAGAAAATATTTTCTTGGACAGAGAACATTCTTTCTTGATTTGATACATAAATGATTTTGAATTAATATATTCTGCATTTCTTACATGCTACTTAATTTCTTGATCGAATTCCATATTTTCTTGGATCAAGAATATCTGCGTTCTCTCACAAAATAAATGTTTTCTTCATCTAAATCTTGAATTACTTGAACGAACGTTACAAAAAATTGAATGAATCAAATAAAATAATTCAATTAACTATATATATTCTTAGAACAAGAAAATATTTTATTCATTTAATACATTTCATATTTCGTATAAGAAGATTAACTTCTTGGTCGAATTCCATATTTTCTTGGATCAAGAATATATGTTCTTCTCCCAAATATCCTATGTCAAGAAAATCGTTTTCTTGAATCAATACTTTAATAGTCTTGGCCGTATTCAATCCCACGATTTGCTTCAACCAAGAAAAATTTTCTTGGTTCAATACTTTTTTTTTCAGTGTACTCTCATTTTCTCTCTCCCAACTTCCTCTCTTAACATGTACCCTGGACAGTTTCCACTCACACCCATAACCCATCTCAAATATTTTTCATGCATACTTTCTACTTTTTCCATTTCCATCCATCCCCATACTTCCACGAATATAATGAAATTCTTCGTTGAAATTCAAATATTTTCACAATCTACTTTTTAAAATAAAAGTTCTCAAAAGAATTCAATTATTAAAAAAAATGTAATAAAATTATTACGTTTCAGGAATTCAATTATTTTTAATACAATTTTAAGTAAATTCTTCGAATGAATTCAATTATTTATTTTTAAAAATTCATGCTATAATGCTTTAAATATTCAATTATTATCTAAAATTTTAACTAATATTCATTTTTAAATTAATTTTTATTGCGGAAAATTCTATAAGAATTCAATTATTTAAATACAAAAATAGATAATTTATTGAATAATTGAATATTTCTTAGATTTGAATTCTTATTAAGAACTTTGTCAACATTTTTTAAAATAATTGAATTTTTACGAAAAATTGCATTAAAATTTTTGATAATAATTAAATTCATTCAAGAAATGTAATTGAAAATGAATTGAAAATAATAAGTACAATCTAAGAAATAAATTATATCAAATTTTTTGAAATAATTGAATTTTTGCAACGAATTTTATTATTTATAAAAATAATTGAATTCTTGGGAAGAATTCGATTTATTTATGAAAATGATTAAATTCTTGTGAAGAATTTAAAAAAAATCTTTTCATATAATTGAATTCTGTCGAAAAATGTTATTAAAATTATAAAGTGAAAATAATTGAATTTGCTGATATGAATTTTATAAAAATTTTTTTAAATAGTTGAATTCTTGTAAAGAATTTTATAAAATTCTTTTAAAATAATTGTATTTTTGAGAAAATTTATTATTTATGAAAATAATTGAATTTCTGAGAAGAATTTTATATATTTTTATGAAAGTAATTGAATTCTTGTAACGAATTTTATTAAAATTTTTTAAAATAATTGAAATTTGGAGAAGAATTTAATTATTTTTAAAGATAATTGAATTTTTGAAACGAATTTTATTATTTATAGAAATAATTGAATTCTTGGGAAGAATGTTATTTATTTATGAAAATAATTGAATTCTTGACAAGAGTTTTATTCAAATTTTTGAAAATAATTGAATTCTTGAGAAGAACATTTTTTAATGTTTTTTAAATAGTTGAATTTTTGTGAAGAATTTAAAAAAAATTTTGAAATTAATAATTAATTATATGAAATAAATATTTCCATTCTTGAGAAGAATTTAAAAAAAAATCTTTTTGATGAAATAATTTTTTTCAAAAAATTTTATATGTGTTTTAAATAATTGAATTTCTTTTAAAATTGTATATTATTTATGAAAATACTTCAATTCTTTTAAAAAATTGTATTAAAATAATTAATAATTTAATTAATAATTTCATTAAAATTTTTTCAAAAAACTGAATTCTTTCAAACAATTTTATTAAAATTTTTAAAAATAGTTGCATTTTTTGAGGAATTTATTTAAAATTGTATTAAAAATAATTGAAATCCTGCGGTGAGTTTTAATATTTATGAAAATAATTCAATTCTTGCAGCTATTATTATAGTTAATTTTTAGAAATAATTGAAATTCTCTATGATGAATTTTATTATTCATGAAAATAATTGAATTTTTGTAAAAGAATGTTATTATTTATAAAAATAATTGAATTATTGCAAAGTTTGCTTAGAATTTTATCAAAATTTTTGTTTTTTAAATAATTGAATTCTTTTGAAAAATTTTATTAAAACTGTAGATATTGAAAATCATTGATTTGAGAAAAATTTTTTGAAAATAATTGAAATTTTGCAAAGAATTTTATTAAAATTTTTGAAAATAATTGAAATTTGGAGAAGAATTTAATTATTTTTAAAGATAATTGAATTTTGATAAAATTTTTTTTAAATTTTTGAACATAATTGGATTTTTGCGAAGAATTTTATAACTTTTGAAAATAATTGAATTTCTGCAATTCATTTGTAACTTCTCCAAAATTCAATTTTTTCCAGTTACTTAAATAAAAATCCCTTACTTTTCCCTTACTTCCCTGACCTAATTTACTTTCCCTGACTTTTCCCTGATTTCCCCGAATTCCCTGATTTCCCTGACCTGTGGCAACCCTGAATAAGTTAAAAAAGTATGAGGTAAACGACAAACGGAAATATTTCAAGTTAAAATTTTCAAGTTCAACAGACCAAAAACTGTTCATGGAAATTAAGTAAGCTTTTTTAATTAATTAGTCCACTATTAAGCTATCAAATTCAAATGTAAAATAAAGGGAAAGTTGCAATTAACTGATAAATAATAATGTTTTTCAAATGTGAATTCTATAATTTATACGATTTTTTAGGTCTTGGGTAAGGAGAAAACAAATGAAGGAAAGAAGAATGAGAAAAAACCTTTTCTTAACAGAATCGTCATGGTTTCATGGAAACATAGAACTACCAGAAATTCCGAGTACACATTTATGGGTCCTATAATTGGGAAAAATCGGAAGATAAAACTAAATGGTAATCAAGATTACTTCATTGACCAGTTGAAGACTATAATACTACAGGAATATATTAATGACCAAAATAGGTTACATTTTGAAAATTGTTGCGTGGATTTGGGAATGCAAGATGGGACTATGGTCACGGAATTTAAAGACATCGACGGTATTAATTGTCCTTTCTGGGTATTTTGTAGAAAATTTAGAAAAGACGGACATCCGTTGAACATTGTTTTGTATACAACCTTAATTGCAAAAGAGGAAAAGGTTAATGGACAAACGATGCGAAGTAATAGTTATAGTTTTGTTGATGAAACAAATTTAGAAATTTCTGCGATTGGCTCCTGGAGACATTCTGCCGAATATAGACCTCCACACAAGAAACGAGCAAATTTAGAAGCAAATGATAATCTTTTGTCATCACAATCAGTTGTTTACGGTAGCAACATTGTGCAAGAAACGATAGATGATACGTTAGCTGTCGGAAACTCGAACAATTTAGGGTTCGATCATCACCAAATCTTAAATGTACAAACTAATCCTCGTTTCACGCCAATCAAAACTGTAAATTCTTTGAAATCACCTGCAAATGCAAAAAATGTAAATGTAAGTATTAACTCTCGAAACGATGATGAATTTAACATTTCGTTTCCAAAATTCAATTACAATGTCCTTGAACCACGAAAAAAAAGTTTTGTTACTGAAAAATCGAGAAATGAAAATTTAAATAGTACCCAAATGTCGAAAGTTGAAAGTAGCCTCACGCTGAATCCTCGTTTCACGCCAATCGAAACTGTAAATTCTTCGAAACCACCTGCAAATGCAAAAAATTTTAATGTAAGCATTAACTCTCGAACCGCTCATGAATCTAACAATTCGTTTCCAAAATTCAATCAAAATGTCCTTGAACCACGAAAAAAAAGTTTTGTTACTGAAAAATCGAGAAATGAAAATGTAAATAGTACCCAAATGTCGAAAGTTGAAAGTAGCCTCACGCTGAATCCTCGTTTCACGCCAATCGAAACTGTAAATTCTTCGAAACCACCTGCAAATGCAAAAAATTTTAATGTAAGCATTAACTCTCGAACTGCTCATGAATCTAACAATTCGTTTCCAAAATTCAATCAAAATGTCCTTGAACCACGAAAAAAAAGTTTTGTTACTGAAAAATCGAGAAATGAAAATGTAAATAGTACCCAAATGTCGAAAGTTGAAAGTAGCCTCACGCTGAATTCTCGTTTCACGCCAATCGAAACTGTAAATTCTTCGAAACCACCTGCAAATGCAAAAAATTTTAATGTAAGCATTAACTCTCGAACCGCTCATGAATCTAACAATTTGTTTCCAAAATTCAATCAAAATGTCCTTGAACCACGAAAAAAAAGTTTTGTTACTGAAAAATCGAGAAATGAAAATGTAAATAGTACCCAAATGTCGAAAGTTGAAAGTAGCCTCACGCCGAATCCTCGTTTCACGCCAATCAATACTGTAAATTCTTTGAAATCACCTGCAAATGTAAAAAATTTAAGTATTATAACCATTAACTCTCAAAGCACGAACGTAGAAAGTCCTGGTTATTCGATGTTGACTTGCGAAAAATCTAAAGTAACGAATAATGAAAATAGTTTCAAATTTAAGACGCCGTTAGTAAACAAAATAGTTCATCAAAAACTAATGGAGCTCTCACAGCTCTGCCTGCCTGCGCAGGCAGTAATTGGAGTAAGAGAGAAAATCAATTAGAGTGAAAGAGATAGTAAATTCAAATTTGTATGCTGCCTACTAGCTGTGAGAGCGCCTTAAATAAGTTAGATATATCAGTCAATGTCATTAAAGAGCAAGACTTCTCTTTCTCGAATGTTATTTTGGGTCAAGGTGCTCAAGGAATTGTTGTCAAGGGAAAATATTTGGGGTCTGATGTTGCCATTAAGTCAATACCAATTATTAAGGAAAAAGTAAAATATTTATTAAGAGAAATTGCATTATTGGACAAAATCAGACATCCTAATATTATTTCTGTTATGGCTGTGTGTAGTACTGATACTAAGTGCCATATCATAATGGAATTTTTTAAATCGCATTCTCTCCAGGACATCATATTTAATAAGGATAAGGGAATTAATTTTATAATGGATTTAACAATGAAACGTAAAATTGCATTGCAATTAAGTTACGCAGTTGCTTACCTTCATCTACAACCCCAACCAATAATTCATCGTGACATTAAACCTGCAAACATCTTGATCAATGAACATTCCTTAACCAAACTTTGTGATTTAGGACTAGGGAAAAGTAACAGTTTTTGTGATAGTTTAGATTCGACGTATCATGGTCGTTGGCGTGGCACATTGCCTTACATGGCTCCAGAAATTTTGTTGGACAATGAAAATGCGAACGAAAGTTCAGACATTTGGTCGCTTGCGTGCACCTTCATTGAACTTTTTAGTGAACAGAAAGTATGGAATGTTCATAATGTGAGTGGAATGATAAAAATATTGAATGATAAGGAAACACCAAGGGTTGAATGTATGCCGCAAGATATGCGAGTACTTATTCGTCAATGTTTCAGTTATAATAAGTCAAATCGTCCAACGATAAGAAATTTTCTAAGCTTATTAGAAAAGAAATAAGTTAAAGAGTTTTATGTCTTAAAAACTTTTTATATTATTAATAATTATCGATCAAAAAAGTGAAGACTGATTAAATATAAGGCATATGAGCATGTGTTACATATGTGCAAGTCATTAGTGTCTTAAGTAATACAAATTGACATTAAATGTTTATATAGAAAGTTTGCGAGTGTTTAACGTTTTCGTTCATTTAAAGTTTTAAATAGTTTAAAACAAAGATTTGAAATAGAGATTAAGATTTTTTTTTCACAATTGATGTTTTCAAATAATTACGTTAAAGAGTTTTATGAAAATACGAACGAAAGTTAAGACAGAAAGACTGATTAAATATAAGGCTTCAGTCAAGTTACATATGTGCAAGTCATTATTGTCTTAAGTAATACAAATTGACATTAAATGTTTATATAGAAAGTATGCGAGTGTTTAATGTTTTCGTTAATTTAAAGTTTTAAATAGTTTAAAACAAAAGATTTAAAATAGAGATTAAGATTTTTTTCTTCACAATTGATGTTTTCATATAATTACATTTTGTAATTTGAAAGTTACTAGTATTCGATACAATAAAGTATTACTAAAAAGAGGTTTGTGAAAACATCAAACATTACTGAAATGGTTTTTTATTTTCTAAAAATGTACAATTGTGAACACTAGCATTAAAAGAAAAACTTATAGCGATTGAAAACATTGCAAGTGTTCTGGTTTTTTTGTATGTTACGTACATTTATCGCATTATATTATTGAATGTTTTTAAGCATTACGATCTTCGTAAAAGCAACATTTCAAAGTTACATTTAATTGTTCTCATCATTTCACGACAATAAACAATGTTTATTTAAAATACTTACGACTATTTATTAATATTTTAATGGTACAAAACTTACAATTATTATTGTTATTTAGTAAGAAAAACTTACAATTTTATTTCTTCACTAATGAGGCTAAAGAAAAACTTAAAATTTCGATATCAAATTTTATTGGTGAGGATATCGGAGTATTATATACATTTAAGGAAAGCTGAAATTATTTAATTCCTTTTATCTACAATAAATAAACTGCGGGCTGGAAAATATATGCAACCTTTATAGCCTCGTGAAAATAGTGCAAAAGAACAATTAAATCTCTTAAAATACAAACACTTTTTATTTGTTTTAAATAAATTTAATTTGGTTCTAAAGTAAAAGGTTTATTTGTGTCTAATAAAATTTGTATTCAAAACATATAATTTAATACGTTTTGAGGAAAATGTAGTGCTTTTATTTAAGTGAAATAAATTATATTTGAGTTGAATGAATTTTTTTGTGTACATCTATACAATACATTTGTTTTTATAGTAACAACAATTATTTATTAACCTTTTTTAAAGGCACATTTCAAAATCGAAATTGCTATTTGATATATAAATACCCCATTTTTAATTTACATTATTAGGGTGTTCAGCAAGGATTGAGAAAAAAATTCCCTGACTTCTTCCGAGACTTCCCTGACCGCTGGACACCCTGATTATAATTGTCTTTAGCGTCCGAGTGGTTTCAAGAAGACAAAAGCGAAGACATTCAAACAATAATTATTTAATATTAACCCAAAGTTTCGAAATTCACAGATTTCCTTTTCAGGGAGTTAAATTAGTTGCAATCAGAACTTAAAATTTGTCAAATGAAATAAAAATACCTTTAATATGAAATTAAAAATAAATTTGGAAACGTTGAAGTCAATCATCATTTGAAGCTTCCAACATTTGAATTGCTTTATTAAGATTCAAATATAAAATATAAGCCTCATCAACTGTTGTTGGTCTACGTTGATTTTTTAATAACTCATCTGCTAATTTCTCAAACTCTAATGATACTAAACGCGGTTCCGTAGTGAAATGTTCTTGCAAACGCAGCACATAATCTGAATCCACATCCTTTTTGTAATCTTCGAAAGCAAACTTTTCTGGACATTTGTACAGTAGATTTGGAATGCCACCTGCAACATTTCTGTTCTTTTGCTTTCTTACCAGGTGTTGATTCCATTCTTTAACTGTGATTTGAATTTCTTCTTTAATAAGATCTCCAAAGCAGTACCTCAAACATTCGACTTGCAGAGGATTAGTCACATTTAAAATGTTTTCTCCTTCCATTGCTTTAAATAGAGTAATGTAGAAGTCAATCATGCGCTGCCTAAATTGTCGCCAAAAAGATTCAATTCGTTGATTCCTCGTACTTTTACCTCGAAGGAAACTTTTAATGCCACTATTCTCGTCATCATGTCGATACCTTAATGCCATTTGCAAATTTTCCATTACATTTGCTTCAGTACCATTGTCAGTTCTTGGAAGTGTCGGTACAAAGCCTAACTTTTTAATTTTATTTAGATAATAGAAACCAATTACTTTGGGGTCATTGTTTGTTTTGGAAACTTCGAGCCATATTACTTTCCTGGAGAAACCATCTATGCAATAATACATTGGAAATCCAAATCGCTTCAATTTATCATAATTATCGGCATGCCATATGTAATTGGGACCAGGTGCGTTATAAATTCTCCTCTTCAATTTATATCTTCTACGAGCTTCAACTCCTTCTGGATCTATTATTTTTAATAGATTTCTGACTGTTTCACGTGTCGTACAAAGGTTATAAACATATTTCAGTCTCAACCACATAGACCGGTATCCCAGATTGCAGCCACTACTATCAACCTCCAAAATAATAGCTGTGGCAATATCTTCCATAATTTCTTCGAATTTTTAATAAATCTAAAACAGTAAAATTTTATTTACTTTCTTCGAAGATAATTGAATCTTAAAAAATTATGAGAAATAACAATTTTAAGAGTTAGTTTTTAAAAATATTTTAATGTTATTCTTTAAAAGTAATTGAATTTCCCAGTAAACGAAAACTAATTGAAATGAATTAAAAAGAATTCACAAAGAGCTTTCGTGAATCCCGCTTTGTGACAAATACGAATTGGAGCCATGATGCAATTTTCCTGAATTCGTGAAACTGTATTGAACTTCCGAACCTTCTATCCGTACCAATTCACTGGACAAGTTTTGAGCCTTTAATTTTTTTCAATTCGTTAGCACGAATTCAATGCATTCCTTGGCCATTTCTTTCGAATGCAAATTCGTTTGGACAAATTGGTACATATTGAATTAAATTCAATTGAATATACAAAGAGCTTGAGTGAATCCCGCTTTGTGACAAATACGAATTGGAGCCTACCAAAAATGTTAATTCGTTTCAATTCATTTGAATTAGTTTTTTTTTACTGGGTTCTTAAGAATTTTTGTATAATTTAAAAAAAATTTATTTCTTGAAGAATATTAATTAAAAAATTTGAACATGATTTTTTTCCAAATTATTAAAAATAATTCTAAAATGTTATTTTTTATAGGTATTTAAATTTTCGGAAATGTGTAATTTCAAATACTAAAAATATTGAATTTTTCAAAATTGGAATTCATTTTTAAATTTACATTTGAAATTTTGGATTATTCAATTACTTTCTATATTTGCATTAAAAATTCTTCAAGTTGATTTAAAAAAATTATAGGAACAAAATAATTGAAAAAAATTAATTATTTTCAATTAAATTTTACGAAATTTCAATTATTCAAAAATATATTTATTATAGATGGATTTCAAAAATTTAATTTTATTAAACAATGATTCAAAAATAATTTTTGAAAGATTTGTTTGCAGTTATTCTTCGCACTATAAAAATCGAAATAAGTTGGATTTTATACTAATAAAAATGTGGTATTTCGTTATTACAATATTTGGAAAAGAAGTTGAAAGTCTCAATTTTTTTAAATAAGTTGAAAAAATTTTAATTTTCTTAATTTCCCTAACAGAAAATTTTTTTCCCGTCATTTTTCTAACTTTTCTGACATGTGGCCACTGTCAAACAAATTTTTCAAAACAATTCAATTATTTTAAAAAATTTTGATAAAGTTCTTTACAAGAATTAAATGATTTTCAATGTATTTTTTTTTAAATTGGAAAAAAATTATTGGCCTGGCCAATAATACTCTCGTGCTATTCTATCATAGGTCTTCTCAATACCCAAATGTCCAGCCGATGCTTGGGCATGTCCGTCTTCCATAACTCTCGCTCGATACTCTTCTGGCACAACTAGCTTCCAGCCGTTCTCATCCCCGTTTATCGGCAATAAAAGTGGGTCACTTCTGTGGCGATATAGGTTCTCGTTCTCAACGATCCACCCTGGGAACCTCTGAGGATGCTGGCTCACCAACTCTCGGCGTTTGAGGTACCATTGATCTTCAATGGATCCGAACGCGGCTACTGACTCTTCTTCGTCTTCTTGCAGCCTGGACAATGCATCAGGGACATGATGTTGTGCACCTCGTCTGTGAACTATGTCGAAGTCCCACTGCTGCATTTCCAGGGCCCACCTGGCTAATCGGCCTGTAGGATCTTTTAAGTTCCTGAGACATTTTAGGGCACTGTGATCCGTGATCACATGGAATTTGTACCCTTCAATGTACGGCCAGAACTTCTTGATCGACCACAATAATGACAAACACTCCTTTTCTGTCACACTGTAGTTTCTCTCTGGCTCCGTCAAGACTCGACTGATGTAGACGATTGGATGTTCTCCGTCTTCAAACTCTTGCGTCAGTACGGCTCCAATGGCATAGTTGCTGGCGTCACACTGGATTGTGAACTTCTTCGTGAAGTCAGGTCGGGCTAAGACTGGCGCAGATGTCAGCTTCTTTTTCAGCTGTTCAAAAGCTTCTTGTTGCTCGTCCTCCCACTCCCACGTTCGGCCTTTGTGTAGCCACTTTAACAATGGTATTTTGATTTCGCTGTCGTTTGGAATAAAGCGGGAATACCACCCGACCATGCCTAAGAATCGTCTGAGTTGTCTAGTCTCACGCTCTTCGGCTCTGGATAGTTTCTCACCGGCTCTGTCTTATTCGGGTCTGGCCTCAAACCTTCTCTGTCCAATAAGTAACCCAGATAAGTCACTTCGGAACACCCGAACTCACACTTATCTGGATTCACTATCAGCTTCGCCTTGTTCAATTTCTTGAGGACGAACTCCAACCACTTAGCATGTTCTTCGAAAGTGTCTGTGACTACTATGATGTCGTCCAGATACCCGAAGACATGCGGCTCTACTTTCGGCCCCAGCAATGCGTCGATTAGACGTTGAAACGTCATCGGTGCATTCATGAGTCCAAATGGCATCAGGCGAAACTGCCACAGTCCTGACCCAGGTATGGCAAAAACAGTGTATTTCTTGCTCTCTTCGGCCATTGGTATTTGGTGATATGCCAGCTTGAGATCTACCTTCGACAAATATCTGGCTTTTCGGAGCTTATCCAAAATATAATCAATAGATGGCAGTGGATATCCATCTTTGATCGTAACTTTGTTGACATCTCTATAGTCATTACACTGTCGAAAGTCGTTCTCTCCTCTTCTCGTGATTACTGGCGCACTCCTCCAACGGCTGGCAGATGACTCGATGATCCCTAGTTTGTATAGTTTGGCAGCATTACCTTGGGCCCAAGTTAACATGGCTGGCGACATCCGTCTGATGCCATGTTGTACTGGCGTTTCGTCCGTAACACGTATATGATGTTCCGTCAAGTCTGTCATTCCGTGTTCTTCCGACTCTGGCAATACCCATTTGTCTACTATGGCTTGGATTATGCTCTTCTGCTCATCGTCAAGCGCAGAAATACCGGCACATTTGGCGAATATTAATTGTTCGACCTCTTCTCTCTCTCTTGGCCCAAATTCATGCCATTCTCCTCGAAAAACTCTCCACAGTCCTTCTTTAAGCTTCACTTCCATGTCCCAGGCCTTGCAGAAGTCGATGCCCAAGATGATGTCCTGTGTCAAAGTCTTCATGACTTTTACTGAGAATTTTTGAGCAACTCCATCGACTACAATGTTTAGGTCCAGAAGTCCGGCTGTTTCGGTGATACCTCCTGTTGCACTCCTCACAACTGTACCACACGGCTGAATTCGGCGTTTGAAAGGCTCTGCGACTCTGGTGGTAATTACTGAAATCATAGCACCAGGATCGAAAAGTGTCTCGTAATGATGGTCGCCGATAGTCATGTCGAAGAAGTATCTGTTCTCCGTCCTAGATCCGTTGATGTCCTCCTCATTACTTAGGTTCGGATCAGCTGTGACTCTCACAGCCTCTCCCCTCCCCTGGACTATAGGTACTGGGATCACATCCGTACCTTTTGTCCCACACTCTTCCGCCATTTTCTGTACTTCTTTTTGGTAGAGTGAGTTCTCCTCACTCGACCGCTCTTGACTACTTTCTGGCACGAATTTGAACGCTTTGTCCTCTGTTAGGTCGTCCTTACCTATGGCTGGCTCTAAACTTTTCTTAACTTCTTCTCCTCTCTCTAATTCTAATTCTCGCTCAGTTTTTACCCAACTACAACTAGGCGTGAATCTGTCTCTACACTCGCTATTTATCTCTATTCTACATGGCTCAAAAATCTCGGCTCTCTTCTTTATTATACTCGGCTCACGTAATTCGGCTCTACACCCCTCAACAGTATTATTTACTGTCCAGTTGGGTTTGAGGGGGGTACAGGGCTACTCTGTGCCCCCCACACACCGTTTCCCAAAGCGGCTCTGACTGACACACAATTTGGACAATTTAGAAAATTGCATCCTGACCTCTTACATACCAAACACACTTCTGTTTGGGCTGGCTTCAGAGGACATTGGTTTGAATAATGCCCCTGTTGCTGGCAAGAAAAACAGGTTCTCTGTGGGCAATCTCTGGCTCGATGTCCTGTAGTCTGGCAGTGGACCATTGCTGGCTTCTGGCTTGATGTCGCTGGACTAATGGCCTCGACGCTCTTTTCTTCTAGCTTACTCTTTTCATTCTTACTCTTCTTACTTTTCTTCTTCTTTTTCTTCGGTTTCTCTGTCCTTGTAGAGTGATCGCTCTCACTCGACTCTGACTCCTTTTCTAGTGCTGCCACCTTCTCATTTTTCGCATGTTTCTGGCTACTCTTCTTCTCCTTCATGGCTGCTAACGGGAAACGCATCTTCTCTTTGGGTAGTGGTGGGGCGTATCTTTCGTCTAAGGGTACGGTCCCATGTTGAGCAGAAAACACAATGCAAAGCAGAATTTCGTGAGAGTGGAAAGGATAGTGATATCTGACTATCTCTCTTGCACTCACGAAATTCTGCTTTGCATTCTGTTTTCTGCTCAGCATGGGACTGCACCTTAAGTCTTTGGCCTTCTCGTAGTCTCTCAAAATCTTCTCCATGTGGCTCAACGATTCAAAATGGGCTCGTTCCAGTTGACGACGGTAGGCTGGTGTCAGGCCTTTATAGGCCAGCTTGACCTGTTGTTTCTGGCTCATTGGTCGTCTCATGTGACCCAAGATTAGTCTAAAACTGGTCAGATATGGGGAAATTTTCTCCCCTTTTCCTTGTGTCCTGGCTCGAAGTTCGTCTATGACGTCGTCATCGTCAACTGTTACTAAATACTCATTTTTGAAAGCCCTTTAGAATGACTTCCACGAATTTATTTCGCGACGTAACGACCTAAACCAACTGCTAGCGGTTTTCTGGAGAATAATTGGCAGTGCTTGCAAAATTTCTTGGTCTGAGAAACCTGAGTTGGCTCTGCAATCTTTTAATCTCCCCAGAAATTCTTCGGCATTGTCTTCGTCTCCAAAGAATTTTAGGTCCCAGTCTTTCAGTGTTTTTATCACTTTGGATCTACGGCCTGGTCTGCGTTCTAGGTTTTCCCCACTACTGCTCAACCTCTGACTTAGGTCGCTCTCAACTTCAGACTCACTCGAAGAGTCATCTAAAATTGATCTCCGGCTCTCCCCCACTTTTCTTTCTCTTTTCTTATTCTTGTTCGGTCGGTCACTATTTTTGCTTCTACAACTACATCTACTACTTATACGGACTTCTTCGCTACCACTATACTCAATTTGTCTCTCTACCTTGTCCCTTTTACCCCTACTTCTACTTTCATTGTTTTCGGGATTTAAGGCTGGCTTTCCATTCTCTGGCACTCTACGATGATTGATACTAGAGTCACTCATGCAATTTCGGCTTGAATGGCTCCTCGGGGCGGGTGTAGGCCTCACTCTGTCATCACTTTGGTGATTGTGTGAGGTCTCGGCTAAAAGGGAATTTCTTTGAGAGGATACGAATCTCGATTGCTGGTGGTGAATTAGATGGTGTCCCTCGGCAACCTCGGCCTTACACTGGCTTTGTTGTAGCTCCCACCCCCCTCCCGAATACTGGCGGTCCATTTGTTTGGCATACTGAATCACGAAGGTTCTGGACCACTGGGGCCATTGTGGCCGACTGAATAGTGTGGGGTGATGTCATAGTCGTGCTCGTTGTCATACTCATCTGAGCACTCGTTGTGGTGGGGGGAAAATGTCGTCATGCTCGCTGTTATGACTGGGGGTGGGGGTGTAAAATTTGGGGTGGACACAACGATGGTCGGACTAAGTCTACTTTGCGATGCTCCATTTCTCGTTCTACTTCCCCCACTCCTTAGCGTTTTCCTGGCACTAATACGCTCAATGACTTGACTTGCCCCACTATCTGATTCTTCATCATCCGCAGATGATATTCGGCCGGCTCTCCGACGTGTGACATTTGGAAACGGGCTATTGTTCGGCTCAGAGAACGCTTCCAATAAAAAGATTTTATCAGAATTCCCGAGATCGTACCTGTCACTGAATGGCACGTCACTACCGTCCGTCATGGCTAATCTCATCTCGCCACGCAATAGTCTCTCTCTAAGAACTTGCAACGACCCGCTAATGCATAGTTGGTACCGTAATAGGCTCGTCACTACCTGACCGACCGGCATTTCGCTAATGGTTTCCCACGTTTGGCTCACTTGTGGGTTTTCCATTAGTACTCTCATTCGTCTCTTGTAATCCTCCATCTCGCTAATTGCCTTTGCCATTTCAACAAAAAATTTTAAAGAAAAATTTCTAAGTTAAAAAAATTTTTAAATTTTTAGGGGGGTGCACAATTAGTATATACGGCACTGTGCTGTCTCAAAGCAAGGACGTGACTACTCGAGGAGGGCCCACTTTAGAAATTTTTAATTTTCTGGCGGACTGGTGACTCGACTCTCCCTCTGTCTCTTCTTCTCGTTCTCTCTCTCTCTCTCTGTGTAGCCGCTATTACTACTACAGTGAGTTCCCGCAACCTGACTAAAGTCTCGAATTTTTCCTTGGTGGCTTATTCGGTATATGACCATCCCGTCAAGCGCTCCCCCTCCACCAAGATCCTAGCAATTTCAGGGACGTAGGACGTAGTCCTAGCAAATTTTAACTTTTTTTTGGCTCTAAACAAAATTTTTATGCCGCCTTGTCACTACGAGTAACCACGAAAAACTAGGAGGCTCTTTCGCCACTGAGCTCGCGTCAAAAGTGAAAGTACGGTTGGTCAGGTAGCGAAACCGATTTAAGCCCATTAAGAGTCAGTTGACGAAATTCGTCAGATAGCGAAATATTCATATTGCGGGAACTGACTGTACTACTAGGCCACTCTTTCCTGGCGCGCGTAACTTTCTCTCGGCTGTCGAAATTTTAAATATCCCGCATCGTTTCATCGTTTCGCGTCGTTTCTCTCGACCGTCCGGCGCACTATTTACAGTCACGTGACTAATTCGAATTTTATTTCCGGTCTAACATGTGCTCGGCATAAAATTTTGGGAAAATTTTTGATTTTGCACAAAGTTGTGGGGAATTTTACTCGGATTTTTCTCAAAAAACTGGCTTTCGACAAACAAAAAAAATTTCTTTTTGTTGAATTTAATTTCTATCACGGTAGGAAATTTTTACAGTCTCAAAGAAAATTAAATTTTTAAATTAATGGCAAAGGCACTCTACAATTTTATTTTACACAATTTTTGGCATTAGTAAAATAAATCAACAATAATTTGGCAATGGAAATTTTGAATTTTCTTGACAAGAACAAATAAACTTGTCTGGCTATGGCAAATTTGAAAATTCAAAATTCTGGCAATATAGTCACAACAATAACACAACAAAAAATATTCTGGCAATCAATAAAATTTAGTCGTGTCACGGTTCGAGCTTGGCCCCACGTTGGGCGCCAAATTTTGTGACGTGTGATTTTAAACTAATTTTAATTTAGTGTAAAAGTTCTGCTTTACGTCAGACAAAATCCGACGCTTTCAACAATAAATAATTCAGAAATTTAAGTTAATAAACTTCGCCGTCAGGCGCCAATTAATTTTAAAGATAATTAATAAACTTTACTCGGCTCGACTAACAACAACCTCGACTCCTCTGAATTTGCTCTTTCACCCAAAGGAAATTCTGCTCGAACGATTGGCAAGCAGAAAATACCAACGACGAGACACGACTGGCACAGTACTTCTAAACGACTTACCCACGACGATGACCTCTACGGTTGACTCGGGTACTCGTCTTCCTCCTGGCTCTTGGGCTAGTGTTCCTTGACAAGAATCTCTGGTCCTCAAAAGAAAGGAGAAAAGGGGGCAAGAAAACTAAACTCACAATCACTATTCAATTCTAATTTATTATGAGCTTCTCGCTCCACCTCACAGTTCTCGGCTCTACTCGAAGAACTCACACTTACAAAACTCAACTAAGGATCACTCCAAAAATTTTATAACTCAAAAAAAACACAACTAGAATGAAATTTATTAGCGGCGGAGGACTTTCGTACCGGCGCGGCAATGTCAAATTTCACAATGGCGGCGAAAGTATTGGACACCTGTCGCGTCTACTTTCTCCGCACTTGACTCGTCTTCTTCTTCTCGTTCTCTAGAAAAATAGTACTGGCTCCGCCATCTATCACTTCTGTTGCTAGCTAGCCGCGCGACCCACTTTCGCTCTTACTAGTAGGTCAGCCGCCAGCGCTAGCTTTCTCTAATTACCATCGATTTTGGGCATCTTGGATCGGGACTTTCTCCGACGGAGGGCATGACGATTCAGAATTTTGGCAATATTAAGAACTTGACAATTCACATCGTCACAACACCTGCGGTAAAAAATTTCCAGAAAGGGAAATTTTTACCGAAGGTGTAAACGCTCCCTGAGCTTCACACGAAACTATAAAGGTGTATTTACAATACTTTAAAAATACGTTTGTTTTGTCTGATTCAAAGTAATTGCACATTTTACATATGAATTTTCGATAATTGGCTTTGAATTTAGTGATTTAAAGTAAATTCATATGCAAAATGTGCAATTACTTTGAATCAGACAAAACAAATGTATTTTTAAACTATTGTGGATACACCTTTATAGTTTTGTGTGAAGTCTTTTGACATTTTTTTTGGTAAATTTTTTTTTCTGTCGACCGTCGTACCCTCAGGGTGCGATCCCATGTGAGCAGAATACGTCGACCGAAAGCAGAAAATTATGAGAGTGAAAAGAACAACAATATCTACCTATCTCTTTTCCATTCATGATTTTTTGCTTTCGGTCGACGTATTCTGCTTACATGGGATCGCACCCTCAGGCTGATTCCAGAATAGCTAAAAATCGTCTTGACTTTCAAGACGAAATACATACATTTTTGTTTACTGCGCATCGATATCGAGACGATTTATTTTATTGTGGACTCAACCTTAGGGAGCGTTTACACCTTCGGTAAAAATTTCCCGTTCTGGAAATTTTTATTGAAAGTGTAAATGCTCCCTTAAGGCCAACGCAGAATAGATCTGTAACCGGAACCGCAATCGTAACCGTAAGCGTAAGAATGAGTTAGAGAAGGATAAACAATATACCTATCCTTCTTTAACTCATTCTTACGGTAACGCTTACGATTGCGGTTCCGGTTACAGATCTATTCTGCGTTGGCCTTTACACTCAATATTAGGTTGGTAACACTGGTGTGTGCGCGCTTGCAGGGTTGGGAATATGACATAATGTACCTAAAGGTACTTCTACACTAAAAACGCAACAATACACGTTGCGTTTGTCCACTGAAATCCATACAAACAATAAACGCAATTAACTTAATTTTCTATTCAAAAAAGGGTGATTCTAACCTTATTACATATTTCAAAATGAGGAATATAGGAAATAAAAGTAACAGCAATTTATTAAAAAATTGTAAATCTAATAAAAAAATCGATTTTATATTATAATTCATCTTTCAAAAAGCACATTCCTTGATAGATTATTTTATATGACTATAAATACGATCAAGTATATAAAATAAAATTTACGTCCTAATTCCCGATTTTTTTCCTAATATTATATTTATAATTGATTATTTTTTTTCTATACGAACGTTACGTCTCACAGTTGCTTACGTTCAAATGTTGCATGATATTCCGTGCTGAAAGTAGAAAAATTTTAAATAATTATTTTTTTTTTTAAACCGTAGGAACTTCATTTATGTATAGGAAAAATGGAATTTAAATGTGACTTAATGTACAGTAGGTTTCTATTATACCTTCTTAGTTTGAACGTGTCGCACTCATATGTTTCCATGGGAACATATGAGTGCGACACGTTTATACTAGGAAGGCATTTTTGAAACCTACTGTACACTCAAATGCATATATGTGACCGCGTCTGAGAAAAGGGACCTTATGACCAAAAAAAATTTTTAACTCGGGACTAATTGTATTTCATTTCAAGGACCTTAAAGTGTAAAAAACCATCTAAATCTAAAAATCAATTTTTTAGTCATAAGGTCCCTTTCCCCAGACGCGGTCACATATGCTGTCCTTCCGGTTTGACGGCGTTTTCAAGAGTCGTGACACATCTATCAAAATCTTGTTAGTTCGTGACGTACAAAGACTCAATTACAACACATTCGGGAACACAAAGTATGAGTTAGAAAAGGGTAGATAAATATTTGTATCCTTCTCATCTCATGGATCATATGCGTTGGCCTTAAGTTCGTTCATACGTCACGAACTAACAACCCACGGTAGCCTGGAACCAACTTCAACTCTGAAGTTGCTTCCCTGCCAAAATTCTTCTTGCAACTTGTTCGGGGTATATCACTGAACACTTTCCAAAAAAAATTTCAAAATCCGTCGGGCGCATTATTTTTAATTTCAATGTTAGTGTTTTTAGCGACGAATTTAAAATAACTTGATCAAAAAATTATATAAAAACATAATTTAACAGAAAAATTTTTCCGTAGAATCGAAATATGACATTATTTTAAAATCTTGGCAGCCATATTGGATCCGCCATTTTGAATTTTTGAAAACTAACATCGAATTCGTAGTTAGCGACCCCAAAAACCTCCGAGTAACAAAATTTAGGAGAATTCAATAACATTTTGGCACCTATGGTTGAGAATTGAATTTTATTCACACATGTTTATGGGCAAAAAATTATCAAACTTGAAAGAATGAAATTTTTTTTGTAATTTTTTAAATTAACACCGCCATATTTAATTTTGGTTTAAACGAAATTGCTTTTTCACACCGGAATCGAAAATAGCACTCTTAAAACCTATAAGAAACATACTTTTGATATAAAATATGATTCGTTTTATTCATAAAAGCGTAGGTTGAATTTGTTCAAATTATTTTCATGTTTTGGCGTATTAAGAAAATTCTTCGAGGCAGAACACCATTTTGACGTGTGACAATAAACAAGAAGTTTGCAGCAAAACGATTTTAACTCATGTAAATTTAAAGTTTAATATTTTTATTTTTTAACATAAGGACAGCTATCCAGATATTAAAAGTACACCCTGATGCTTTAATGCCTTCCTTCCGGTTTTGACGCCATTTTAAAAAGTCGTGACATATCTATTAAAATTTAGTTACTTTGTGACGTATGAACGAACTTATACGTTACGAACTAACAACATTTTTACAGACGTATCACGACTTTTTAAAACGCCGTCAAAACCGGAAGGAAGGCATGAAAGCATCAGGGTGTACATAAATATCTGGATGTTAAGCGTTAATGTCTGGCATCTGATTAGAATATCTATAGAAATTACAGTTTAATATTTTCGATTCGACGGACAATTTCCTGTAAGAATTATGTTTTTGTATCTCCCCGAACAAGTTGCAACAGGAATTTTAAAAGGGAAGCAACTTGAGGGTTGAAATTGGGTCCTGGGTACCGTGAACCGGAAGGAAAGCATTTAAGCATCTGAGTGTATTGTTATAGTTTAAAAATATATTAATGTCGATAAAGTAGAAATCTCTATGTATGAATAGATCGACGCACATTGAAAATCGTAAGAGGTAAAATTTACATGAGATAGAAAAAGAAAAAAGCTATTTCTATCCTTTCCTCTCTCATGTAAATATTAAAATTTACGTCTTACGATTTTCAATGTACAGTCGTGCTCAGAAATGCCTTCTCTCAGGGAAGGCACTAATTTGACGCGTTTTGCACACTTTCTATATTTTTTATAGTTCGTGTCAATAATTCTAAAGTCCAACGTACAATAGGTTTGCGAAAGTCGTTCGCGAACGAGACGCATGAGATAGACAAGGACACAAATATATCTCTGTCATTTTCTAACTCATGCTTTGCGTTCGCGAACGACTTTCGCGAACCTATTGTGCTTAGGCCTTAACGGAATTTTGCTTTTGACTGATTTTTTAGACAATATAGAAGGTAGGCAAACTTCGCGAAATTAGTGTCTTCCCTGGCGGAATCGTTTACGTTTTTATTTTCCTTGTCACATTTAAAAAAATAAGAATAGAAAAATACAAAGTAACATTATAATAACAAACTATGTTCGTTTGCTTCTTAGGTACCTTTCTTCGGAGCGAGTATCACATACATATATAAAAATACAAAAAATCACCTTGAAAGTAACACGTGTCGTAATTATCATCAGGCTGAGGTATAAATGGCGGTATTGCCTTTTGTGGTTCGTCCCATGGGAAATCTTTGAAAAGTGGCATTTTTCTAACTTCGGCGGCAGTGGGTCGGTCTTTTTGATCGAGCGTGAGAAATGCATCAATGGCACTGACCACTGATTCCGAGAGTGTTTCGTCATCTTCCGGCCACGAAACGTTCCTGTCGAGAATATTGGCAAACACCGCCTGCGGCGTCTCGTCATTGAACGGAGGTAAACCCGTACAAAATTCATATAAACAGACGCCCAGTGCCCACCAATCAACAGCCGGACCGTGTCCTTTTCTCAAAAGTAATTCCGGTGCCAAATAATCTGGAGTCCCTAAAATTCTCTCGTCGGAACGATTTAAAAATGCCTGTCCACCTCTTCGCACCGACTTTGGTGTTCTGAAATATAAACATTAACTTCTGAATCTGATGGTTTCGAAAATGGTATTTATCATTCTTGTGGTAGAAAATAATGAAACTAGAAGTACAAACCTAAACGGCGTGTAAACGTCCCCACCACTTCTAGCCGGCGTCTTTATCGGTGAAATTCCCTGCGGAGATCTGTGTTCAGCATTCAAACTCTCAATACTCATATCGGGAGCCGAATTCGAAGGAGGTAAATCGAACCTCGTCGCTTTGACAATTCCCTTCTCCTCTTGCATCAACTGTTTCTTCCTGTCGGGCCAGGGTCGATCCTTATTCCCCGACACCGGTGTACTAAAAGCCACTCTACCTCCGGTTGCACCTTCCGAATTACTCTTCCCCCTCGCCTCGTCCCTCAATTTTGATGTCACACTAACCGGCGTTTTATTACAATTAAAAATGTGACCTCGATTCTTCCTCTTGGGCGTGAGATCCCCACCTTCTAATTCCATAAGATTAATTTCCCTCGTGAGTCCCGTACTCGCCGTATGTTGATTCAATCTCTTTCTCTTCGTTCCCCGGACAAATGAATTCACACAACTACTCAACGGACTTATTTGCGACAAGTGATCCCTCTCAGACTCCAAAGTCGATTCCTCCTCATTCTCAGAATGTTTGCTACTAGCTGTCGTTGCTAATGGAGAAATTCGCCTATCCGAAAATGCCTCACAAGTATGATAACTATCCGAACTCACCTCCGTGTATTTTTGTAAATCTTCCGCCGAATGGAAGGGATTAATCCCCGAGACATTAGAACGATCACTGGGCGGTGTTGAAAACACAGAACTCATTGACGTACACATTGATTTCCTCTGAAGTGCCGGTAGTAAATTACATGCAAGATCACTAGCACCGCTGAATTCAAAATTAATCGAATCATTCGCCGTTTTATGTCCCGATCCAAATGAAAGATGTGAAGTTAGCGAGAGCAGTTGTCCTGGTGTTCTTGTACAAAGACTAGGTGTACAATTGACAAGATCCGATATTTCAAGATCACGATGCATTGTCGATATTTTACTGAGACCGAAATCGGTTAATTTTACATGACCCTCTTTTGAGAGGAGCATATTGTCGGGTTTAAGATCACGGTGTACAATTCCATGTGAATGAAGATATTCGAGAGCGAGTGTTACTTCTGCCGTGTAAAATGACGCCATGGATTCTTCCATGTAACCACAGTAGCTTAAGAGACTCTTGAGATCACCGCCAACCATGTATTCCATAACGAGATAAACATTAGTGAGAGTTTGCAGTGAATAGAAAAGTTGAACACAATATGGACTTCGTGTTAGCGCTAGGGCATTACGTTCGGTAACGACTTGCGTGGCCATATTCTTGTGTATCATCTCGATTTTCTTCATTACCTTGATCGCGTAAATCAGTTCTGGATTTGTCTTTTTGTAGCCAAGGAAAACCTTTCCAAATGCACCTCGACTTATTGGCTTCACTATTTTGAAATCCGTTATCTCCGGCACCTGAAAAATTGTATTTTTCATTAGTACTTGTAAATTGAAATGTGTCAACTTAACCTAAAAATCTATTGTGAACCTTTAAATGTAGTGTGAAGTGGGTTGCAAATCGCAGTTTACAGATTAGGTGACGCCGGGGAAAAAAGGCTCGCGAAGCCGCTATGCGCGACCTTTTTTTCCCCTACATAAAATTATGCAATGAAGTATGGTTAGCTTTTATCAACTCTCTGTCAGCGGCCATATATGATTTTAACAGGTGGCGCCTCACTGCCCGCGATGGCAGTTTTCTTTGACAATAACACACGAACTTTTGTCGGAAAAATTAAAAAATTTATTAAAATCATAAAAAAAGAAAAGAACAAAACGTTGTTAGTTCGTGACGCAAGAACGATCTCACACTTCAAGAACTAACAACATTTTGATAAATGTCACTTTTTAAAACGCCATTAAACCGGAAAGAAAGCATTAATGCATTTGAATGTATGTATCGCTTTCTTTCCGGTTTGACGGCATTTTAAAGAGTCGTGACACATCTATCAAAACGTTGTTCGTTCGTGACGTAAGAACGAACTTTTTAAAACACCGTTAATGAATTTTCATTCTTCGCCTTTAAATGGCGAAGAATGAAAGAATTTATGCTAGCATTATGCGCGTTTGGTATAATTTTATACAAAACCGAACGTCTTTGAAGATAATTTTCCATTTCAGCTTATGGCTGATTCATAGTCAAGTATTCTTATATACCCTGAAATTAACCAACAGATTAGCTCAGTCGGATAGATGCCTCGCTTGGCGGACGTTTTAGGACCAAGGGTTCTTGGTTCGCGCCCATTTGGCTTGGTATTTTTCCGGCACGTGAGATAATCTGAGCGAGGAGGTTTGACGTCGAGGTATATTGATGTGCACTGTCGATTATTGTCCAGTACACACCATTAGATTTTTAAAAAAAATGTTGTATATTTTTTTTTATTTTACATGTAAAAATGAACAATTTATGTTGTTAAAAATTTTTTTTTAAACGAACCGTTTTTTAGTTATCAACAATTGAAAAAAATTGCTAATTTAAAAAAAAAAAGTTAGTTGTCCAATTGCGGACAGTTTATCTCAAGATTGACAAATCGGAAACAAAAAATCCAAATTGCTTTTTAAAAAGGAAGGTGTCTTGCATAGAAATCTACCACCATTAATGAAAAATGGACTAAAATAAAAAAATAGCAGATGTTTCAATAATTTTTGTCAAAATACACTATGTTTTTCAGTATTTTTCTAGTCTGCAAAAATGTCTTTTTTAAATTTTTTGACCATCTTCTGGTAAATTCTCACACAGGATATATGTATCGTTAGAGGCCATCCATAAATTACCTAAAATTATTTTGCAAATTGAAACCCCACCACTTTTTTATGTCAGACACTGTTACATACATTCGCACCAATGTTTCTACTGGTCGTAACAAAAAGCTGGACCCCACCATCCCCTTAAAGACTTACTTAATTTGTCAATGACTTTTTACATTAATTGAATATTTTTTGAAAAATTTACTTTTATTTTTTACAATTGGTTATAAATACTTTAGGAGGTGTTTTCTGAAGTCATAAGAAGTTAAAAAATACAATAAAAAAAATAAAATTTTTTTAAATTCTAAAGTGTAGTAGTACCTTAATTTCTGTTTTATATAGTGTTAAAGCTCAGGAAAAGAGCTTTAAAAGGAGACCTTTTTATACTTTTTAACTTTAACAATAAACAAAATACAAAACTTTTTGTAAAATGTTTAATCGCTGTAGGGTGGGCAAAAGTTATTGAGCGGCACTGTATATACCCTGAAATTAATAAGAGGTTATTTTATGAAAGCAAAGTGGCAGAGATACAAAATTTTTCATTAAGAACAATTTTTATTACAAAATAGATACAAAAAAATTTTCGATTTTAAAAATTTCACACAATTCTTTTACAGAAACAAAACAATTTTTGGAATATTTTTCAAATTCCACGAACACAAAATAAGTCACAAAGAAAAGTTTTTGAAACTTTTCAAAAATATAAAAAATACTCTAGTTAAGAATGTCTAAAACTTATTTCTTATTTAAAGCTCTGCCAAAAATACGAAATTCCTTCGAACCAAGATTTTTGAAAATCAACTTAACAACATCGGACGATAATTTTCGATTCTTGGAAAAATAATCGTAGGTTTGATTGACAAATTTTTTTAAAGCCTTCGCCCGTTGGAAACGACACTCCAACATAATGTTAAAACACGGAAATTCCGTTTTATAATCACCGGCATTTAAAATCTTGACAACCCGTCCATTCTTGATACTCTGGACTGTATTATAAAAATCGGAAGTTAAAAACTCGTAGAAAGTAATACTGGTCGTTTTTAAAATTCTCATAGATCGTAATTTTTCCATTTCGACTTTAGCCTTTTCGAAATAATTAAAAGCTTTTTTCACATTCGAATTGTCGTGTTTAATGTACGACTGTAAATAATCAGTCAAATCTTTTCCCTTCAGGGCAATGTAAGAAATCAAAAATTGATGATTATCGTGAAAACGAAACACACCGTAACTGTTAAAATAACTCTCGCTAATTTCAAATAAATACTCAATATTCGCTCCCAATTCTAATAAACATTCAATAACAGGAGGCTCAACATCGCTAACGGCAGTTTTCAATATACTTCCGCTAAATCTTTCCTTCGCATTAACATTCGCTCCGTGATCGACAAGATACTCTATTGTCTCCAAACATGGGGTGAGATTCTCCTTGTAGGTAATCGCACTCATCAAAGGTGTTTTGCCATCCTCTCTCGCGACATCAATTTTCAAACCCTTCTTCACGAGGAATTCGCACATCTTCATTGAATGACCTTTAGCGGCATGATGGAGTGCCGTATTACCATCCATATCGACCCCCTCCAAATAGACATCATACTTGAGTAGTAATTTCACTTCCCTAAAACGTCCCATTTGACAAGCCTCATGAAATGCCGATGCACCATTCTCACCGCGATTATCTGGATGCGCGCCATTCTTGAGCATCAGAGTCATTATTTGTGGATTAAACGTCGGCTGAACATCGATATCTTTACCGAGACGATCCGTGTACTCGTCAAAGAATTCGTCGTAATAGTAACTTTCGGTTGATTTTAAAAGTACTTTGGTCGTACTCGGTCCACAGACGTGATAAAGAGGATTACCCTGACAGCAATAGTTGCAATTAACAAAAGCATTGTAGGCGAGGAGTAAATGACAGAGATTGATATTTTCCAAACAAGCCGCGTAATGCAGGGGTGTTAGTTTCTCGCAGGTCTTTGCATTCACATCGGCACCATGTTCAAGGAGAAATTTAACAGCTAATGTAATTTCCGCCCTCACCGCATAATGTAGAGCGGTTCTATCGAAGTAACCCTGGAAATTGATATCTTCTGGTGAATGCGGTTTGTAACGGACATTACAACCGCCTTCCGAGTAGTAATCCGAATTCGCCTTTCTTGTATTCGAACGCTCCAATTTCCTCTCCTCTGGCGTCATTGACTTTAGAAACTTTCGACAATCACGTAAAATTACATCCAAAATACTACCGCATTGAATTCTCGAAGCAAAAAACATCAACAGGGGATAATCGTTTTTATTCAACTTAAATAATTCCTTGTTCTTCAGAAGTGTCTTAATTACTCCGATTGTAGTTTCTAAATTCTCCACTGTTTCCGAATCTTCGGGATCCGAACTCACTTCCGGATCTTCACTCTCCTCGTCTGAAACATCTTCATAATCCGACGAATTCTCACAATCTGATGACATCATCATTGAATCATCTTCTGAAGCAGATTCCTCCATTGACTCGTCATCTTCCTCTTTTTTCGCACTTTCCAATTTTTCTCCATTCTCGACGCCTTCTTCCTTCTTCGACGATTTCTCCCCATTTTCAACAGTGGAGAGAAGAATTTTTTTCACAATTAAACGAAGAGTTGCCTCGGAACCGTGAAGTAATGCGAGATGAAGTGGCGTGACATTTTGAGATGAGATGATATTTAAATTAGAACCATGTTCAATGAGCGTTTTAACTAGTCCAATATCATGATTTTTTATCGCATAAAAAATTGGTGTCTCGCCATTTTTATTTCTTAGATTAACTTTAGCGCCGGATTCGCATAATAATTTGACATCATCCACTGTACCTCGTTGAGCAACGACGTGTAAAAATGTTGTACAATCGGAATGAAATTGTATCTGAAGAATTCCCTCCTCTTGTTTTATTAACGAAGAAATGAGATTTTTATCTTTATCATCGACTGCTTTGGAAAATTTCACGAAACGCTCATCAAGAACTTCAACTTTTTCCTCGTCATCACTATAATCGCTTTCCGTTTGTGACATTTTGAAATTTTTTCACTCTGCAAGAAAAATATAATAATTACCAAAAATATTTCAAATCTTAACGTTTTTATTAAATTTTATTTAAATTTTTATTGAATTTTATTTAACTCTATACTAAATTTTACTTAACATTTTACTAAATTTAATTTAACTTTTTATTGAATTTTATTTTACATTTTATTACATTTTATTTAAAATTTTACTGACTTTAATTTAACATTTGACTAAAGAAATAAATAAGTTTTACTTATTTATAGAAACCAATTTAAAATTAGCGAAAGTAGAAACGAATTTTTTTCTATAGAAAAAACGAAATGTAAAAAATAGCAATATTTTGAGATTAGAATCACTTTTTCAGAAAAAAAATTCAGTTACAGGATTGCCACAGGTCAGGGAAATCAGGAAAATGTCAGGGAATTTTATTAAAAGTACTGAAAAAAATTGAATTTTTATAATCAGGGCTCGAACCAGTGAAAGTATTTAAAAATACGGACTTTACGGACCAAAAATGAAAAATTACGGACCATTTACGGACCAACTACTGGCAAAAATATATAAGAGAACATTTTACTTAAAACTATAAATTAGATTTTTTCATAACTAATAAACATGAAGATATCGATAACTCCGAGTCTTCGACTCGGAGCGATCGATTACTTCATGTTTTATAATAAATTAAAGATAGAGTGATAAAATCATTATCATTTCAATTATTATTTTCAAGAATTTTTAACTAAAATTCTTCTTAAAATCGATTATTTTTAATAATTTTCGAAAATGTTTTTTGACAATTTTCAAATCCATTTCTTTACAATATTCAATTTTACGAATTTTCAATTATTTGTAAATTCTTCAATTAAATATGTATTAGAAAATAAAAACTTCAAATAATATAAAAAAAAATTCGCAATTAAAATTTCTCAAAAAATTAATTCCACAGAATTGTTACTCAGTTAAAAATATGAAAAATTCAAATTTTCAAAGATTTGAATCTGAAACCTTTTCAAAATTTAATTATTTCTAAAACTTTACGCTCTAATACTTTTAATATTCAATTATAATCTAAAATTTTAACGGAAATCCATTTTTAAATCAATTTTTATGAGAAAATTCTACGAGAATTTCATTATTTAAAAACAAAAAAAAACAATTTATTGAATAATTACATATGAATTATTACATTGAATTCTTTTAAAAAATTGTATCAATCAATTTTAAAATAATTTGAATTCTTTTGCAAAATTTTATTAAAATAGATATTAAAAATAATTAAATTAGGCAAAACTTTTGAAAATAATTGAAATTTTGCCAAGAATTTTATTAAAAGTTTTTTGAAAATAATTGAATTTTGAAGAAGAATTTTATTATTTATAAAGAAAATTGATAATTTACGCAAAGAATTGCATTAAAAATTTTGAATGCAATAATTTTATTCTTTAAAGAAATTTAATTAAAAATTTATTAAAAATAATATTTAAATTCTAATAAATAAATTGAATTAGAGGTTATTAAAATAATGAAATTTCTTTGATAAATTTTAATAAAATTTTTAAGAATAATTATTATTATTTAATAATTATTATTTATCAAAATAATTGAATTCCTAATAAGAATTTTATTATTTGCCAAAAAAATTAAATACCTGTAAAAATTTTATTATTTATGAAAATAATTGAATATTGCGAAGAAATTTATTAAAAAATTTGTAATTAATGAATTTCCTGTAAAATTTTTATTATTTTTTGAAAATAATTAAAAGTTTGTGTAGAATTTTATTAATTTTTTTTAAATAATTGAATTCTTTTGGAAAATTTTACTAGAATAGTATAGATACCTATTAAAAATAATTGAATTGAGGAAAAATTTTGAAAATAATTGAAATTTTTCCAAGAATTTTATTAAAATTTTTGAAAATAATTGATATTTTGGAGAAGAATTTAATTACTTCTAAAGATAATTGAAATTTTGACGAGAATTTTTAAAAAATTTTAAACATAATTGAATTTTTGCGAAGAATTTTATTGCTTTTGAAAATAATTAAATTCCTTCAATCATTTGTAATTTCTCTAAAATTATCCAAATTATATCGTATAATTTACGTACTTTACGGACCTTTTTCAATCAAATTACGGACTTTACGGACCTTTTTTCAAAAAAACGGACTTTTACGGACTTCAAGCAAAGTTACGGACTTTTACGGGATTTACGGACTTAGTTCGAGCCCTGTATAATTCATAAAAAACTTTTGTATTATGTGTATTTTTTGTTTGATTTGTAAACTATGAAATTATCACGAATTCTAATAGAAAACATTACATTTTTCTCTATTTCTGACAATAATTTCTTTTAAATAATTTAATTATTGAAGAACAATCATAAAATTACTACTTATATAAATTATTTAATAAATAATTTTACTTAAATATTTCAAAATTAATTGAATTTTAGAAGATCACGTTTATAATTTTCATAAATAGATGAACTTCCAAAAGTTTTAAATTGATATTTTATAAAATTTCAATTTTGAAAGAATTTGATTAGAAATTTTTAAAAACTTAGATGTTTGAAAAATTTTAATAATTTAAATTCTTCTGAAATTGGTTAAATTTTTTAATATTAATTAATTCATTAATAAAAAGAATGGATTAATAGAAGATTGCAGAAATTCAATTATTTTCAAAAATTTTAATTATTGGAAAAATTTCAAATATTTTCAAAAATTTTCCTGAATTAAATGATTTTTAATATTTATTGTTTTAATAAAATTTTCTAAAAGAAATTATAATAAAATTCTACGCAAACATTAAATTATATTTATAAATAACAAAAATTTCACAATAATTCAATTATTTACAAAATTTTTATAAATTTCATAGCAATATCTCAATTATTTTCATAAGTAAAAAATTTCTTAGGAGGAATTTAATTATTTTCAATAAAATTATATTAAAATTTCTAGAAAAAGTTCATTTATTTTGAAAAATTTTAATACGACTCTTTCTAGGAATTCATTTCTAAAAATTTTGCTAAAACTTTGCTATTACAATTAAATTATTTTCAATACATTTTTTAATTAAATTTCTTGAAAGAATTTAATTACTTTCTAAAATTTTAATGAAATTCTTCTCCGAAAGTCAAATATTTTCAAAAACTTTAATAAAATTATTGGCAAAATTTCAATTATTTTCAAAAAGTTTCCTCAACATAATGATTTTCAATATCTACTAATTTAATACAAATTTTCAAAAGAATTCAATTATTTGAAAAAAAATTTAACAAAATTCTACGCAAACATTTAATTATTTTCATAAATAATAATAACTTCACAGGAATTCAATTATTTACAAATTTTTTATAAATTTATTCGCAATAATTCAATTATTTTCATAAATAATAAAATTTTGTACAGAGATTCAATTATATTCATAAATAACAAAACTCATCGCAGAATTTCAATTATTTTTAATATACAATTTTAATAAAACTCCTCGAAAAATGTCAATATTCTTAAATTTTTTTTTAAATTCGTCGAAAGAATTCAATTATTTAAAAATTTGATAAAATTCTTTATGAGTATTCAATTTTAAGAAACATTCAAGTATTCAATAAATATTATTTATTTTTCTATTTAAATGAATGAATTTTGAAAAGATTTCAAATTAAAATCTTTGAAAATGAGAATTTTACATACTTTTAATTAACAATTCTGAAGAATTAATTTTTTTGAAAAAATTTAATTGAATTTTTTTTTAAATTTATCGAAACTTTTCTTTTCTAATATAAATTTAATTGAAGAATTTAATTAGGGTCAGGGGAAGAGCCAAAATTTGACTGGAAATGAGGGAAAAACAAAATTAATTTTTTGTGGCAACCCTGTTTTAATATAACGTTTAAGAAACTAAAATTAATAATGAAATTAATTCCTCGATAATTTTACTAATATTTCTAAAAAAAATAAATTGGAAATTAATTTTGAGGTTAGAATATCAAAAATCGAATGTAAATGATTTAAATTAAAAGAACTATTCAAGTAATAATTAAATTCTTTCTACCTATACAGAAAAAAAAAATAAAAATTACGAACAATTTTGAGGTTAGAATCATTTGTTAAAAGAAAAATTCATTTTTTAAATAACATTTTTGAAAAATTAAAAATTTTGCTATAAACAGAAGTTTTTGATTTATCACGATAATTTGGAAAATAAACGATGCAGAAAAACTTGCACGGTAAAATAGTATGAGAAAAATATTTCATTTTTTGCACTTAAATGTAGATTTACAAAGAATTTAACAACAAAATATACGTACGGAATTAAAAGATGTGTGTCGATGATATTCTATATTCCAGTGTAGCACAATTTAATTAAAACTGCAAAAGGATGCAAGCAGATGAAAAAAGAAGACAGAGGGAACAGAAAAATGTGCCAATTTTGTTGTAACGCTACTTACATTTTTGTTCAAAAACAACAAGTAAAGACAAGAAACCGGAAATCCCGAAAATCACAATCTTCCTTTTAAATTTTAAATATCGACCGAATACATGTAAATTCGCCTTCATGAAAATTCCCCTGCAGTATAAAGTGGCGCGCTTTTTTAAAAATGAAATCTTCAACAGTAAATATTTTTACATAATTATAATCATCATTAATCAATTAAATAAATATTAAACAAGTAAACAAATGTTAAATAAATACTACAAAATTAATATAAATAAATAATAAATAGATACCTATTAAAAAAACAATATAAATAAATATTTAATTAATATTCAAAATTAAAATAATTAAATAAATATTAAATAAAAAAATAATTAAAACAATAAATTATTTGATAATAAAATTAAAAATATTCACTATGGAACAATGAATATTTCTAAAAAAAATTTTGACGAAATTTCATCAGTAGAATAAATTGTCTTTCACTATTATTTAAATTTAATTTCTTTTTATTAAAAACACAACTGTATTTAATTTATTGTTATAATTTTGAAAAATAATAAAAAACTTGCGAAATGAACTTTAATAAAATTTTTTTAAATTTATAAATTTTTTCGATGAATTTTATTAAAAATGTATTGAAAATAATTGAATTCCAGTGAAGAATTTTAGTTTTCATGAAAGTAATTGAATTTTTTCGATTAATTTTATTAAAATTAGATCGTAAATAATTGAATTATTATAAAAAAATGTTATTCAATTTTTGAAAATAATTGATTTATTGCGAAATGAATTTTATAAAAGGTATTGAAAAAAAATTCAATTCTTTTAAGAAATTTTTTTAAAATTAAATTGGAAATAATTGATTTTTTTTTTAAAAATTTTATTAAATTTCTATTAGTATTTAAAAGAATTGAATTCCTGCAAAGAATTTTATCGAAATTGTATTCAAAGTAATTAAATATTCATGTAAAAGATTTTTTGAATTTTTAAAAAATAATTGAATTCCTTTCAAAATTTTTATTAAAATTAAATTGAGAATAATTCAATTTATACCATGAATTTTATTATTTGGGTGATTCTCCGCGTAGCGCACGATTTGGATTTTGGTAATTTATGTAAATTTTCGCGGTAATTTATGGAAATTTATAAGGTAATTTATGTCAATTTGTAAGGTAATTTAAAGAAATTTTTCGGTAATTTTTAAAAATATGCAAAGTAGAAATCACAATTAAAAATTTTTATTTCGGAAATATATGGAAATTTTTGCGGTTATTTATAAAAATTTTTGTGGTAATTTATGGAAATTTATTTAAGTAATTTATGGTAAACTTTCCTGAGCTATAGGTTTTTTTTATTCCTTATATATGTGGCACCATAACACTACATTTGCACTAGGTTCTTCGTAACACGAAGGTCGGTGGAAATTCTGAGGTCGGTGGAAACTCAGGCTGGTGGGAACTTTTTCAACCGACTTTGGATATTTTAATTTTTTGAAAGAAGTATCATTAATTTTCAATCGGTTTAAAGTGGATCTCATTCGTATTGACCAAAACAATATAACTACGCTTTATTTAACCTTTTTTATAAATAATTGTTTAATTTGTGGTAAAATATTTAAGGGTCGGTGGAGGTCGGTGGAGATTATTTTGTGATTCCCTTATCAAATTTGCAACTTAAAATGAGTGAAAAATGAATAAATCAATTAGAACATTGATTCTTTTTCCTGAATTAACTAAAGGAAGTTATTTTTTGTCTTTACAAAAGTAATTTTAAGTTAACATTTGATTTTCATTTAAATAATTTACTGTTTGTTAATAAAATAATGAATAGCATCCAAATTTGCTGTCAAGCCTAAACTGAAAAAAAACATATATAAAATGAATTTAAAAAAAAAATTTTTTTTATTCAACTGTACTAAAGTAGACGATACTAAAATGTCAATAGTAATTGTATTTATTATTGCATATTACTAAAATTATAAACTTTTTTTTCTAAACTTCCTGTGGGGACAGGTAAAATTTTGACGTTTTCAGCCTCAAAACCGCTTATTTATGAAAAATTATAATATTAGATACAAAAGTAATTATTGGTTTTTGTTTCTAAACATATAGATAACCTTTTCACGTTGGAATTGTAAAAATATATGAAAATTATTTATTATTTTTCCATTACAACATGAAAAAAACCAAGTTCTGCGCTACGCGGAGAATCACCCATTTATAAAAATAATTTAATTCATGAGACGAATTTTATTAAAATTGTATTGAAAATAATTCAATATTCATGAACAAAAATTTATGAAGTTTTAGAAAATAATTGAATTCTTGCAAAATTTTTATTATGATTAAATTGAAAATAATTAAATTTCTACCAATGAATTATATTATTTATCAAAATAATTGAATTCATGCAAATAATTTTATTAAAATTGTATTCAAAATAATTGAAGAATTCTTTTTTTAAAAAATTAATTAAGTTTTAGAAAATAATTGAATTCGGATTTCTTGCAAAATGAATTGTATTAAAATTGTATTGAAAATATTTGAATTCTTTCCAAAATTTTTATTAAAATTGATTTGAATATAATTCAATTTCTGACATAAATGAATTGAAAATATTTCAATTTCTGTCATGGATTTTATTATTTATAAAAATAATTGAATTCCTGCGAAGAATTTTATTAAAACTGAATTGAAAATAATTCAATTCCAAAAGGTACTATAAAGAATAAATCTTTTATTTAACAATTTTTTTTATAAAACTTATTTTATTTGGTAGTTTTTAATAATGTGTATATAGCAAAATACATTTTTCAAAAAAAAAAATACATACATATTTCTATCAAAATTCGATAATTTTTCAAATTCTCTTTCTCTCTCAAAATCGTTTTCTCGCTAAAAGTCGTCCAAAAGCACGAAAATCAAATGATCGAAAATGTCCCAATATTATATCGACAGCAGTAATTGGCAATTGAATTTTATCACCGTAATCCGTTAAAAAACCAACAACTCTATCAATAGAATCTTCTAGATTTTCAACTCGTTTAAATCGTCCCTCCAATAGTTTTTCATAACACGGAAATTCATTTTTATAATCACCCTTCGATAAAGTTTCTCTAAATTTCAAATTTTTCACAAACTTATAACAACTATAATGATCTTTTGTCAAAAAATCATAATAACTAACTCTCATTTCATTAATAATCGCCGTTTGTTTCAATTTATTAACTTCAATTTTTGATTTTTGAAAATAATCATTAGCATCCTGTAGTATTTGCTTTTCACTTCCCACATAACTTTTCAAAAAATTATCAATTGTCTCATTGCTATTTTTTAAGGCCGCCAGAGAAATGATCCACTTTCGACCAGTCTGAACGCCGGGAAAATAAAAACTCGACAATATTTCCCCCATTGCCGGTGAATTATAATTGTCTGTTTGGAAATTCATTTGCCAATTGGCGCCCAATTCGATGAGACATCGAACGGTTGTTGTCAAATCAAAATAAGCAGCGATGTGTAGACAAGTTGCTCCCCGTTTATTCCGGGCATTGATATTCGCTCCACGTTCAACGAAATATTCAATAGTTTCCAAAGAAATTCGCCTCTCATTCTGCACGGCGCACATCAACGGTGTGTAGTCATTTTCATTTTTCACATCGACATCAAATTTTTTTTCATCAATGAGAAGATCAATTATTTCCAATGAACAACCAATTGCAGCGTGATGAAGGGCGGAATTATTTTCAAAATCTCTCGCATAACAATTTGCCTTGTGATTGAGAAGAATCTTCGCCTCCTCGTAGAGTCCAGCGCGACAAGCCTCTAGAAATGGTGTCACACCCTCTTTCGAATGACACTCCGTGTTTGCTCCATTCTTCAGCAGTAGTTCCATAATTTCCCTATTGAATATCACTTCCGGCTCGTAATAGGAATTCATGCGATTTATAAAAGTGTTGTGCCTCTCGTCGTAGTAATAGCTGTCGGTTGATTTTACGAGATTTTTCAATTCGCTTCTTCCTGCGATGACGTACAGTGGACTTCCTTCGCTTATCGATTCGGCATTAACATCCGCACCGTTTGCAAGGAGAAGGCAACAAATTTCCAAATTCTCCAAAGCTACGGCATAATGCAGAGGAGTGAAATCCATTTTTGTTTTGCAATTCGGATTCGCGCCTTCCTTTAGAAAAAAGTTGACAATTTTCGTCTTTCCCTCTCGTACAGCGTAATGCAGCGCAGTTCGATCATAATCGCCTTTTGTATTCAATAAATTTGAATTAGAATCAAAATTCTTTGTCGATTCTCTCACATCCTTCAGTACCAAGTCCAAAATATCCCGAATTTTTAATTGCGCTGCGAAATAAATCAAGAGCGGATAATCCTTTTCATTCAAACCCAATTCTTTTTTGTACTCCAACAAAATTTTGACAACTCTCTCCAATTTTTTCGCCTTTTCGTCTTTATTCAATTCCTCTTCAATTCCTTTTAATTTCTCTTCACTTCCTTTAAATTCCTCTTCCTTTCCTTTAAACTCCTCGTCATTTTTACTTAATTCTTTTTTATTCATCTCCCCCGAATTTTCACCAGTTTCGTGAAAAAATTTCACGTCGATTAATTTTTCAAGCAGTAAACAGACAGTATTCAAGTCGCCATGAAGCAATGCGTGATAAAGTGGTGTGAGACCATTTTTACAAACAACATTCACAGCCGCATTGTTATTGAGAAGAAGTTTTGTCATTTCGGAAGAATTTTTTATTGCGTTGAAAATTGGTGTCTCGCCTGATCTATTTTTCATGTTAATATCAATGCCTTCTTGTTGACACAGTTGTTTGACAATATTAATAGTGCCACGTTTCGTGGCTACATGTAGAAGTGATAAATCAGGAAAGGTGAATTTTTTCGTAATAATACCACGTTTTTTGAGAATTATCTTTATTTTCTCCTCATTATTGTCGTCAATTGCTTTTTGAAAATCAACAAATAGAGCATAGAGACTTTCATCGTCAATTTGTGAATCTTCAATTTCCATTATTCTGCAAGAAATAAAAAAGAAAATGTATTATTTGCAATTTTTTTCTCTTAATAACTAAATAAGTATGTAACTAAATAAATAAATAATAAAATAACTAAATGAATAACCAAATAAATAAATAAAGAGTGTTTTCACGAAAAGACGGAAATTCTGTCCGTGAGTCACTGTGATCAAATAAAGATAAAACAATTAGAAAATAATATTGTTTTCCAATTATTATAAAAGTAAATTAATTTTTTTGAGACGCATTTAAGAAGATAAGTAAATTTCCAATTTAGTTTTTAATTCTAAAGTGTAATTTATCAAAGATCTATACCTGTTCTTAATATCGTGACACATATGGACAAAAATTCAATTGTTCTCGTTGAAATGCCCTAATTAAAGATATTATTCTCGAAATTTTTGTTTCATAAAAAATAAATACCCATTTATTTACTAATTAAAAACTAATATTAAATTCAATATTAATAATAACAAAAAAAAATAATAATAATAATAATGAAATAAAAAAAAATTCATCATTTATTAAAAATATTTAAATAAAAGTTGAAAATTATCATTAAAAAATAAAAAATTGTTACTTTTGCGTTATTAATACATAATTGAATTCTTTTGAGAAATTATATTAAAATCGAATTCAAAATAATTCAATACGTATCAGAAATTTTTATTAAAATTGAAAGAACAAAAATTCAACTTCAAAGAAAAATTATATTTAATAGAAATAATTGAATTCTTCTGAACTAAAATTTGAATTAAAATTAATATTCAATTTTAATATCTGCAACAAATTTTATTATTCATAAATGTAATTATTATCGAATTTCAGAGAAAGAATTCATTTTTTTAAATTTCATTCTTTTGAAAAATTGTGTTAGAATTGAATTTAAAATAATTGAATTATTCCAAAACATTAGATTATTTATCAAAAAAATTGAATTCTTGCGAAGAATTTTATGAAATTTAAAAAAAAAATGAATTCTTTTGGGAAAATATAATAAAATTTTTTAAAATAATTAAATTAATTCGAGGAATTAAATTAAAATTGAATTCGTTTGTAATTTTTATTAAAATTGAAATAAATATAATTCAATTTCAATATATGCAACGAATTTTATAATTTATAAAAAATAATTGATTTTCAGAGAAAGATTTTGATCAAAACTTCTGATAATAATTAAAATCTTAGAAAATAAATGTTATCTAAATTAAAAAAAAATTTATATTCTTTTGAAAACTTGTATTAAAAATGAATTTAAAATAATTTAATTTTTGAGGAAAATTATACTGTTTATATAAAAATAATTGAATTATTTTGAATAATATTTTATTATTTATGGAAATAATTGAATTCTTGCGAAGAGTTTTTTTTTTACAAATTTTGAAAATAATTGAAATTTTGTGAAGAATTTTATTAAATTTTTAAAAAGTAATTGAACTTTTCTGAAAAATTTTATTAAAATCAAATTGAAAATAATAATTCAATTTCTGCGATGTATTTTATTATGTATTTAAAAAAATAATTGAATTCCTGCGAATTATTTTATAGAAAATTGTTAATAATTTAATCCTAGCGTAGAATTTTCTTAAAATTCTATATTGAAAATAATTGAATTCTTGTGAAGAATTATATTATTTTTGAAAATAATTGAATTTTTTCTAAAGCATTTTATTAAAATTTAAAGAATAATTGAATTCTTTAGAAATAATTTATTAAAAATGTATTTAGAAATTAGAATAATTAAATTCCTGTCAAGAATTTTAATTTTTATGAAAGTAATCGATAATAATATATTTTTGAAAATAATTGAAATCTTACGAAAAATAATTGAAAATTTTTGTGAATTGAATTTTATTAAATATTTTGAAAATAATTATTTCCAAGAATTTTATCAAAATATTTTTAAAAATAATCCATCCAATTCTTTTGAATAATTTTATTAAAATTTTTGAAAATAATAAAAAATAATTAATTAATTAATGAAGCAATTCTTTTTAACTTTCCCTTATTAAAAATATTGAGAAACATTAAAAAATTATCATTAAAAGAATTTTTTATCTAATTAAAACAAATATTTCCTAAATATTAATCCGAAAACCTTTTTTAAGCGTAAATAAAAAATTTATTTATTTATTAAATTATTCAAGTCAAAAATAATCTTTTTATTTTTATTTACAAACTATACGAAAAAATGTTTACTTACCTAAATTAAAAAGTAAAATGTAAATAAAAGTTCCTCCTCGTAAAAAAGAAAATTAAATTTTCAAAAACACTTTCAGTAAAAATGTACTAAAATATTTTGAAAATTTTTTTCCTTATTATAAAAATAATATATTTGTTGGTTCACTTAATGGAAGACGATAAAACACTACGTGATTTTTATTCGGTTTGTCTGTATAAACCTATTTTGTAAATTGTATTTATCATCATTTATCATGTTGATCATATTTTATATTTCTATGAAAAGAAATGAAAAGAAACATCTGTTCGCAGGTACGTAACTATTTTCAAAAATTCAAAGGGGCACGGGGCACTTAAAAATATTTTCTACATTATATATTTCAAAATGTTCTAAATCATCTAAATTATCAAATATTTTAACTACAATGAACAAAAGCATCGAAAATGTTCTATTCCGATTGTTAAAATTAAAACAAATATAGTAAACAATGGCAAATTTAAATAATGGAGATAATAGACGATTAAAACAATTTCGAACATAACCTATAAATTTATATATAAATTGAATAAATCATAAATGCAATTTTGTCATAAAAAGTCATAAATTACGAAAAATTGATAAATCGAATAAAATATAGAAAAAAATGTTAATTTCGACAATAAACAATAAAAATCAATACAAATTATTTATTTATTTATTTATTTATACATATAAACGGGCAGTGCCCTTTCGTACATAGAGTACTAAAAATTACAAATTAAATAGAAAGTAATATAAATAAATAATATAATATTAATAATATAATATTAATATAAAAAATATAAATATAATAATATGTAAATATAATATTAATTATAAACAATAAAATATATAAAATTTACCTTGGCCGGGGGATTGACGATTTTTGAAATAGTATTAAAAATCGAATGATCAATTTGTTTAACATTTTGTTCCGGTGTTTTTTCACAACTTCGTATTTGTTCCTCGTCGTGACTTTCCATTTCGTCCTCGACATTTTCTTCCCTTGGAGTTTTCACTTCATTTTCCGAACTTGGACTTGTTGATTCATTCATTTCAACACCGGAATCAGATGTATTTTCTAATTTTTCCATAATAAACGCACACACATTATATATACATATCAGGATAATTCCTGATATATATTTATTTCTTTTAAACAGAAAAATATCACTTATAATGCAATTTTTAAAAGTCTAACCTCAAAAACAATTTTCTTTTCCTTAAAATCACTCACACTGTTTTTGTATATTTACATTTTTCTCACAATTTTATGATGAGGTTAAAACACAAAAATTTGTCTATTAATATTTTTCATATCACATAGAGAAACTAAATTATATATTTTATCAGCGTGCGAGTATCAAAAATATTTTCGGAGCATTCGCTACACAAACACAACAAAGTTTAAGCGGTAAAAAAACAGGACGTCAGTATTACAACTGTCAAATGGTCGGAAGTATTGCTCTTTTGACTCCATTTGTCATTCGACTTTTGGCGCGAATATTTGAAATAGTTAATTTTAATAATTTTAACAACGAAAGAAAATATGTACTTTAAGTGTTTATTATCAATTTAAATAAAAAAAAAAATAATAATCAAAATGTAATAAACAGAATATAATTAATAATTAAGCTAATTTACTTGTTTTTTTGGTTAATTTGTTGTTAATTTATCATTTTTAATTTTTTAAATTGTTAATTTTTATATCGTTGTTTTTAAATTTTTTCAATAAATATCAATTAACTAAAAATTAATCTTTAAAAATAAAACATCAAATCAAAAAAAGCGGATTAAAATTTTTAATTAAATTGAATTGAAATCGTCTTTTTAATAAATGAAGGAAATTATCAGTAGTAATTAGTAAAATTAAATATTTATTTATTTATTTATTAATAATAAATAAATAATAAGAGTGAGTTAGTAATAAGGAATTCTTTGTTTTTTAGGTTAAGGTATAATGTATTTTTGGAGTCTCGAACCCTACAGTAGTAGGGAGAGTAAATAAACACATATAAATACATAATAAATACATAATAAATAAATTTAAATATTGAAGTTAAGTAAAATATTAACTAAAATAAATTAAGTTAACTAAAGTTTCATTAACAGGAAACATTAAAAAATGAATAAATCTAGAAAATTTCAATGTTTTATTTAAAATTTTAACAAAACGATGATAAATGTAAATTTCTTCTCATGATCGCTTTATGAAAATTATTTTCATTTATTATACACTGGATAATTGAATAAACTAACTAATCGCTATTTCTACATAAAAAAATTAATTCTTTGTACATTATTAAACAAACAAAGAGAGAAAAAAAATATTTCTCTTTTCTCCCTCTATATATTTTTTTACAATGAAAAATAACAAATTTTAGTCGTAAATTTTTCATTATTTACAACTATCGTTCATTACTCTTTGTCATTCTATTTGGAAATTATTTACAATATACATGGTTAGGTGGAAAATTTTATTTAAGTTTAGTTTAAAAAAAGATTTAACAAAAGCAAAAAAAGTAAAAAGAAAAAAAGAAAAGAAGAAAATAAAAAACATAAAAATACAAAAAGGACAAGAGAACAAAAAGAAAGAAAAATAAAACAAAAAACAAAAAGAAAATAAAAATAACAAAAAGAAAAAGTTATTTAATATTAAAGAACACAATTTAAAAGTTTAACATACTTGAACATTTTTTTAATTTATGAAATTGAATTTTCAAGTTAAATTATCAAATAATTGAAAATAAATTCAAATTGGTTCGCATTTAAAATTCAAATCCAAAGTGTAAACTTTTCTTAGGAAAATATTTTCGAATTCTTCTATTTTTTACAACAATTCCATAAAATAAAGAAGTCTTCGCTAAAAAATTCCTGTTTGCAATTAAAAAATTTTTACTGAGTGAAAATTTTTACTTTACAAGAAAAAAAACATAGAATAAAGTAAAAAAATTCACTTTTAAGTAAAATATTTAGAAATAATTTACCTTCAAGTAAAAAATTTGTTTTTAATAATTAATTTACCCTTTTAGGGAAAAATTTGCCTTTAAGTAAAATATTTAGAAAAAATTTACCTTCAAGTAAAAAATTTGGTTTTAAATAATTAATTTTCCTTTTAAGTCAAAAGTTTACTTTTAAATTATTTAGAAAAAATTTACCTTCAAGTGATAAATTCACTTTTAAGTTAAATATTTAGAAAAAATTTACCTTCTAGTGAAAAATTCACTTTTAAATAAAATATTTAGAAAAAATTTACTATTAAGTTTATTTAGAAATAATGTACCTACAAGTGAAGGATTTACTTTTAAATAATAAATTTATATTTTAAGTAAAATATTTAAAAATAATTTTCCTTCAACTGAAAGATTTACTTCTAATGAATTAATTGACCTTTTAAGTGCAAAAATTTACTTTTAACTAAAAGAGAAATTCTCTTAAACAAAATTCTCTCAAAGAGAAATCCTCTATAAAAAAAATTCTTTCAAAGAAAACTTCTCTCTCAAAGTTAAATAAACATCTCATCCTTCACTTTTCAATCTATAAAAAGAAATTTAATTTCTTTTCAACTCTAAAAATAATTCCACTCAAGTAAAAACAATTATTTTCGTTTCTATTTCTTCCCAAGTCCAAAAAAATCGAATAAATCATTTTCTCACCAATTTTGTGGAAAAAAAAAATTTTTCCCCAAATTTGTTGAATTTTTAAACAAATTTTCGCATAATTGTTTAACAAAAAATGTCCTTTTTGTTAAAAAGCGAAACTAGTTAATTATGTAAATATTAGGAAATTGTTCGAACCACAGCTGAAGCGGGAAGCAGAACTTTTCGCGAGAGTCTCATTTCACCTGAGACCGGGTCCCTGCCAAAATATTTCACTTGAATTTCCTGTCCAATCTCATAACCAAGTGCACTCGGGTGACGAATAAAGCGCACGTCCAATTGTGAATTGTGTAACAATGTTGGCGACATGCTGTCAAATAATTTCAACATAACGCCCGACTCACGAATTTCGACAATTTTCGCCGTATAAATACCGCCAAATTCCAATGTTGGCTCACGCTCATGTTCTAAAATACCGCGAATTATAACGTCCGCCTCGTTCATTGCCGTTTGATTTGGCGCGAACAGCGTGTAATGCGTCTCGTCCTGCGGATTCACCTGGAAAACAAAACAGAAGAAATAATAATTTCAATTTCTAAATTTTTAATTTTATTATTAGAAAAAAAATTGAAATTTCTTGTTTTGATTTCTACCTGTACACCAGTGTCGAAGTAAATTTTCTTTAAATTACCGCCGGCAATGCCTAGTAATTTACCGCGTTGATGAACGGGAACTTCAAGAATTTGAGTCACTGGCATATTGTCTTTGGGAACGCGTCTCGATTCGCTAATTGCCTCATGCATTTTTACGCGAATTATCGTCTTTGCTTTTGCTGCTTGCGTCAATGCCTCCATAACAATTTTCAATGGTAGTCCTGGAATTTTTATATCGGCCTGCAATGCCGTGAATCCATTTTTTGTACCGGCAATTTTAAAGTCCATGTCGCCCATATAATCTTCTATACCCTACGAAATATAATTTTTCAATTTTCGCACATTCAGAAATAAATTTACAATTTTGAAAATTAAATAAAATCTAATATTTTTTAGGATTTTAATAATAAAGGGCTTTATCTGTCAATATGTTAAAATAAATAAATAAGTTCTTTGGTATTTAAAAGCCTATAGCCTGTTTGAGAAATAGATAAATAATAAAATATTAACATAATAAAAATAATATAAAATACATAATAAACTATATATTAAAATAATATAATAAATAAAAAATATTTTCAAAAATTGAAAAAATAGTAAAAATTGCAATGAATCGAAATAATGAATTTTTCGAGACTCACTAAAATATCGGTGAGTATTCGATAATCTTCGATTTCGGTTTTACTTTCATTGTATTTTGTAACTAAACCAATGGCAACGCCGGCGACGGACGATTGAATTGGAACTCCAGCGTCCATTAAAGCCATTGAACCTCCACAAACTGAAGCCATTGATGACGATCCTATTGGAAATTAAAAGAAGAAAATTAATTTCAATACAAAAATAAACTGACAATAAATTATTAGAATATAAATTAATAAATTATGATAAATTTTTTTTTATATTTAACAATCAATTTATGTTTTATTACCAAAAGCAAAAAGAAAAATTCTTTCGGGGTTGCCACAAAAATTTAATTTTGTTTTTCCCTGACTTTTACCTGATTTCTAGACAAAATTTTGACTTTCTCCCTGACCCTAAAGAATATTCTGATTCACTCTATAAATTATTAAATACTTAAAACAATGTTCTATTACATTTATTTACAAATTTCAAAACTTTCAAATTCGAACCTTTTTGAAATTCAACAACTTGTAAGAATATTATTATAAAACAAGATGACCGAGTGATAAAATCATTATTTTAAATTATTAGAATATTGTTACTGTAACTTTTTCAAAATTAATTTCATTATTCAAATTCAATTATTATTTTCTACAATTTTTAACAAAAATTCTTCTTTAAATAAATTATATTTAATAATTTTTAGACAAAGTTCTTTGAAAATTTCCAAATCCATTTGTTTACAATTCAATTTTACAAAATTTCGATTTTTCTGAAATTCTTCAATTAAATATAAATTAGAAAATAAAAACAACAAATAATTTTTAAAAAACTTCAATTAAACTTTTAAAAAAAAATAAATCTACAGAATTGTTAGTTCAAAGTATTCAAAGATTTTAATTTAAAACCTTTTCAAAATTCAATTATTTCTAAAAAAAATCATGCTTTAAATGCTTCTAAAATTCAATTATTATCTAAAATTTTAACTGAAATTAATTTTTAAATTAAATTTTTATTATAAAATTCTACGAGAATTCAATTATTTAAATACAAAAATAAATAATTTATATAATAATTGAATGTTTCCTAAAATTTAATTCACATAAAGACTTTTATCAACAAATTTTTAAGCAATTGAATTCTTTTGAAGAATTTTAATAAAATGTTTAAATACATTTTTCGAAGAATTCGATTAAAATTGTATTAAAAATAATTGAATTTTTGCGTTGAGTTTTATTATTTATGAAAAAATTGAATTGCTAAAAAGAATTGTATTATTTATGAAAATAATTGAATTTCTAAAAAGACTTTTATTATTTATGAAAATAATTGAATTATTGCGAAGAAATTTATAAAAATTTTGTAAATACCTAATTGAATTGCTGTGAAATTTTTATTACAAGTAAGTTTATGAAAATAATTAAATGTTTGAGTAGAATTTTATTAAAATTGGTTTAAATAATTGAAATTTTCCTAGGAATTTTATTAAATTTTTTGAAAATAATTGAAATTTCGCCAAGAATTTTATTATTTATAAAGATAATTGAAATTTTGAAAATGTTTTAATATTTTTGAATCTAATCGAGCTCCCGCGGGCAATAACTCGATCTGCGCTCGGACGCAAGCGCTAGTACCAGTCGGGGAGCAGTGAGCGCCTCTGCGCCACTCACTGCCACCCGACTGGTATTAGAGAGTGCGTCCCAGCGCAGATCGAGTTATTGCCCGCGGGAGCTCAATTGAATTTCTGTGAAGAATTTTATTACTTTTGAAAATAATTGAATTTCTGCAATCATTTGTAACTTGTCAAAAATTTCATTTTTTCAGTGTTTTTAACTTAAATTCTTCTATAAATCCATTATTTGTAATGATTAATTAAATATATATTAAAAAATTTAACTAATTTCAGAAGAATTGAATTATTATTAAAATTTATCAAAAATCTGAGTTCTTTAAAAATTCGAATCAAATTCATTCAAAATTGAAGTTTTCTAAATTATCAGATTAAAACATTTTGAAGTTTATCTATTTATGAAAATTGTAAACGCAACTCTTCTAAAATTCAATTAATTTTGAAATATTTAAGTAAAATGATTCATTAAATAATTGATAAGTAGTAATTTTATGATAGTTCTTATCAAGAATAAAGTTATTTAAAAAGAAATTATTTTCAGAAATGGAAGAAATTAAACTTAATAGGTAATTGGCCAATTTTATTATTTTATATTTAATTGTATTTTTCCTTTAAAAGAAATTAAAAGAAGTTTTCTTTTTTTTCTCTTTAAATAAATTAAAAGAAGTTTTCTTTTTTTTCTTGAAATAAATTAGAAGAATTTTTCTTTTTTCCTCTTGAAAAAAATTAAAAAAATTAAATTTTTTTTCTGTTTTAAAAGACATTGAAGGAATCGCTTCTTGTTTTTCTTTTTAAAAGAAATTGAAAGAATTAGCTACTTTTCTTCGTTTCTATTAAAGAAAATACAAACCGTTCGATTCAAAGACTTCGCTCGTGAGGCGAATTGTAAATGGATAATCGTGTGGAATAACTGGACGTAAAGCTCTCTCGGCCAAAGCACCATGACCCATTTCTCGTCGTCCAATTCCCGTTTTTCCCGTTTCTTTCGTAGCAAAAGGGGGAAATTCATAATGAAGGAAGAAATTCTTCTGTTTTACTCCGCTGAAAACAATTTTATAAAATTTTATTCCAATAAAATAACGGAAAAAGAAACAAAACAATAAAATTGGAGTAAATTAAAATAAATTAGAGAGTATAAAAACAGTTTTTCACAACAAAAAAAAACTTATTTTCTTATTTAAAGAAGAAAAATTACTTAGAAAAGAAGAATAGTATATTGTGCATCTAGAGAGGAAAATAGAAGATTTCCACGAGAACTGTTAACACACTCGTGGAAATCATTTTCCTCCCGTGGTGCACATACTATTTTTTCTAACACACGTAAACGGAAAGTACAACCACTTCATAAAAAATTTTAACGACAATAGTGTTTTCAACCGAAAGTTTATTATAATAATAGTATAATTTTTTAAAACGATTAATTATTAAAAATTAACAATTTTAACAATAACAATAAACAACAATTTAACAGTTTAAACAAATTAAAAAACAAACAAAAAAACAATTTAACAATTTTAACAATTTTAACAATTTAACAATTTTCAATAAAACATATATTTAGTCGTAAATAAAGATACATTTTATCTTAACATTGTTATTAAAATATATTACATGTGATTTTGGACGACAGGGAGGTAAAGTACTTTTGTGCAACACCTGCTGGAAAAGAGCTACTTTTCTTTAACATAAATACAGCACAAAGTGGTCAATTTCTGCACATTTAAAAGTGTGCAGGAAGTGTACTTTCCTGCACACTTTTGATTACTTTTCCGCACACTGTGCAGGAAAGTATACTTTCCTGCACACTTTTCTGTAAACAGTATAATATACACTATAATCAACATAATTATACTATATTTATTGATTAGAAAAGTATAAAAATTACTTTTTTCGGTAAACAGGTGTTGCACAAAGTACTGTGTGCAACACGTACGAAAGAAGATTTTCCGACGAGTGCAAAGTTTGCTGCTCCGAGCGAAGCGAGGGCAGTAATTTGCACGAAGTCGGAAAATTCTTCTTGCTTCTTTCTGTACTTGTTGCACAATATACTATTCTCTCCCCGCTCTGACGTCACGGGGAGGTAAAGTATACTTTTCTCTCCCCGTTATGACGTCAGAGAGAGGTAAAGTAACATTCCCTCCCTCTCGTCGGAAAAGACATACTTTCCACCCTCCACACAGGTAAGAAATGATGTACTTTCCGTGCGTGTGTTAGAAAAACAATTTTACCTAGTCATAGTTGAAATTGTATCCATTTTCATTGCACTTTCCAACGAATCAAGAGTTACTGTACAAAAAACTTGAGTCTGTCCTCGCTGAAAAAGTGCGGAACCGTGAAGAACTTTATAAAGATCAACTTCGCAATTAATATTCCTAATATCTTCCAATTGTCGTCCGTCACACCTAAAAATTATTTTTTATAATAAATATTTTATTAACTTTTAAATTCAAAACAAATTAGAAAAAAGGGAATACAACGATTTAATAATCGTTGTATTTCGTTTTTGTTAAAAAAAATTTTATACCTGACATTATTCTCAAAAATTAAATCACGAAAACTGTCTCTCGTGATTTTGGCAAAAATTTCCACGACCAATGTAAGATCTAAATTCTCAAAACTCTTCTTCATACTCTCGAGTGTCTGTTGTCGTACAATATTCACAGCATTGTCCCTCGACATTTTATCATGACGCGTGTCCGTAAAAACTTCACGTAATTTTAATTCAGCCAACGATTTCACTGAATCGTATAGCTCGTCATAATTCTCTTCAATTCTCTCCTCAACGCGTTTCTCCTTGCCGTGTGTTTTCCGTAAATCCTCAATAGACGAAATAATACCCTGACACTTACTCACTCCACTCTTAATTGCCTTCCTTAAATCCTGATCAAAAATATTATCAGCAAAACCCTCGAGCATAACAACGTTACTGTTCTTCGTCGCAGTGACAATTAAATTTAAAATACTCCCCTGCAATTCGCGACGCGTTGGATTATAAACAATTTCATTGTCAATAAATCCAACGCGCACGGCACCCACAGGACCATTCCATGGTATATCGGAGAGTGCAAGTGCAGCCGATGCGCCATTTATTGCCAGAATATCGGGATCATTGATACCATCGATTGACAGCATGTTGCAAATTATTTGCGTTTCGTAATTATAACCCGATGGAAATAGTGGTCTCACCGAGCGATCAATTAAACGACTCGTGAGTATTTCATGTTCACTTGGTCCAAGTTCACGGCGTAAAAAATTCGTCGGTATATGTCCAGCGGCAGCTGCTTTTTGACGATAATCAACAATTAATGGTGTAAAAGATTTCTGCGAATTCGAGGCAAAATTTTTACTAACAGCCGTGACAAGAACGTCTGTATTCCCTGAATTCACAACCGCACATCCATCAGCGAAACGAGCATATTTTCCAGTCGATATCGACATTGTTTTGCTGCACAAAAAAAGATGAAAACATTATTTTTTCATTTTGACAAGACAAACAAGAAGGGAAGTTATTTATAATATTAACAACTTAATTCAATTTCAAATCAATTAAATTCAAAATTAAACAATTAAATTTAAAATTAAACAACTAAATTCAAAATTATACAAATCAATTCAAAACCAAAAATTTAATTTCAAATTATGTATAAAGAATGAAATTTCAAATTAAACAATTCAATTAAAAACCGAAAATTTAGTTTCAAAATTAAACTATTAAATTTCAAATTAAATAATTAAATTCTAAATTAAACAATTAAATTTCAAATCAAACTATTAAATTTTTAATAAAACCATTAAATTTCAAAATTAAACAATTAAATCAAAAATTAAACAATTAAATTCAAAATTAAATAATTAAATTTCAAACTAAAAAATTAAATTTAAAATTAAAGAATGAAATTTCAAATTAAACAATTAAATTCAAAATTAAACAATTAAATTTAAAATTAAAGAACTAAATTCAAAATTAAAACATTAAATTTAAAATTTAAGAATGTAATTTTAAATTAACCAATAAAATTCAAAATTAAAAAAATAAATTAAAAGCCAAAAATTTAATTTTAAAATTAAGCTATTATATTTGAAATTAAGGAATTAAATTCTAAATTAAACAATTAAATTTCAAATCAAACTATTAAATTTAAAAAAAAAACCATTTAATTTTAAATTAAACAATTAGGTATATCCAAAATTGAACAATTAAATTGAGGCCTTGGATCCAATAACTCGCCTGACGCTCGGAGGAACGCGCAACTGCCAGTCAGTGAGCAGTGAGCGCCTCTGGGCCACTCACTGCTACCCAACTGGTATTAGCGCGTGCCTTCGAGCGTCGGGCGAGTTATTGGATCTAAGGCCTCAATTTTAAATAAAACAATTAAATTCAAAACTAAACAATCAAATTTTAAATTAAACTATTAGATTATAATTTAAACAATTAAATTAAAAATTAAACAATTAAATTTCAAACTAAAAAATTAAATTTCAAATTATACAATTAAATTCAAAATTAAACAATTCAATTTAAAATTAAAAAATTAAATTTCAAATTAAAGAACTAAATTTAAAATTAAACAATCAAATTTCAAATTAAACAATTTTCAATTTCAAATAAAACCATTAATTAATGTTAAATTAAAGACTTAGAAATTCATAAATTAAACAATGAAATTTCAAATTAAAAAATTCAATTTAAATTAAACAATGAAATTTCAAATTAAAAAATTCAATTTCAAATAAAACCATTAAATTTTACATTAAACTATTTAATTTAAAAGCGAACAATTTGAAAATAATTTACAAGGAAAACTTATCACTTACTACGACTGTAATAATATAGGTATTAATTATTAATTAAAAAAGAAAAGATGTTTTCAAATTTAACTGAAAATTATTTCAACCCTAATAATAATATTAATTATCATTAATTAAAAAAGTAAACGTCGTATTAAACTATCAATAAAAATTGCTATTTTCTTTAAAAAATATTTGTAACTCCTTTATTAAGTTTATGAATTTAATCCAATTATTGTATCCAGAAATTATTATTTTTTTAATTAAAAATTTAATAAATTGAATAAAAATAGTAGAATATTCACTATTTTATTATTTTCCAAACCAAAACACGTGGTATTTTTATTTGAAGAAAAAATTCCAAGTATTTTCTTTTGCACTAGTTTTTGAGGTTAGGAACAAAAAAGACATTTATTTACGGATGTATAAAGATTAAAATATAAGTGGATTTAAGTTTGAAAGAAGAATGTAGAAAAAGAATATAGTTTCTATTTTTTCAATAAGTGGAGGTTTTGTGGGTTTTGTGTTAAAGTAAAATGAAAAAGAGAGAAAAAATAAGTTGAGGACAATGTACTTAAATATACTTACTTGTCAGGTAATGAAATTTCAATTCTTTTACTGTCATCTGTTGTATTTGTCGTTGAATAACAAAATCGATGCAGGACATTTTTCAATCGAATATCTTTAATACTGGAAAATATAAAATTTGTATTATTCAATAACCTACAACTTATGAGCGCCGCCATTTTTCTTTTTCAACTGCCGGTACCACCTGGGTTGAGTAGCTACAATTTGTAAACTACCCCCACACTTTTCCTCTGTTTGGTAATTTGGTTCAATCCGTAAATACCTGGAAAAGTGGGAACACCAAACAATACCTGAAAGTACTTTAAAATACCAAAAAATATCTAAAAATACTAAAAAATACGTAAAACTTGTTATCATCCTCAAAGTAACACAACCCTTACGCCTTACCGGTACCATGTTCACCAACCTTAAAAACCAGAAACTGACAATAATAAAATTCCATTTGTGTGTGTACATATATGTATACAAAACAATAAAATTTTTTTATTTATAAATTTATGCTGCTGGATATTTCGGTATTAAAAGAATTTTTAATTACATATAGTGACGAGTGTTTCTATTTTATACAATAAAAAAAAAAGAGGAAAACAAAGTAAGCATGAGTTTTGAACAATTTAAACAAGAAATCGAAATGGGAAGTAGGGAATGTAGAAAAAAAGGAACAATAATAAAAAGTAAAGAACGTGAAGTGATTAAAACAATTATTGAACTTTGTGATCAAGAGGCAAAACAAAAGTGTTTATATTTTCCCCTACGACAAGCGACAAAACGTGCTGCACAATACGCAAAAGTATCGGAAAGAACAATAAAACGAATTCGCGAACAAGTTAAATGGGGAGTTGAATTTAATGACGACGATTGTCCATCGGGTTTGGCGAAAATTGTAAGTCGATTATTATTGCAAAAAAGTATATTTTCATTACAAAGATTATCTTTATTATTATAATTATATTCACCGACAAATAAATCTTATTTTCGATCCTAACCTCAAAATTCTACTTTCGCGATATTTCGATTATTTTTATTCTTTTTATTTATAAAAATAAAATATAGAAAAATATTTTTTGCTCACATCATTTTATAGAGTGAAAAACAAACTTTATAAAAACGATAAAAGTGGTAAATTTATCAGTTTAATGATTAATCTATAAATGTTTGTTCATAGTGATAAAATTAATTTTAATAGAAAAATGAAGAGAAAAAAAGTATACCGCGGAGATAATTTATAATCTTTACGTAACATATTTTTGTTTTGCGTGTTTCACTTTGTTTTTTGACTTTCCATAGAAAAGAAGCAAAATGGGCTTAAAATTCGCATGTAATTTATCGTTCATGTTTCCTGAGTGCGCATCACTTATTGGAAGATATCAGCTTGCAAAAAAAGTTGGGTTTAAATACGTGGAAAGTGGTTTTCCATTTGGATTTTCCGTTGAGCAGGTGGTCGAGGCAAAGACAAAAGCTGACGTACAACAAGTATTAATTAATGTTTTTACAGGTAAAATTGATTATTTTTTTAATACTCAATGCTAAAATTTTTAATTAATTTTTATTTGGACTAAAAAATAATTTCTATTTCAATTAAAATTCCTCATCAAAATTTCAATTATCTTTATATCTTTATAATTACAACAGGCTTCACAGTCTGTCCCCTATTTCCCTAAAAGTCCCCTTTTTTAATTTTGGCCCCTAAACGTACCCTATTTTGAAAATTTCCCCTAAATTTCCCCTATTTTTTCTTTTATCTTTTAATGATGAATTCACACCAAATTTAGCAAAGCGCCGTTGAAACTTTCAATTGGAAACATTTGTTTTGAAAGTTTCAAATCTTGAAATTTATGATCGATGAAATTTTTCATGAAATTTATAAAATTTGTAAGATTAGTATTTTGTCTCAAATATGTTTAGAAGTTGGCTGTATTTTAAATTCTTATAATCTGCACAAACTTGTTATGACCTACATTATTTTTAAAAGACAATATTCATCCCAAGAATTCAATTATTTTCAAAAGTAATAAAATTCTTCGAACAAATTCAATTATTTTTAAAAATTTTCACGAGTATGTCGTCAAGAATTCAATTATCTTTACAAATAGCAAAATTTTTTGCCAAAAATTCAATTATTTTCAAAAATTTATAAAAATCTTTGCAAAAGTTCAATTACTTTTAAAAGTTTTTTGCAATTCAATGATTTTCAATATTTACTATTTTCATAAAATTTATCAACAGATTTAATTATAGAAAAAACTTTTTGATACAATTCTACGAAAAGATTCAATTATTTTCATAAATAATAAAATTTCATTTATGAATTCAATTATTTTCATTGCAGAAGTTCAAATATTTTGAATACAATTTTAAATAAATTCCTTGAAAAATGCAATTATTATTAAAAATTTTATTAAAACTTGAGGAAAGAATTCAATTTTAAGAAACATTCAATTATCCAATAAAACAATTAAATTCGTTGCAATAATTAAAATATTTTCATAAATAACATTTAAATCGTCGCAGAAAATCAATTATTTTCAAAAATTGTTAAGTAATTTTGCAAAAGAATTCAATAAGCTTGATAAACAACAAAATCGCATAAATTCTTCCCATAAAATCAATTATTCTAAGGAATTTTAATAAAATTCTTTTCCAAAATTCAATTATTTTGATAAATATCAAAATTCATCATAAGAATTCAATTCTTTTGAAAAGTAATTAAATACTTTGCAGAATTTAAATTATTTTAAAAATTTTTTCAAAATTCTCGTCAAGAATTATACTATCTTTATAAATAGATAGGGAAATTCATCTCAAGAATTAAAATATTGGCAAAAATTTTTCAAAAATTCTTCTCAAGAATTCAATTATTTTCAAAAATTTAAATATAATTATTATTTAAATTCTTCTCAGGAATTCAATTATTTTTTAAAAATTTAATAAAATTCTTGAAAAAGTTTTCAATTATTTTCAAAAATTGTTATAAAATTCTTTAATATAATAAATTTCATTAAAATTTGAATTAAATTCCTTAAAAGAAATTATACATTTTCAAAAGTTGTTAATACAATTCTTCGTAAAAATTAAATTTTAAGAAACATTCGATATTATTTATTTTTGTATTTAAATAATTGATTTCTCGTAAAATTAAATTATTATTTTTCGTATTTTTTACTAACAATTCTGTAGAATTAATTTTTTTCAAAAAGTTTAATTGAATTAATAATTGATGTTATTGATTTAAAGTAGAATTTTAGTTAAAAATTCTAGAAAATGTTAAATGAATTGAAATGATACAAATAATTTTGAAGAAATTACAGTAACAATATTTTTATAATAATAAAATAATGATTTTATCAGTCGGTCATCTTTAATTATTATAAAACTTAAAGAAATGGATCACTCCGAGTCTTCAATTCGGAGTGATCCATTTCTTTATGTTTAAATATTCTTATGAGTTGTTCAATTTGAAAAGGTTTGAATTTGAAATTTTTTAACATCTAATTCCAATGAAAAAAAAAAAATGATTAAATATTTATTTTAAATAAAACTATTGATGTTTTCGAATAATTTTACTTTTGAAGAAATTTGTAAATAAATTTAATAGAACTTTTTTTTGAGTATCTAATAATTTTGAGAGTTAATCAGAATATTCTTTAGGGTCAGGGAAAAAGTCAAAGTTGTATTTGGAAATCAGGGAAAATTAAAGTTAAGCTTTTGTGGCAACCCTGTATAAATAAATTATATTTTTATCTTTATTTAACCAAATTTTATGGTCCCCTAAAAGTCCCCTATTTTTTAATTTTCAGTCCCCTATTTCCCCTAAAATACTTTTTAGGGGCACTGTGAAGCCTGTTACAATAAAATTCAATATTTCAATTATCTTTACAAATAATAAAATTCTTCTCCGAAATTCAATTATTTTCAAGAATTTTTATTAAAATTCTTGGCCAAATTTTAATTATCTTCATAAATAATAAAAATTTTCTCCGAAATTCAATTATTTTCAAAAATTTTTTTAATTCTTGTCAAAACTACAATTATCTTTATAAATAATAAAATACTTGGCGAAATTTCAATTATTTTCAAAAAATTTAATAAAATTCTTTGCAAAATTTCAATTATTTTTAAAAATTTTCTAAAATGAATTCAATTATTTAAAAAAAAAAAAATTTTCATAAATTTTTTTGCATCAATTCAATTATTTTCATAAATATTAAAACTCACCGATGAATTTAAATTATTTTTAATAAAATTTTAATCAAATTCCTCGAAAAATTTAATTATTTTTAAAAATTCGTCTAAAGAATTCAATTATTTAAGAATTTATAGAAAAAATTCCCTATGAGAATTGAATTTTAGGAAACATTAAATTATTTATTTTTCTATTTAAATAATTGAATTCTCATAGAATTTTTTAATATAAATTGATTTAAAAATGAATTTTAGGCAGTTATCCGTTCCAGGCCCTCAATTGAATATTGAAAGCATTGTATCGTGAATTTTTAAAAATGAATGAATTTTAAAAAGGTTTCAAATTAAAGTCTTTGAAAATGTTATAAATAATAAAATTCTTGTCAAAATTTCAATTATTTTCAAAAATTTTCATCAATTCGATGATTTTCAATATCTACTTTGTTAAAAAATTTTCTAAAAGAATTCAATTATTTAAAAAAAACTTTTAGTAAAATTCTACGCAAACATATAATTATGTACTTTGATCCTAAATAATAAAAATTCCACAGGAATTCAATTTATTATTTTCTAATTTTTTATAAATTTCTTCGCAATAATTCAATTATTTTCATAAATAATAAAATTTCTTCGCAATAATTCAATTATTTTCATAAATAATAAAATTATTTTTAGAAATTCAATGATTTTCATAAATAATAAAACTTACCACAAAATGTCAATTACTTTAATACAATTTTTATCGAATTCTTCGGAAAATGTATTTAAACATTTTATTAAAATTCTTCAAAAGAATTCAATTACTCAAAAATTTGTTGATAAAATTCTTTTTGAGAATTGAATTTTAAGAAACATTCAAATATTTCATAAATTATTTATTAGTTTCTATTTAAATACATAATTCAATTCTAATATTAATAATTCTAATAATAATTAGAAAATTATTATAACAATTTAAATAATTTAATATAATTAAAAATAATAATAATTCTAATTTTCTAATAAAATATGATTTAAAAATGAATTTCAGTTAAAATTTTAGATAATAATTAAATATTAAAATCATTATAGCGTGAATGTTTAGAAATAATTGAATTTTGAAAAGGTTGTAAATTAAAATTTTTGAAAATTTTTATTTTTCATACTTTTATGTAACAATTTTATAGAATTAATTTTTTTTGGAAATAATTTGTTGTTTTTATTTTCTAATTTATATTTAATTGAAGAATTTCAGAAAAATCGAAATTTTGTAAAATTGAATTGTAAACAAATGGATTTGGAAATTTTCAAAGAACTTTGTCAAAGAATTATTAAATATAATTGATTTAAAGAAGAATTTTAATTAAAAATTGTAGAAAATAATAATTGAATTGAAATGAATGATGAAAACAATTTTGAAAAAGTTACAGTAACAATATTCTTTATAATGTAAAATAATGACTTTATCACTAGGTCATCTTTAATTATTATAAAACATGAAGAAACATCACTCCGAGTCTTTGACTAGGAGTGATCAATAATAATAGTCTTGAAAGTTGTTGAATTTCGAAAAGGTTTTATTTAAAAATGTTTGAAAATCTTAATTTCTTTGGAAAATTATAAATATTATATAATAATTATTTTATAATGTATATTTTTTTGGGGGAATAAATTAGGAGACGTTACAAAAGGTGATCTCGGATTTGCCGCCGTTCCTGGAGAAGAGCAAAATTTTCAAAACAGTATTGAACTCACTATTCAATATGCAAAGGCTCTCGACTGTAGAAAGTAAGTTATTTTATTTGAAAAAGAAAAATTATATATTTCAAAAAATATTTAATTTTTTTTCTATTTATCTATTTAAATAATATCAAATTTTTTTTATTTATATTATTTATTATACATAGTTCATGCCTTTCGGCTTTGAACGAACTTCCGGCATTCTCCTTTACCTTACACTTTAGTTTTTTTATTTATATTTAAAAAAAATTGCCAATGAAGTAAATTTTTTTATGCCTCTAATATTTTTTACTCAGAAAAAGAAAGAGAGAATTAATTTTATTTCAAATTTTTTTTCCTTCTATTAAAGGAAACTTTTTCTTCTCTTTAAATTACATTTTCTTTAATATATGTAAATTAAATTTTCCGCATTTTAAATTTACAGGATTCATGTAATGTCGGGTAAAGTGGAAGTATTAACAAAAGGAAATGACGAGGCTTACGAAAATAATCTTAGGTACGCTGTTAAAAGATTCGAGGAGGAAAATATTATTGGTTTAATAGAACCTATTAATTCTCACACTGTACCAAATTATTACATGAACAGTTTCGATAAAGGTAGTGAACAATTTTAACAGTTTCAATATAAAAATTATTTTTAAATACAAAAATTATTTTTTAAATACAATCATTAATTTTTTATATATTTTTTTCACATAATAATAATAATTTTTTATAGAAAAGAAAATAATTGAAAATTAACTATATTTATGTATATTTAGTCACTGAAATTAAAATAAATATATAGAATTAGTAGAAGTGAGTAAATATTAAATTTATCTTTAAAAAAATAATTTTCCAGGTTTGTCATTTATTAAAAAAATCGACAGTCCAAATCTACGATTAATGTTGGACATTTTTCATTTGCAACACATTTGCGGAAATCTCACGTACTCAATACGTGAATACCTTCCCTACGTTGGTGAGTATTAAAATTCACATTCAGAAAATTAAGAAAAAAATATTTACTGTATAAAATAAGATTTAATTTCAAATTTTTAAATTAAAATTAATCAATTTTTTCGTTATTTTTCCAGGACACGTACAAATTGCACAAGTGCCCGACAGAAATGAACCAGACACACCGGGCGAAATTGATTACAAATATATATTTTCCCTATTGGAACAAGAGGGATACGAGGATTACGTTGGTCTAGAATATAAACCAAAGTCAAGTACATTTGAGGGAATCAAATGGATCAGACGATTTGGATTTTCTTTTTAAAGAAAAGAAAAAATATAACTGTACATAATATATATTATTTTCCTTTTATTTGTAAAAAAGTGATTTCTCGTGTGATATTTATAGAAAGAAAAATAATTTTAAATAAGAAACAAATTTTAAATATAAATTTGTCTTATATAGAAAAAAAGCAAAAACATATTTCAAAATGTTATGAAGAAAAAAAATTGTGAAATAGATGTTTTTTTTAATTTATGCACTTTAATTAAAATACTTTCAAGTGAAGAGTTTTTTTATAAAACAATATTTCTATTTAGTGTGGACATTCTTTCTTTCATATTAATTAACTTAAGGATTTCTTTTTAATAATAAAAAAAAAGTATAATAAAAAATAATAAAGAGATGATTTTATTACTAAAACGGATTGTTTTCTTTAATTATTTTCAGGAATGAATTCTGATTTATTCCTTTTTCTTCAATAACCGAATAATGGAAAAACTAAAATTATGAATTTAAAAATAGTTACTACTATCAAGTGATAATTAATATCGAATTATAATTACTATCAAATAATAATGACCATCAAATAATAATCAATAACAATTGCTATCAATAAAATATATAAATTATCATTCAATATAATTGTTAACTAATTATTCTAATTAAGTCGCTGTCAAAAATAATAATTTGCATATTTTATTATTGAATCAAAATAGTAAATAGAATATTAATAATTTTTTTTTATTACCATCAGAACTCAGAAAATTGTCAATTTGACAAAAAATTATCCTTTAAGTCAATTAACATATTAAAATCGTTGTAATTACAAATAAGTTTAATTGTAAATTAAATTTTTCTTTGACGTATTTGCAATAATTGCACATGAAAAAAAAAATTGTCAAATTAGATTTTATATTACAAATACTGATTAAAAGTCTATAATGAATTAACGTCATCGCAAGATGCGTGAAAATGACAGAAAATGCAAAAATAAGTTTGTCTCCATTTTTACAAATTTCTAAATATTTTTCTACTACTTTTTCTGTTATTTTCATCATCTTACATTACCAACAATTTCTTCTTCTTCCACTAAAATACAATATTGTATTAAACCTAGACTTAAAATAGAAGCTTAATATTTTTAAATTCAGTTATCGAGTTAATTTCTCTATTTACAAATTTGATCGATTGCTATATGTATATAGAAGGAAAAAGAAAACAAAAATAGAAAAAATAGTATTTTTTTCTGTACAATGTGTGCTATATTACTAGAATAGTAGTGAAAAGATATATTGAAAAATATTTTTGCAAATGCTTTTAAAAATTAATTTTAAATTATACAAAAATTAGGCGTAAAAAAAGAGCGAAAAGCCATTGAAATATAATTCGACTGGTTAATTTAATTTTTTTCCCTTTTTTTCATATTATATTATCAGAAAATAAAAATATTTAGTTACAGAAAAATTAATTCACTAAAATTAGAAATTGTCGCACGAAAAGTAAATTTTTTGGAAAAAGAAATGTTCAGATTCACAATTATTTTTTTCCTTGAATTAGGTACAATTAAATTTTCCAGTCAAATTGAATTCAATTTCAAAAGTTTCTCTACCGAAATTCGTGGGTAGAAATTTTTTGCCGAATTCGTAAAGAATTTTTTTTTTTCGTCGAATTCGTGAAGGAAAATTCCCTAATAAATTACAAAAGTCTTGAATCTCATGCAAATGGAGACTCGATTTTAATTAATAATACAATATAGTTAAAAAAAAGAAAACTATTTTTTAATTGTAGAAAAAACAAAACGTCTCTCGCCTCTTATTTTTACGAACGAGCAAACATAATTTTTTTTTCTCTCTAAAATAGCAAAATTGAATTTCACTTTCACTCTATCCAGAAAGTTTTTTTTTCTTTTTTATAAAATATACTACCCTTTTATTCTCTTATCTAGCCATATTGTCAAAGATCAAAAGGAATTATTGACCTTTATCCAATTTTCCTAACTAGAATTCTATTTTCATCAATGCGGGAGTCTTGCAAATTAATTTTCGAAAATTTTTATTGTCGTTAGCAAAAAAAGAAAAGGAAACAAAAAAATATCAAGATCAAGATCAACCCATAGATCTATATTATGATAAAAACATATAGGTTATTTAAAAAACAAAAAATAAATTTTTAAAGCTATACTAAATGTTTAATACAGAATATTTTTTTCAAAATTGATAATTTTTGTAATATTTTAAAAAATTTTGTATTTCAATATTTAATATTTTTCAATATTATTATTCAATATTTTCAAAATAATTTTTCTACAAAATTAATTAAGAATAGATATTAATTTCCCAATTAAATTATTAACTTATTAATTATTTACATAATTTGTATGTCGTTTTTTTGTGCACAACTTTTACAAAAATAATTCTTTTTGTAAATTTTCATAATTCTTGTTTAATTTGTTTAGTTTAATTTTATTGTTAATATTCTTAATTTATAAGTATATATTTTTTAAAATCTCAATTTTCAATATTTTTTTACATTTCAGTTTTAATTTTTCTTTTTCATTTTATTATCAAATTCGCGCAGAAAAATTTGAAATTCCTTCTAAAAAAATTCCATATGACTGGAAACCAATATTTCAATTTTTATTATTTTAATATTTTTTTAATATTCAATTTAATATTTTTATTATTTTCAATATTAAATATTTTTCTTTTTCTTCAATTTTAAAATAATTATTATTAATGTTAATAATATTTCGGGCTTAAAAAATAAATTTCGTCAACAATAAACAAACAGAGCAGAATAAAAAATAAGACTCCCGCAATTATTAATTATTTAACAAAAAAAAAAAAAATTAATCGAGTCAAGGAAGAACAATTTCTCTCTCAATCGAAAGAAAAAGAAATCTTCCACAATAATATCATGAATTAGATATCCTAATTAAAAATCTATTAGGGTCATTTGGGGTAAATGTAAATAGTAGATGTTTCAGCTAAATTTACAAATTTAAAAATAAGTACGACGTCAATATTTTTACCTCAGCTCATCTACAAGATGTTCTGAGTATTGCCAATATTTTATTTTGACAATTGGCAATGCCATAGTGTAAGTTATTTTTTAATGCAAAAAAGATTGAAAATCAAAATTTTACTGATTCGTCAATTTAGTTAATAAATAATTAAGTGTTTACATTTTCCCCGAGAATTCGAAAACTCGGGGCAAATGTAAACAGAACTTGAACTACATTTTAAAAGAAAATAATTGAATAAATTTACTTCTATTTCACAATTTCATTAATTTGGCAATGTAAAATTACATAGAAAAGGAAATTAAGTCCTCTTTGAAAAAAAAATTTGATAAAAAAAAAAATTTTTTTTTGAAAATTTGATCAATTTTTAAAAATATTTTTAGGTTCATCCACCATTTTGAAAATTTAAAATTTGACTTCAAATTCGTATTCAGCGACCTCAAAAACCCCCGAGTAGCCAGATTCAAGCAAATTTGATCAATTTTTAAAAATATTATTTTTAGGTTCATCCGCCATATTGGATCCACCATTTTGAAATTTAAAAATTCGATTTTAGATTCTTATTCAGCAAAATAAAAAAAAAACTTCTTTTTACCAAGTTGAATAAAAATCTATTAAAATTTGTTCAAGTTATTCAAGTTTTTACATTACTAATTTTGTAATGGTTAATTGTTTATTTTATATGATACATTATCAGTCAACTGGTTGATTTACTATACATCTACGAAGAATTTTTTTCAGTTTTTCCATCCCTTAAAACAGTAGTATACTTGAAATAACTTGTTTCTTAAATCTCGCTTAACTACAGTGGTGTTTACATTTACCCCGAATTTTAGGAAAATTTCAAAATCTCGGGATAAATGTAAACAGTCAGTTTTAGGCGATTCAGGTGCATCAATATTTTTTTGTTCATGCAAAAGAAATCCGTCCGTTTTACCTTTTAACAAAAAAAAACTAATGTTTTTCGTGAAAAATAGATATTCCGTTTACATTTACCCCAACTGACCCTATTTATAATTTCTATTTCACTCGTTTCTTTTTTTTTCTCTCTTCCTCTCAATTAATATTGTTTATCACTGAAAACAACGTTAATTGATAGAAAAATAAAACGTCACAACTCTGATAATGATAATTTGCCTCTTCTTTTTTTTTCATTTCGACAAAAGGCATTGAAATATTTTTTTTACGATTTGTGCAGAGAGGAGATTTTTTAGAAAAAACAATCTCCGATCGAATTTTATTTATTGAAATCTCGGCACTCAGACGACATCGGCAGGATCCACAAGACGCTGACTTACTTCAACTGAAGGTCCTAAGACAGCAGTGCTAAAAAATTATTCAAAGTAAAATTAGATTTTTCCACTAAATATAAATATTCAAAAACAATTTTGTTTCATTTTGGTTTTAATATTAAAACTATTATTATTATTATTATTATGTTTTATACAAAATAAAAAAAACTAACACTTTGCTAGAAATTAATTCAAAAAAACTACTTTTTATTTAAAAAAAAGAGATAATTAATTCCGTAGAGAAAATTATTTACACCCAAATTAACTATTAATAAATTAAATAATTACTTAAATAATCAACTTTTAATTATTTAATTAATTAACTTAATTAATTATATACTTAAATAGTTAACTTAATTCATTATTCACTTAAATAATTATTTCATTACTAAGTAATAAAAATTAATTATTAAGTTATATTATTACTAAGTAGAAACAAAAAAATAATTAAATGGAAAAACAAAAAATAAATTACAAAACAATCATGCCTTCAACCATTTTTAATTCTACTTTTTTCTATATTATATTAAAAGTTAGTCCAAACACCAAATGTCTCCCAAAAAATATATATATTTTTTGAAATTAATATATAAAATTGTATAGGTAATAAATAAATTAATTAATTACAAAATTAATAAATAAAGTAAAAAATGATTTATTTAAATAATAAATTTTAATTTAAAAAAAATAAAGAAATTATTAGACTCAAATATTATATATATTACAATAAGTAAATAAATAATTCTTGTGCAATATTTTCTATATATTTTTCTCCAAAATCCAAATTAAAAAATAGATTGCAAAAAAATGCGAAATTACAGAAAAAAAAAATTGTTTATTTATGAACGAAAAAAAATTAGCTAAAAGTGTCAGAGATAAAAAATAAAAAATAGATACAAAAATAAAAATATGCGATATAGGTACTAATAACTATATAAAGAAAAATATTTATAAGTCTCCAAAAAAAATTTTCTTTTGGTAGACATCTCAAAATTTGTATAAGATTAGCAATTTTTTGTTAAGCATTAAAACTGTTTTCAAAGCGATATTATTTTTTTTTTAAATTAAAACCATAAATATTTTGTAAAATTATTACCCAGCACCAAGAGCCAATATAGTAGCTTCCTGTACCATACTCATTTCTTCTAAAGCAGACCTAAGAATCACATGTATTTTTTTTTTTTTTGCTAATTGGATAAAAATTCTTTTTGCAATAATTTTATTGCCGATTAGTCGTTAAAAAAATGCTGCATATTTTGCCACAAAGCGGTTACTGCACTTCAATTATTTCAAATTCTGTTTTCTGTCAATTTATTATCGACACAAACTGGCCTTTTTGTTTTTAATAAAATAAAAAGTTTAATTTTTTGTTTCAAAATTTCAGCTGTTTTTTTTAATTTAAAAAAGGAAAAAATTATTTAAAAGTTTCAGTAATAAATCATTTTTGTAGGTATTAAATTATTTTTAATAAAGAGAAAAAAATTTGTTCTCTCTCAAAATTTCGGTTTTTTTTCTAATTAAAAAAAAAGTTTTAATAATAAATTAAAATTTTTCCGTATTAAATTATTTTTAAATTTTAATAAAAAGAAAAATTTATTTTTTTCTCAAAATCTCAGCTTTTTTTATAATTTGAAAAAAAGGGTGAATAATTGTATTAAAATTAAATTTAAAAAACTGTATTTATTTAAAATCAAATATTATTCATTTAAATATTTTTAAGTAAGTAATTAAAAAATTACGTTTTATATTCTAAACAAATTTTCTTTTAACTTTAATTTACTTGCAAAAAGAAACGAGAAAAATCAAAATCTAGAAAAAAATGATGAATTTATTTTATTTAATTGAACAAAATTATATTTTATTTTTCACTTTGTAGTTTTTTTATTTACAGTTTTATTTTATTTTCCTTTAGTTACACTTACAATTAAACTTTCACATTATTTCGTCTCTTAACTTAATTTTTTCTTTGTTTTTAAAAATTTTTTCCTACTTTTTTTGCTTTTTGTCTTTTTATACCTTTTTTGCTTTTTTTAATTGCAAATTTACAAAACTAGGATTTTTTTTGTTTAGAGTAAAAACCATTAATTTTTCATTATTCGAAGAATTTTTATTCGTCACAATTTTTTTTTTGAGATGACTAACAATAATAATAATGATAATGAAAGAATTAAAAATTACATTTATTTTCGAAAATTTTCTACAAATTAAAAAAGTAAAATTCTATTCTAAAAAAAAGTTTCTGTATTGTCTAGAAAAAATGTTTTTTCAAACCAAAGAAGAGAAAAAAAAACTACTGGAATATAAAAAGCAAAAATTCAGTGCAAAAAATAATTTTCAAAACGTGCTTTTTATTATAAACTATATTTATTAAATAACAAATTTTTTACTAGAATAATGAGAAAAATTAGTCCAACTTTCACTATAATGAAACTTCAGTCATATTTTCATTCTCTAAAAGTAAATGCAAAAAATTGTACTTTAATTAATTAACAAAAAAAAAAAAAAGAAATAAAAAAATTAATTATAAAAATTACTTATAATAATTAATTAAAAAAAAATTATTTATAAAAAAAAAATTCAGTCAGGAAACAAATTTTTGTAATTTTCTACAAAAAAAATTTTTTTCATCCCAATTTCTTTTTCTACAATTTTTCTGATTAGGTACGAATTTTCTCTCTCTAATTATAGTAATTAAAAAATATTCCTTATATTCTAATTTTCAAAGAATTAAATTTCGAGAACGAAAATTATCTATTTATTTCTCCTACTTTTGTTTTCAATTTTTCTCCTGGAAAATAATTATTGCGAAAAATTATTCTCGAAATTCGTATATCATTAAATCTTAGTTTTCCTATTACAAAATAGTTTATAATTTTATTAAAAAAGGAAAGAACAAAAAATTAATACCCGTTATCTCCGCATTTTCACAACTCAGTTTTTCAATTATAAGTATAAAAAAAAACAAAAAAAATATACAAAGTCAATAAAACTAAATTACGCGAGAATTATAATACACAATAAGAGGAGGAGAAGGAGGAGAGGAATAAAATTACAATAAAAATGTTACCTATTAATTGACTAGAAATTGACAATTCTGAAAAAACAAAAAAATAAAAACAAGTCTTGGAGAAAATAAAAAGAAATAAAATTGAAAAAAGGTATTTTTCAAGTAAAAAAAATCTGTTTTTAAATTTAAAAAATTGAAAAATGGTTTTGTCAATTAAAAAAAAGTTTTTTTTAATAAAAAAAGGAATAATAAAAACTGCTTTTTGAATGAAAAAAAACTTTTTTCCATAAAAAAAAATTTTCCAATACTTTGCAAAACATTTCAGTGCTAATTCTTTTTGTTTTCTAAAACAATGAACAATAATTGTAAATTGTAATTAATTGTAAATATTATAAAAAAAATAGTTAAATAAAAAATTTAATTATTAAAAAATTGAAATAAAAAAATTTTACATTATTATTTACAAAGAGTCAAGGAGGGGAAAGTATTTTTTTTTTTTCGTGAAAGGTAACTTGGTAACGAGGTTCTGACTACAAAATACCTTCACGAGACCTGGAGGAGAGAGGTGGAGAGTCGAGTTCGGTCTCCTCTCCCCACCGTTGAACCTCCACGCCGAGAAGCGTGTGGGTGTCTTCATCGGCGAGCCTCTCGGGGAAGGAAATCCCATCGCCAAAGCTGCAAAACCCCATTTATACACCCCAATACTATTCGATTGCAATTTTCTTTTAAACAAAAATAAATATATACAAAAAAAAAGGAAAGAAAATTCAGTGACGTAACTATTTTTTTTCACTAAAAAAATTTGTTATTTGTACTCTTTTTATTTACTAAAAGAAATTTTTTATTTTACTCTTTTTATTCTTCTACTCTTTTCTTTTTATTTCTTGTACTCTTTTTACTAAAAGCAAATTTATTATACTCTCTATTTTTCCAAAAAAAAAAAATTATTTTACTCACTTTCTTTTTGCAAAAAGAAATTTTATTCTACTCTCCTTTTTTTAACAAAAAGAAATTTACTTTCTTTTTTTTTCACTAAAACAAATATATTTTATTCTCTTTTTTCGTTAAAAAAATTTTATTTTACTCTATTGTTTAAGAAAAAGAAATTTTATTCTACTTTTTTCACTAAGAGAAATTTTATAATACAGGGCTCGAAGCAGTGAAAGTATTTAAAAATACGGACTTTACGGACCAAACATTAAAAATTACAGACCATTTACGGACCAACTGACAAAAACAGAATCAGGCTGAATCAAATAAGAGAATGTTTTACTTAAAACTAGAAATTCAATTTTTTATAACTATAAAACATGAAGAAATCGATAACTCCGAGTCTTCGACTCAAAGTCATCGATTTCTTCATGTTTTATAATAATTAATAATAATTAAAATCATTATCAATTCAATTATTATTTTTAAGAATTTTTATCTAAAATTCTTCTTTATATCGATTATTTTTAATAATTTTCTAAAAAGTTCTTTGACAATTTTCAAATTCATTTCTTTACGAAATTTCAATTATTCGTAAATTCTTTAATTAAATAAATATTAAAAAATAGAAATTAAAAATAATATTAAAAAAACTCAATTAAACTTTTTCAAAAAAATTAATTACAAAATTCAATTATTTTTTAAAATTCGCCCTCTATTGCATTTAATATTCAATTATTATCTAAAATTATAACTGAAATTCATTTTTATGAAATAAAAATCAATTTTTATTAGAAAATTCTACTAGAATTCAATTATTTAAATACAAATTTAAATGTAAAAATGCAAATAAATTATTTATTGAATAATTGAACGTTTCTTAAAATTCAATTCCCATAAAAAATCGTTATCAACAAATTTTCAAATAATTTAATTCTATCAACGAATTTTAATAAAATTTTTAAGAATAATTACATTTTTCGAAAAATTCGATTAAAATTGTATTAAAAATAATTGAAATTCTGCATTGAATTTTATTATTTATAAAAATAATTGGATTCTTGCGAAGAATTATATTAAAATTTTCAAAAATAATTGAATTCTTGTAAAAAATTAACAGGAATTCAATTACTTTTAAAAATTTTAATAAAATTCTTGTCATAAATTAAAAATAACAAAATTCTTAGCAGATCTTCAATTACTATTAGAAATTTTAATAAAATTTTTCTCAAGAATTTAAATATTTTCGTAAAATAATAAAAATCTTTGCAGAGTTTCAATTATTCTCAAAAGTCTTAATAAAATTTTTCGCAAGAATTCAATTATTATAATCTAAGATTTTAACTGAAATCTATTTTTAAATCAATGTTTATGAGAAAATTCTACCAGAATTCAATTATTAAAATACAAAAATAAATAATTTATTGAATAATTCAATGTTTCTTGGAATTCAATTCCTATTAAAAATTTTATCAACAAATTTTTAAATAATTAAATTCTTTGGACGAATTTGAATAAAATTTTTAAGAATTTCTTCGAGGAATTCGATTAATATTCTATTGAAAATAATTTAATTCCTAAAAAGAATTTTATTATTTACGAAAATAATTGAATCCCCATAAAAATTGTATTATTTAAGAAAATAGTTGAATGATTGCGATGAAATTTATAAAAAAAATTTCTTATTAATGAAATTCTTGTGAAATTTTTATTATTTTTTGAAAATAATTGAAATTTTTCAATGGATTTTATTAAAATTTTTGAAAATAATTGAATTTTGTCGAAGAATTTTGCTATTTATTTATAAAGATAATTCAGATGTTGACCATTTTTTTTTAGATTTTTTGAAAATAATTGAATTTCGGGGAAGAATTTTAATATTTCTAAAGATAATTGAAATTTTGACGAGAATTAAAAAAAATTTTTGAACATAATTGAATTTCTGCGAAGAATTTTATTACTTTTGAAAATAATTGAATTTTATTACTTTAGAAAATAATTGAATTCGTGTGATAAATATTGTTAATTATGAGAATAATTGAAATTTTGTAATGAATTTTAATAAAACTTTTGAAAATAATTGAATTTTGCTATTTATTTATAAATATAATAATTGAAATGTTGACAATGTTTTTTAGATTTTTTGAAAATAATTGAATTTCTGAGAAGAATTTTAATATTTCTAAAGATAATTGAAATTTTGACGAGAATTTAAAAAAATTTTTGAACATAATTGAATTTTTGCGAAGAATTTTATTACTTTTTAAAATATTTGAATTTCTGCAATCATTTGTAATTTCTCTAAAATTCTCCAAATTATATCGTACAATTTATTTACATTTATTTATTATTCGCAAGCAAATTATTTTCAAAAAAAATAAAATTCTTCTTAGGAATTCAATTATATTCATAAATAATAAAACTCATTGCAGAATTTCAATTATTTTTAATATAATTTTAATCGAATGAGAATTGAATTTTAAGAAACATTCAAAAATTCAAAAAATAATTTATTTTTATATTTAAATAATTGAATTCTAGTAAAATTTTTTAATAAAAATTGATTTAAAAATGAATTTCAGTTCCAATTTTAGATAATAATTGAATATTAAAAGCATTATAGCGCGAATTTTTAGAAGTAATTGAATTTTGAAATTAATTTTTTTGAAAAAGTTTAATTGAATTATACTTTTGTATTATTTGAAGTTTTTATTTTCTAATAAATATATTTAATTAAAGAATTTACTAATAATTGAAATTTCGTAAAATTGAATATTGTAAACAAATGGATTTGAAAATTGTTAAAGATCTTTTTGGAAAATTATTAAAAATAGTTGATTTAAAGAAGAATTTTAGTTAGTTTAATCCATAATTTTTCATTTTTGCTCCGTACCTAAAATCCGTATTTTTAAATACTTTCACTGGTTCGAGCCCTGGGGTAAATAATTTTTTTCTACGGTTTTAATTAAGAATTAATTACTCAAATAATTAATTAATTATTTACTTAAGTGACTGAATACTTAATTGACTAATTAATTAACTAATCAAAAATAATAACTAACTAAATAATAATTTTTAATATAATTCATATAATTAGTTAGTTAATTAAGCATTTAATAAATTAAACAATATTAAAAAAAATTAAATTACATAACTAATTAAGTAGGTACTTAATTATTTAATTACAAATATTCTTTTTTTGTGCAACTTTTTCAAATTTTTATACCTAACTATATCAAAATTTCTCCAAAAATTGAAAGAAAAAAATTATTTGGAATTAAAAAAACTAAAAAAATAAATTCTCTACAAAATAAAGAAAATAATATATTTACACGAGTTCAGAAATAGATTATGAAAATGTAAAAAACTATAAATAAAAATCTCTCGTTGATAAAAAAAATCAATTATTTACTCTAATAATAAAAACTCGACATTTAAATATTGTTTCCGAGTGAAAAAGAAAGGGAGAAAAAACTGATAATAATCTAGTATATATGTATATAAATAATAATAGAAATTATAATTATAAAAATATAATTGATAAAAATTATATAATAATTGAAATATAAAATTAATTAATAATATAAATAGAGAAAATAGTTACGTCACTGCTTATAATAATAAAATACAATATTAATACATAAAAATAAAAAAAAATCGTAAGAACCAGATGCACAATACCTCCGGGATTGCAATAAATTACTATATTTAAAAAGAATTTTTTTACGCAAGAATGAGAGAGAGAGAGAAAGAGATGAGTCTTGGATCGAGTATAAGAGAAGAGATCATGCATCCACATGATTTTCAAATATAGGAACGATGAGCGTCTACATGATTTTTAAAATTCTAGAATATGTGACGCGCTCCCAAGAAAGGTACCTAAGAAGCAAAAAATTTGAGGTTATGTTTTAAATTTTGTAAGTAAAAATACAGAAAGAGAATCAATTATTAATTAAAAATTGTTGGTCTTCAAGTCTTCATTATATTCAAAATATTCAATGAATATTGGTTTCAAATTCAAATAATTAAAAATTAACTTTTAATCAAGATAAATCTAACTCGAACCCAACCTATAATTCGTTTGCTTCTTAGGTACCTTTCTTGGGAGCGCGTCACATATTATACAACTTATTAATATCTATCTGTAATATATCAACAAAAATGAAAAAAAAGATCTCAACGTCAATTTATTCTACTTTCAAGCTCAGTTCAAAAACATTATATCGCCTCTCGACAATAATTTTCTTTTCCTTTTTCCCCGAAAATATCCTATAATATAAGAAACCTTCCTAATTTCCTCAACAAATTTTTACCTTTTTCTTTTTTTTTATTTCTTAATTGTTGTAATTTCAATTATTATTCCTAAGAAATGCAATTTTGTTTTTATTGAAGTAAAGAAAAAAATTAATTCACTAAAATTTAGTTGCGATTTTTGAAACCAACAATTTAAATACCTAATTTATTATTAAATAACAGTTTAACAATTGTTTAATAATTATTCATAATAATAAATTCATTCATATTTACTATTATTATTAAATAAATTATTATAATCAATAGTAATTATTTATTATTAATAATAATAAATTAAGAAATTTCTATTATTCTCAAATACATTATCAATAATAATTATTTACCAATAATAAAATTAATTAATATATATTATTATTGTCAAATAAATTATTCTCAATAATTATTTATTACCTAATAATAAATTAATCAATTTCTATTATAATAATTATTATATTATTATCAAATAATCGATTATTAATAATGAGTAGGTATTTAATAATTATAATAATCGTAACAATAATTATTATAATAATATTAATAATAATGTAATTATTTATAATTATTAATAATAATTATTGTTAATTAAAATATTATTTATTTGTCTGTTTATTTATTCAGAAATAATTATTTTTATTCGTAATAAAAAATAGAAAATTCTCTTTTTGTATTAAAAATAACAATAATAAATAATTTGATAAGAAAAAGAAACATTATAGAAATATTTATCAATAGTAAATATTTCTTTCATAGTAAAATAATGCGAAATTATTAAAAAAAAATCAATTTAAAAAAATGGTATTTTAACAACAAAAAAAAAAGCGAGAAACTAAAGTTTTAGTATTAAAAAAAACCAGCTTTGCGCTCAATTCTATGATTAAAAAACTAGAAGCACATATATAAATGACAATAAAAAAATTTTAATGAGCTGTAAAATAAGAATTATGATAAGATTTGAATTATACACATAAAGTATAGAAAAGCATTCTCCAGACTGTTTTTTTCTACCTCCTAGAAATATGGAAAAATTTTCAAAAAAAAAATCTATTTTTACAAGAGGTACTAAAAAAACATCTGAATTTTTTTTTTTCTAAAAACAAGCCAAACACATCAGGATGAATGACATGCACATGCAAACAATAAATCTATGTACGTACAAAATCACTTTTTAGAAATACATACAATCACAAAATTTCAAATTCTCTTGATTCTTTTTTTTTTGTTTTTTAATCTAGACAATAATATATTTTCGAGACCAAAAATCATTTTTCACAAATAAAAAAATACCTTTTTTGTATAAGAAATATTTTTCTAACAATACATATTTTTAAATAACATTTATTATCTAATTAACAATTACTTTTAAAAATAAGAAATAATTATTTAAAATAATAATTTTAATTTAATATTTAAAATTAATTAAATTATTATTGCAATAATAATAATTATTTTCAAATAATAGTTTTTGTAGTAATAATAATTTTCAAATAATTATTATTATTGTAATAATAATTATTTGCTAATAGTAATAATAATTTTTTAAGTTATTTATTCAAATTCACGAGTACAAAGCAAATTTTGTAAAAATCATTATTTTCAAATAAAAAATTCCCTTTCAAAAAAAAAATGTTTTCTCATCTAAAAAAAATTAATTATTTTTCTGAAAATATTTCTCTGTTTATCAAAAATAATTTAATAATTTGTTTTTCTAATTATTTCCTTTAAAACCATTATCATTCTGGAAAAAATATGCATTTTCAGAAATAATTCTAATTTTTAATAAATTTTAATAATTCAATTTTCAAGTATTCTAAATAAAAAATGACAAAAATTTTTGTTCAAAACAATTGGAAATCTCTTTTTTCTTGAGAATAATCAAAATTCATCTCGAAAATAATTAAGTCTTCATTATGCAGATTCAAAACATTACTTGAAAAAAAAATTAGAAAAATAAAAATTAGAATTTTTTTGAAAATAAAATTTCACTTGAAACAATAAATTTTAATATACAAAATAATTTTTGAAAATAAATTGAATAATAATTTGAAAATAAATTTTCAAATAAATTTTCAAACTTACTATGAAAGCTTAAAACTATTTAAATTTTAAGATAACTTGTAAAATAAATTTGCCAATTTATTTCTATTGTATTTTAGAAAAAAATACTTGAAAAATAAAAAACAAAAAAGATAAGTATCAATTGTGACACTAAACTTTTTTTTACCCTTTTTATTTAATAATTTTTCTTTTCAGTGGAAAAATTAATAGAAAAAAATCCGAATTATGGTATTTCTCTATCTCTAAGGATTTCTGACCTGTTTTGAGTGTTGCCCATCGAGTTGTATGAATTCGGGGCACCATCGTCTTGTAGGCGAAGTGGATAGTTGACTCCATTGCCAAGACTAAAACACATTTGTTCCAAAAAAAAAACCCTATTTTAAAAACGTGCTCTCTACAATTTCATTGCACTACAATTCTCGTTTTGAATAAAAAATAAATTCCTTCCCACTTTCTTTTTTGAGAACAAAAAATATAAATTCCGTTCCAACTTTTTTTTGCGAAAAAAAATATAAATTCCATTTCAATTTCTTTTCGCGACAAAAAATATAAATTCCGTTCCAATTTTCTTTTCAGAAAAAAAATAAATAATAAAATAAACAAAAAAAAATTGTATATGCGTTTCAACTTCAAAATTACAATATTTTTAATACTTATTATTTTCCCTATTAATTATATTTACTTGATTTTATTTATTTATTTATTTATTTACTATACTGAAACTGTAAAAAAAAAATTATATTAGAAAAGAAGAAGAAATATTGCATAAGAGAAAAATATTTTTATTTTCATTATTTAATAAACTAAAATTGTAAATACAAAATAAAAAAAATTATTCTATACAAAAATAAGTCATTATTTTTAGAAAAGAAACAAAAAAAGTTATTCCATTAAAAAAAAATAAAAAGAATAAATTATCCGATAAAAATAAAAATAAAATTCTTGATAAAGAAAAAAATTATTACCTAGATATTTTTATTCTTTTAGAGAATAATTTTAGAATTATCTCTTACTTTTATAGTTCAAACGTTTACTGAATTACTAAATATTTTCAAAAAGTATAAAGTTTTATTTTTAAAATTATTTCAATGAAGTTGAAACACAAGAAAAATTAAACAAAATAAATAAATAAAACAAGAAATCCCCACACTAAAAAAAAGTGTCACGTCTACAGAAAAATGCTAAAGATGCAAATATATATAATATAAATTCTAGAAATAAATCGTCAAGCACTCAAAACAATTTTTCTCCTTTAAATATACATTTATGCACAATTATTTTGAAATCGACAATAATAATAACTGCGGAAGATCAATATTGAACATTTTTCACGAATAAAAACACCCAAAAAAAGGAAGAAATTCTTTTAAACAGAAAAAAGTTGAAAGAAACTTTTTTGACAATAAACAGAACAAAAAAAGAAAGAAAAGTTTAAGAAACGAAAGAAAGAATTATTTTTTTCAGAAATAAATTAAATATCACAATTAATAAATAAAATATCAAATTTTAAACAAAGGTAAACCAGAATAAATTAAAAACTGTTGAAACTAAAAAATTATAAATTAAAAATAGAAAAAAATAAATAAAAACACAAAGAGAAAAATAAAAAAAGAAACTATTTTGACAAAATAAATTAAGTTTCACTATAAATAAATAAATACATAAATAAAGAAAATAACAAATTAAAGAATAAATTTAAAAAAAACAGAAAAACAAGAAATAATAATAAATTAAAAATATAAATAAAAATAAAAATAATGAAAAAGAAGAAAAAAGACAGAATCAAAGACAAAATACATAAATAAATAAATGAAAATTCAATAAAGAAAAAATGAAAATGAAAAATGCTGTGCAAATGACCAGCGATAAAATGCAAGTGCTGTAGAAGCGAAACATTTATGATCATAAACATTGAGACATTAATAATAATTTTCAAAGAAACAAAAAATGACCCTTTTTTTATCGAAAAATGTTGCTGGTTTTTTTTCTTTTTGTTTTGTTTTACTCTTCTTTTATTGTTGGTCCTTTTGCACGAACAATAATTTTTTTCACAATATAATCGAAACTTCCAGTCGACTATCGATTCCAAATTTGCTAAAAAAGATTCACTAAACTTTTAATACTCAAGAATTAAAAATTTCTTATTCTAAATATTTGCAAAGCAAAAATCGACTATCTAGGGAGAGAATATAAGAGAAAGAGAAAGAGAGAGGGAGAAAGTGGGTATAGAGAAAGAGAAAGAGTAAAAAAATATACCGTGTCTATTTACGAATTTAAAATTTTTACTCCAACGAAACGTAATCAATTGCACTCAATTTTTAATTTTTTATCATTATCGAATCGACTAAGTAATTAGTGATTAATTATTAAACAATAGATTAATTCTAAGGAAATTAATTTGTAACTAAGTAATTAATCATTAAGTAATTAATTACTTACTTAACAATAATTATTCACTAACAAATTAATTACCAAATAATTAATCACTTAACAATTAATTATTTACTAAATAATAATTTTCTAAACAATTAATTTCCAAATGATTAATCTCTAAACAATTAATTACTAAATAATTAATTATTTACTTAATAATTATTCACTAAAGAATTAATTACGACATAAATGATCACTAAACATTACAATTATTGACTCAATAAATATTCACTGTTTAGTGAATTAATTAGTAATTAATTGTTTGGAGAATAATTATTTAGTAAGTAATTAATTACTTAGTTACTGATTAATTCCCTAAGAATTAATTTATTGTTTAAATAATTATTCACTGTTTAGTGAATAATTAGAATAATCAATTGCGAAATAATTAATTTTGATAAATAATTATTAAGCAGATTAAGTAAATTGATTATTAAGTAGATTAAATAAATTAATAAGTAAATAAATTACTGATTTATTCAGCAAACAACCAATCGACTATTTAATTATTATTATTAACGAAAAAAAGAAAAAAATTAATAAAACAAATACAAATTTCAATAATCGGTATTGTGCAATTGGCTCGTCACTGTGAAATTTTCCAATAAATTCTCTATATTGACAGATTTTACTATTCTATAAATAATTAAATTTTCAAACAAAACTAAGTTGTACTTATTTGAAAAGGAGGTCGCGCGAGCCATTGTTTTCAAAACGTTGAGAATTACAATATTCCAATATACGATTGATATTTATATTGTTTGAGAAGAAAAAACGAAACGATTCAAGGACTCGAATTAAAATTAGAAACACATTGATATTTATATATCCGCTTTATCCAAACGAGAACCAATTTGTTTCTGAGACAAAAAAAAACGAACCGTTCAAAAATCGTGTGTCAATCGGAAACTAAAGAATAAATTTTATCTTTCTTTAAACTTAACATTTAGAAATTAAATTCAAAAATGAAATTCAAAAGTTAAAATTAACAATTAAATTGAAAAACTAAACTTAATAATTAAATTTAACAATTAAATTGAAAAACGAAACTTAATAATTAAATTTAACAATTTAATTAAAAAATGAAACTCAATAATTAAATTTACCAATAAAAAATAATTATAATTTTTTAAATATTTAACAATTTAAATATTAACTTCATAATAAACTTTATAAAATTTACCTCGAAATTTTAACCAGTAAAATATCAAAAGATTTTCAATCAATTATTCTTTCTTTTCTTATCGATAGTTCGTAATTTTAATAATTTATTAATAAAAAAAAAGAAAATAAATAATAAAACTATGAATGAAATTTTTACAGAATAAAATATTTTCTAGATCGTTTGCGATACTTTTATGCGTCAATAATTACTTAAAAATTCTCTTAGAGAAATATTGGAATCTTTCAGGGATAAAAAAAAATTCTTCTTGCGGAATATATATTATTATATATAATTCAAGAAAAAAAAGAAAGAAAAAAAGTTTAAAAAAAACAAACGAAAAAAATGCTCACCTAGTGAAAATTGGTAGGAACCAGAGACGTGTATTGTCTCCAAATACTTCTTGAAAATTATTATACTTTCCAAGGCTATAAGCGTTTTTATCTTGTCCACTGCGGAACATTGGCGGTCTGTAAGCCTCTGAAAATAAAATATTAATTAACAAAATGATAAATAGTAAAATAAATAAATAATAAACCTAAATCGTTTGGTCGAGTTTCTTATTGAAAAAAAAGACAAATGAAAATGAATAATTAATAATAGAAAAAAAATAAAAAATTATTTTTCTCTATTTACAAGTAAACGGTCATATTTATTTCAAAAAATTAACAAATAAATTAAAAATAATAATTCCCAATTTCTGAACCAAGTATTTGGCAGTTGTTTGAAGTAAAAAGTCGATTTTTAGGGCAAAAATTTGTCAAAAAATCTGTTGCCAAAAAAAAAAAACAAAGAAACCAAAAAAAAATCCGCTACGTACTCGAAAGCATTAGTAAATGACAATAAAAAAAAACTTTGTCCGAAGTCAATCCAATCAAAACTGTTCTAGCTAGACTGCCCACCGTTTTGAAAAACGTCATTTCGAGAAAAACGCGTTTAAAGTTTTGAAAGCACTTGAAGCGCTCTTGGACACCTGTTGCAGATTTTGATTTTTTTCACATAAAATAACTTCGAAATCATCTCTAATGATATAATTTTTATTCTACACATTATAAAGTACCGTTTAAGCAAGAAAAAAAAATTCGATTTTTTTTCGGGTCAAAGGTGTCACTCCCCCTTAAAAGGTTAAAAATTAGACAAAAAAATATTATAAAATATAAAAACGGAGGAAAAATAGGTTAAAAATTTATAATTACCTAGTGTCGATCTGTTTCGTAAAATGAGGTAGCAATGGTAGAAGAAAAGTGAATTGAGACTTACTGCAAACATTATTGCAATAAAAAACAAGAAAAGAACATGAAACTTGACCGTTTCGTGTAAATCATTCTGCAAATAAAAAAAGAAAAGAATATCAGTAAACAAATAAGTTGCTTTACAATTTTATATAATTTAGTCTCAAAGAAGAAAAACGAAAACAATTTTTCAAAAACATATCTAAATCCGTAAGTTGTACTTAAATTATTTGAAAAATAAAATAAAATTAAAATAATGGTATTTATTTATAAAAATTAATGAAATTTGAAAAATTTAGTTTTGAAATTCTGAAAAATGACTTTTAAAGAAATCTAATTAAAATTTTTGTTTGAAAATGCTAGTTATCGATAATAATAAATACATAAAATGAGAGAAATTACCTTCCAAAAGCGCACAAAATACTCCAGTGTCGTGGCAGTAATAAATGTGCAATATAAAAATGCGTAAGCTAAGAATAACATGAAGAATTTATAATTATGGAAGCCAACGCAATTATTCACCCAGGGACAATGATGATCCATTTTCAAAACGCACGTCCCGCAAACGCTGCAATGATGCGCTCTATCTGGCTTTACAACATAACACTGCTCGCAATAGCGCACAACTAAAAAATTAAAAAAAGAAAAAACAATAAAAATTAAAATAAAATACATAATTTATCAAAAAAAGAAAAAAAATTCTTTTCATTTTCTTTTTCTCTTTTTTTACCCCCTTTAACGGTTCGATTCGTTATCGGAAGATCCTGTGCTAAACGATCCAAAATTTGCCTTATAATATCCTCCGTTTCAGCTGTTAAAAGTTTCTCCATTTCGACTGCCGGTATTTTAAACTGTATTTGAAAAAAAAGAAAAATTAACATTTTCTGGTATAAAAATTAATTTCACAACGTTAATAATAATTTTTCTTTGCAAAAGTTTTCAATTTTGAAATTAATGTATTGAAAATAATTGAATTCTTGAAAAAGAATTTTATCAAAAAATTTGAAAATAATTGAATTATATCGAAGAATTTTATCAAAATATTTTAAAAAGTAATTAAATTTCTTCGAAGAATTTGATTATGTATTTATGAAAATAATTGAATTCTTAATGAATATTCTATTAAAATTTTCAAAAATCCTAAATAAATTATTTTAAAGAATTTTTTTGAAATTTTTTTAAATAATGGGAATTCTTATGAATTTAATTGAAAATTTTAACACTAATAGAATTTTATGAAGAATTCCTTTCAAATTTTAAAAATAATCGTATTTGTTAATAATTGTAATTAAACACTTAGTTATTGAATTTTATTAAAATTTTTGTAAATAATTGAATTCTTCTCAGAACTTTATTACAATTTTTTAACATAATTTAATTCATACAAGAAATGTAATTAAAATATTGAAAATAATAATTGAATTCTTTCGAAGAATAGATACTACTAAAAGGTTTTAAGCCAATAATTGAATTCTTTAATTTTTTTAATATATAATCGATTTTGTTATTAATTGTAATTAATAATTTGTCTATTAACTTTTATTAAAATTATTGACAGAAAATTAAATTCTTTAAAACAATCTTATTATATTTTTCGTAAGTACTTAAATATTCTTCTGAAGAATTTCTTCAAGTTCTTTAAAAATAAAGTGGTTTTTTTTTAATAATTTTAATTGAAAATTTTAAGAGTAATTGAATTTTATAAAAAAATTTCTCAACTTTTTAAAATAATCGTGTTTGTTAATTAATTATAATTAAAAATTTGATTATTGAATTTTCTTCAAATTGTGTTAAAAATAATTGAATTCCTGAGAAAAATTTTATTATTTATGAAAATAATTGAATTCTTGCGAAGAATTTTATTGAAATTTTTGAAAATCCTAATTACATTCTTTTAAAGAATTTCTTTCAATTTTTTTAAAATAATGGAGTTTCTTTAATAATAATTTTAGTTTTTAATTGAAAATTTTTAAAGTAATTGACTTTTATGAAGAGTTTCTTTCTTTCAATTTAATTAGTCTCAGAATTTTACAATAATTTTTTTTTAAATTTAATTCATTCAAGGAATTTTATTAAAATATTGAATTCCTTCAAAAGAAATTTCTTTAATTTTTTTAATACAATCAATTTTGTTAATAATTATAATTAATAATTTTCCTAATGTAAATTTAATTAAATTTATTAAAAGAAAATTAAATTCTTTTAAACAATTTTATTAGAGTTTTCATAAATATATTCTTTTGAAGAATTTCTTTAAATTTTTTAAAAATATTAATATAGTTTTTTAAATAATTTTAATTGGAAATTTTGAAACTACAATTGAATTTTATGAACAATTTCTTTGAACTTTTTAAAATAAATCTTGCCTGTTAATAATAATAATTGTAATTAAAAAATAGATTATTGAATTTTATTAAAATTCTATTGAAAATAATTGAATTTTTGAGAAGAATTTTATTATGTACTATAAATAATTGAATTCTAGTGAAGAATAATTTTACTGTGTATTTATAAAAATAATTGAATTGTCTTAAAGAATTTATTATAGAAAATAATTGAATTCTTTAGAAAATTTTTATTAAATAGAAAAATAAATAGAAAAATTAAATTAAAAAATAATTACTGAAAAATTGAAAATGAAAATAAAATTGAAAAAGAATTACTGAAAAATTAAAATTGAAAAAAAATTGAAAAATAATGACAGAAAAATTGAAATTGAAAATAATTGAATTTCTGCAAAGAATTTTACTATTTATAGAAAAATAATTGATTTCTTCCAAAGAATTTTATTTTATTTATGAAAATAAATAATAAACAATAATAAACAATAATAATTAACTACATTAATTATGTTGTTAAAGTAAGTATATTAAATAATTAATCAATTAATTAATTAATTATCGCAGTACCTTATCAGGAATTGGAGTTAATTCTGTGAAGACAGTTTGACAATACGACCAGGTAAACATCGCAAACAGCGCGTGGAAGAAAATCAGGTAGAAAACTGCATTTAAAAAAAACAGAAATTTATAAATTATTAAAAAAATTATTTCTCCTCTTTCCTTAAAATTCAAGTTCTGTAGAATTTGAAATAAAAATAAACTCAATTTTCGTACCTCTTTGCACTGCACTCTCAAGAGTATCTGAGAAAAGAAAGAAAAAACCAGAAAATTGTTAATTTCCAAAAAAATAAATTATCTGATGGAATATTTTTTTAAATTACTTAAAAATATCATAAAATTACTTAAAAAATATCCTAAAATAAATTAACAAAATATTTCTAAAATAAAATTTTCATTATTAATTAATTTTTCGAATCGTTTACAAATATTATTTAAGCATTTATTTGTTTATTTATTTATTTCTTCATTTTCTTCTTTTTTTAAATTCTTTTTCATTTTTTTCAATTTATTGTCTTTTATTAAAATGATTTTAATATTTAATTATAAAAAATTAGTTTAAAATATAAATTTACTGAAGAAACGGTTCTAAAATTTACTACATATAATTTATTAACCGCTGTCAAAACAAAAATCCCAAATTTCTCTTTCATTCCTTTAAAACTCGTAAATAAAATTCTATCGATTTATTGGAAATTTCAATTCGAAAACAGGAAACAATTTTTTACGGTTTATAAGGAACTCTGTTTTCACTCAAAACAGTTCAAACGGCTCGATGATAATAATAATAAAAGAAAAAAAAGAAAGTGAAAATAAACCCAAAGAAAACCGCAAAATCAAAAAGCCACTATCGCTTCATAAACAAATAAATAAAATTTGATAAAATTCAACACGTAACATAAAATAACAAATTTTATTGTATTTTTATCCCTCGATAAATAAACCCAAATCTCGTGTTTTAAAATTAGCAAAAACTATCATAGAGAACCTGGAAAAAAAGGAAAAAGAAAAAAAAGAGAGAAAAAAGTGATAATAACTTCTCACTCACGACCCTGAAATAGATAAAAATCGCCACACAACTTGTTCTTAAAAAGAAATATTTCCGAGCAAATTTCATTCTATTAATTTTTCTCAATTTTCTAAACTTTCTAACTATACAAAAAAGCAAACAAACAAACAAACAAAAATGTTTTAAAGACAAAAAAATCAATAAAAAAATTGATTTGTAAATTAATAGAAAGGAAAAAATGATTAATTTCAATAATAAATTATTATTTAATTATCATATATAATACTATGATTATGAGATTATGAGAAGCAATCGAATAAACGGATAAATACCGGTCAATATTACGATTTTTATAACAAAAATTAATACAAGATCGGAAAAGTGACATAACCTCCAAAATTTAAGGGTGAAGTTCTCGAGGTGGGGAGACGACTTTTTTTTTACAAGACATATTTGAAAAATATATATTTAGTTTCACGAGAATAAAAATAGATTATAGAAGATACTTACAAAAGCAGAATTGAACTATATAAGCGTAGTAAGACCAGCCAACGGTTGTTAAAATAAAGATAACTGGAATCCATTTGACTGCCTTCAAACACCACCAACATGATCCGTTTTGTTTACTCATTTTGTCAATTGCAATTTCATTTAAAAAAAATTACACACTCACACTTTTTTTTCACTATATTCACCACACATTACGATATAACTAATACATATTTTCATAGGCACTTTGCCTCTTTTTCTATATTTTTTATGTACATAAATATTTATTATACATATGAGAGAGAAAGAAAGAAAAGAGCGCACAGCAGGGAGACGAGAAAAATTTTCGAAAAATGTTTCGAAAAAAAAAAATAAAAATACGAGAAAAAAATTTCTTACATCAGACAATCATGAATTTTTCCTCACGCGGATTATGACGTAAACTCTCAGTCAAATTTATTCGAGGCGTTGTCTTTATTTTCACGTTTGACATCGATATAATATTTAACAATCTCTACTCTTAATATATGTATTAATATCGCACGTTATCATAAGAAATTCATCGAAGCAATCCACATTCTTTGACTTCGACAACACGACTGACAGAAATAATTTTTCTACTTGTCGCTAGTGCTCATGCGCGTTTTTTTTTAAATAAAAAAGTAATATTCAAATTTTTCCTTTAATTTTACGATTTTAAAACAAATTTCTTTTAAAACAAATTTATAAACGTTCTAAACTTCTTCTTCTTCTGAAAGTCTGAAAGTTAACATATTTGTATTTGCGTACATTTTGAGGTTATGATAAGGCGCGAATCTTATACGAATGTTTAATTGATCAAAATTCTCTTGTTTCGATTTTCGAATTTTATTCAGTTTAAAAGTATTTTATATCTCGTATTTTATCTTAATGAAGAAGAAAAATTTATCGATTGAGAAAAAATATTTGAAATACGAGAAAGCTCTCGCTTTTCTTTTAGAATAGAAATTTGAAAAATTCGCGGGCATTTTTTCGTGAGCGGAAACGAGTAACGCCATCACGAGTCAACTACTTCCTTTTCTTTCTTGTTTGGCACGTGTGTTGAATAAAATGGAGAAAGTACAGAAGGTAAATTAAAATAGTTTTTTAGTGTTTCGCGAATTAGTCTTTAGTAAAAAAAAGTGCAGTATTTAAAAATTAATTGTGTCTTATTTCAGAAACAAAAGGAACCTATCCACTCGGTGCAGGTCTTCGGACGCAAAGTGAGTAAATATCATTTTTTGAGGTTACGTTGTCGCGTGCTTGAATTTTTTCCACAATACGCAATGTGTCATTGATTTATATTCGATTTTTGTAATAAAAAACCGTTCGAAATTGTTATTTTTTTATTTTTTGGCGACTTTCTTTTCTTTTTGCTCTTTTTGAAACTTAACCATCAATTTTCCAAATACAAAATAATTGACGTGTTTTGACGAAAGAAACGAAAGTTTGTTCCAATTTTTCGCTATAAAATTCGCTCAGAGGATTATTATATATAGAAAATGTTTGGGAATTGGATCAATTTTGGAATTTATGAAATGTTTTTCTAGAAAAGTGCAACCGCAGTGGCATATTGTAAACGGGGACGCGGTCTCGTCCGGGTAAATGGACGACCATTGGAATTGGTAGAACCCCGTGTTCTTCAATATAAACTCCAGGAGCCCATTTTGCTTTTGGGCAAGGTAAATTCTTTAATTTATTTTCCTAATCTTCTTCATTAATTTTCTCTTTTTTATTTAACCCCATTAACGGTTTAAAAAGAAAATATCTATTTCTAATTTCCCTTTCGCACAATTTTTACCTTTAATTTTTATTTAAGCCGAATTTCCATTTTAAACCATTTTCGACATTTTTTTAGAGCAAATTATTTATTTTTTTTTTAATAAGAAAGACTTTTTTTAAAGAAAAAAAATTCTATTAAATCAGGGTTGCCACGCAACCTAAAATTCATGGGAATATCAGGGAATTTTATAAACCTTGAAAAAAACTGGAAAAGTCAGGAAATTTTGATCGAAATCCTGTAAAATTGTTGTTTTCTAAAGTTATTGTGATTATTCTTGAAATCTAATTTCACTTAAATATTTCAAAATGAATTCAATTTTAAAAGAATTGCGTTTGTCAATTTTCATAAGTAGATGAAATTTAAAAGATTATGATTTAAAATTTTGTAAAATTTCAATTTTAAATGAATTTAATTAGAAATATAAAAAAACTTAGATTTAAAAAAAAAATTTAAACTAAAATTCTTCTGAAGTTAGTTACATTTTTTAATATTATATATTTAACTAGATTTATTAAAAATAATGGATTTATAGAAGAATTTTAGTTAAAAACACTAAAACAAATTGAATTTTGAAGCAATTACAAATGATTGCAGAAATTCAATAAATTATTTTAATAAAATTCTTGGCAAAATTTTAATTATTTTCAAAAACTTTCCTGAATTCCATGATTTTGAATTTATACTGCTCGAAAAAATGTAATTATTTTTAAATATTTTATTAAAATTTATCAAAGATATTCAATTATTTTAAAAACCTTTGCTACAATATTTATTTATTAGAATTTGAGTATCATTTTCAATATATTTTTAATTAAATTTCTTTAAAGAATTAAATTATTTTTAAAAAATTTTAATGTCATTCTTTGTGTAACAATTCAATTTTTTTCAAAATAATTTTAATAAAATTCTTCGCAGAAATCCAATTTTTATGTTTAAAAATTTACAAAAATTCTCATCAAAATTTCAATTATCTTTATAAATAATAAAATTCTTGTCAAAATTTCAAGGACTTTTAATACAATTTTCACCAAATTTCTCGAAAGATGAAATTATTTTTAAAAATTTTATTAAAATTTGTCATGAGAATTCAATTATTTCAAAATTTGTTAATAAAATTCTTTATGAAAATTCAATTTTAAGAAACATTCAATTGTTTAATAAAATATTTATTTTTGTAGTTAAAAAATTGAATTCTCGTAGAATTTTCTAATAAATATTAATTTAAAAATAAATTTCAAATTAAAATCTTTGAAAATTTGCAGTTTTCATACTTTTAATTAAGAATTCTGTAGAATTAATTTTTCTCAAAAAGTTTAATAGAATTTTTTTTTTAATTATTTGAAGTTTTTAATTTCTAATATATTTAATTGAAATATGTCAGAATAATCAAAATTTCATACAATTAAATTGAAAAGAAAAAAATTTGAAAATTCACAAAGAACTTTTTCAAAAATTATTTTTAAAAAAATTGACTTAAAAAGAAGAATTTTAGTTGAAAATTCTAGAAATTAATAATCGTGATGATGAAAATAACTTTTAAAGAAGTTACAGTAACAAAGTAGCAAGTTTTAATTAATTATAAAACATGAAGAAAGCGATCACTCCTAGTCGCTTTCTTCATGTTTTATAATAATTTTCTTATATCATAATATGTTATTGAATTTCAAATTTTTAAATATCTTAATTTCTATAAAACAAAATAATGATTAAATATTTATTTAAAAATGAAGTTATTGGTGTTTTTAAATAATTTTCGTTTTAAAAACCTGGAAAAATTCCGTTTTTTAACATGGAAAACCTGGAAAAGTCAGGGAATTTGAAAAGAGCAGAAGCGTGGCAACCCTGTAAATTTTAATTTAGTTTTGCTAATTAAAAATTCAATTTATTTATTTATTTAAAAGGTTAATTCACTTTTCATTCAGCCCAATTTTTACCTTTAATTTTTATTTAAGCCGAATTTCCATTTTAAACCATTTTCGACTTTTTTATAAAGCGAATTTCAAAATTTAGTAATAATTTCTGATTAAAGCAATTATTTCTTAGTTTTTTTTTTAAATAAAAAAGACTTTTTTTAAAAGAAAAAAAAATTCTATTAAATTTGAATTTAGTTTCGTTAATTAAAAATTCAATTTATTTATATAATGACTCGTTTATTTAAAGGATTAATTCACTTTCGATTTAATTTGTTTAACTAAAAGAGAAAATTTTCGTATATATGATGAATTTTTTATTCCGAACATGATTCTCTGTGAATAGAAAATGGATTCTGAATAATTTGTAAAATTAAAAAAATTTATTAAAAAGGGGAAAAAATTGCAAGTGTTAATAAAAAAATGTTGTCTCCATTTTTTACAGGAAAAATTTGCAGGTGTTGATATCAGAGTACGTGTTAATGGCGGAGGACATGTCGCACAAATCTACGCTATTCGTCAAGCAATTTCAAAAGCTCTCGTCTCTTACTATCAAAAGTGTTAGTAAAATTTTCTATAAATTTAATTTCTAGTTTAAAATTTTTCTTATTATGAAATTTTCTTCTTTAAGTATAATTGATACTTAATGTAAAAAACTCAAAAAGAAAAAGAAAAACAAAACTAAACTTAAAAATCAAATTTTAAATTAAAGAATTAAAGAAATTGGAGTAAAAGGAAATTTTTTTTCAATTATTAGATCGAATAGTTTTAATTATCACCAGAAAAACAGAATTCAAGAAATTAAAGTAAAGCAAGTTTTTTAAAAAGTATTAGATCGAAAATGATTTTAATTATCACAAGAAAAACAGAATTGAAGAAATAAAATTTAATAAAGTAAAACGAATTTTTAAAAAATTATTTTTAACGAATAATTATAATTATCACCATAATAATTATTTTATGAACATAATTATTAGATTTTATAATTATAATAATTCAATAATTTTCAAAAATAAATTTACGTTTTTTGGTCTTGTAATTCGTATTTAATTCGTTTCCAGTTCATTTTTAGTTCCCTTTTTTAAATTAATTTTTGATGAAAATAATTATTAGAGGGTAATTTTGTATTTCATTTAAAAGAATGTTTTCCAATCACTAACTATTTCTTTGTATTTACAGATGTCGATGAAGCAAGTAAAAAGGAAGTTAAGGATATTTTGATCCAATACGATCGAACACTGCTCGTCGCCGATCCGAGACGTTGCGAGCCGAAGAAATTCGGTGGTCCCGGTGCAAGAGCACGATACCAAAAATCGTATCGTTAATTTCAAAATTTACCTGCAAATTTTTCTTTACATTATTCAATAAAATATAAAAAAAAAGAATACAAAATTCATTCTTAATTATTTTTATGCCAAACAAATTTTTATCAATATTTATTTTTAGTCTTATTTTTATTTAGAAAACAAATAAGTATTGAGTTTAAATTCAAATTTAGATGAAGTAGTAAAATATCTGCTTTTTAATTTTAATTTCAATCTATTGAAAGTTTTTTTTTATTTAAATTTTTAAGAGAACAAATTTTCTTTTTATTAAAATTATTTAATTTTTTTAATGAAAGTCCTATTTTTCCATTAAAATCATAAATTTGTTAATCAAAATTCAATTTTTGAATTACAATCCTAATTTTTTATATTAAAATTCTATTTCTCTATTAAAATCCAAAAATATATAAAAATCCTATTTTTCCATTGAATTGTTTTTTTTAATCAAAATTTTATTTTCTTTTTAAATCTATATCATATTCTTTTGAATAAAAATAGTAATTTTTCCTTAAAATCTTAAATTTTTTTAATAAATATTCAATTTTTCGATTAAAATCATAATTTTTTAAAATCAAAATTCAATTTATTTTTGCATTATAATCCGAATTTTTTATAAAAAAAAGCCCATTTCTTTATTAAAATCCAAAAATTTTAAATAAAATATCCTATTTTCCATTAAAATCCTAAATTTTTAAATTAAAATTCTATTTTTCCTTTAAAATCCTAATTTTTTAAAATCAAAATTCAATTTTTACATTACAATACTAATCTTTTGTATAAAAATCCTATTTCTTTATTAAAATCAAAAATTTTAAATAGAAAACCTGTTTTTCCATTGGAATCCTTTTTTTTAAATCAAAACTTTATTGTTCCTTTAAAATCCTAAAATTATTTAAAATCAAAATTCAATTTTTACATTACAATCCTAATTCTTTGTATAAAAATCCCAAAATTTTAAATCAAAATCCTATACTTTCATTAAAATCCCTTTTTTTTAATCAATACTTTATTTTTTCTTTAAAAATCCAATAATTTTAAATCAAAATCCTATTTCTCCCTTAAAATCATGAATTTTTTAATCAAAATTCTATTTTTCGAATCCTAATTTTTTTAATTCAAAATTCTATTTTTCACATTATAATCCTAATTCTTTATTATTAAAATCAAAAAATTTTAAATCAAAATCCTATATTTTTCCATAAAAATTATTTCCTTTTTAAATCAAAATCTTATTCTTTTGAATAAAAATTGTATTTTTCCCTTAAAATCATAAATTTTTTAATCAAAATTCTATTTTTCGAATCCTAATTTTTTAAATTCAAAATTCAATTTTTCACATTATAATACTAATTCTTTATTATTAAAATCCTATTTCCTCTCTGCCTATTTCTTTATTAAAATCAAAAAATTTTAAATCAAAATCGTATATTTTTCCATAAAAATTATTTTCTTTTTAAATCAAAATCTTATTCTTTTGAATAAAAAATGTATTTTCCCCTTAAAATCATAAATTTTTTAATCAAAATTCTGTTTTTCGATTAAAATCTGAATTTTTAATTGTCACTTTTATATGTAATTTTATTTAATAATCAAAAATATTTAAGGTTTTTTTTGTAGGAATTAAAGGCTAATACACAATATTTTCGCGAACGTGAAGCATGATGCATGAGTTAGAAAAGGATAGATATATGTATATTTGTACCATGTTGAAGTCCACAACGTTGATCAACGAAAAAAAATTTTAAACTTAGTAAATTAATTAAAAATGACGCTGCAATATTGTCACAAAAATATTTCGAAATAAAAGATTGATGTTTATATTTTGATAATAATTATTTTGCAATTAAATATTAAATTAAAAATAATACTTGAATGCATTAAATAAATTTATTTCGTTGACAAACGTTGTGGACTTTAACTTCGTTATATTTGTGTCCTCTATCTCAAGGAGAGTCCAGAATAGAGTCGAAGTCGGTATTGATATTAACGCGCTCGTCCATATGGAATACATAGGACGAGCGCGTTGTATCCAGCGCGTTCATACCGACTTCGACTCTATTCTGGACTCTCCTTCATGCATCGCCTTAATTTTTTAGTCGATTTAAAGCGAAATCTATACTTTAAGGCTGCGGTTACACCTCTGCAGGCAGCCTGCCTGCCTGCAGGTTGTCATGGTATCGTACAAGAGTAAGAGAGTCAGTGACTTCAAACTTCTCCCTTACTCTCGTTGCTCCTGCCTGCGCAGGCAGGCAGCCTGCAGAGGTGTAACCGCAGCCTAACGAACACACTACATACTGATTTCTGATTGAAAGAAAAACGTGGAGCTAAAGAAAAGTTAATCAATTTTTAAGTGCACCAGGTAAATAACAAATATTATTTATTACTATTCTAGCACTAAGAACAATAATCGCATTTCTCACACATTCGCAAAAGAATACGCAATTTTATTAACAAAACTCTTCATCAAAAGAAAGTGTAAACAACGGCCAATAGGCCATTGAGTAAAATCAAAAATCTAAGAAAGAATTATAGAAAATTTTCCGTTAATTTATTGTTGTATATATGAAAAAATGAAAATTTTGTTATTAAATGTTCTCTTCAAATAATACACGAATAAAACATAAATAATATCTTAAAAGGAAATTTCTGAAAAATTCATACTAACATAATCTAAAATACATGAAAACTTTTTCCAGGAATAATAAAAATACAGTGAGTGTAATTAAATCTAAAAAAAATAACCACATCATTGTTGAAAATGGAAAATTCAAGAGAAATAGAAGAAATCCAAATATCCAAGCTAAACAAAAGCAAACGAAAGGCTTTTAAATGGAAAACAAATTCTCTTGACCAATAAAAGAAGAAAATTTAACTCTTCATCACGCTGCTATCGGAAATTTTTTGGAAGTTCTTTAATATTTTCTATTAACAATGAATATTAAAACTATTGTCCTATTGTAAAAAAAACAACAAAATTGTATATTTTGAACCATTAAAAAAATAAAATATTCAAAAAAAAGAAAGAAAATTATTAATCGTATTTATTTTTTCACTTTCTTAAAGTGGAAACGGGTGACAGTAGTAATAGTTACACTCCTGACTGACAATTATTATCATATTGTTTTGTTGTTAAATTTTCGTGTCCAAATCAGTTATTAATTAAACTCTGCGACAATTAGGTATTTCGGAATCTTAACAGCTGTTTCATTTTTTTTATTTATATTATAAAAAAACCGTATGTAAATACAAGTGTATTTTGTTACAAAAATTCAAAATTTTAACTTGCGGTTAGAATTAATTACCCTATTAATAAAAGATTTAAAAAATAGGAAAAAAGTAAGTTTTTCATTCCTTGTGAATATAATAATGTTTAAAAAATAATATCAGTAGAAGTGATAAAAAAAATATTTTTAAAACCTAACCTCTTCCACACGAAATGAAAGTGTCACCCGATCGTGTCGCGACATTTGAAGAAAAAAGTATATATATAATATTTAATAATTAATTTAACAAAAAGGAGAAATAAACAAAAGGATTAAAAATGAAGACAAGATTTAATACTTATGATCTTGTGAGCACCATCACAGGATTGCAACCGTAAGTTTTTCTTTTCATAATATAAATATTTACAACTTCCTTTGCATCAAATAACGATAATTCAATATTTATTTACGTTCAAAAAAATAACATATTGCAATTAATTTTAGTCAATTTTAACAAAAGAAGTAAAAAATATTCAAAAAAAAAATTGAATATTACATGTTTTAATGCGCAACTATTTTTTTCTTTTGAAAATTATTTAATTTTAGGTTATGTCAAAACTATTTTTTGTATAATTTAAAAAAAGTATTAGTAATTTTGATGTAATAATTACTTATAATTCAATAATTCAGTTTATTGTAATTTTAAATAAAATTTCTTAAATATATTTCAGAAATTCAATTATGGTCAAAATTTTTTTTTAAATTTCGTCAAAATAATATTCAATTATTTTCAAAAATAATAAAATTCTTCGGAGTAATTTAATTATTTTCATAAAAAATAAAACTTGTCAAAAATTCTATTATTTTCATACCTAAATAATAAAATTCTTCGGAGGAAATAAATTATTTTAATTTGAATTTCAATAAAAATCTGTGCTATGAATTCAATTATTTTTATAAATAATACTTTTTATCGAATAAATTCAATTATTTTTAAAAATTTTAATAAAATCCATAGCTAGAATTCAATTATATACGTAAATAATAAAACTCATCGCAGAATTTCAATTATTTCAATTATGTTTAATACAATTTTAATCCGAAAAATGTAATTAAAATTCGTCAAAAAAATTCAATTATTTATAATTTTGTTAAACTTTTAAATAATAATTGAATATTAAAATGAATGAATTTCTAGAAATTATAAAAGTAAAAATTTTGTCTGGAAATCAGGGAAAAAAATTGCTTCAAACAGAACCGTTCTTTTAAAATATTAAAAAAAATATTATTTTCAGATTAATTGGTATGCGAGTAAATCAAGTTTACGACATTGATAATCGTACATATTTAATACGTTTACAAAGAAACGAAGAAAAACGTGTACTATTAATTGAATCTGGAAATAGATTTCACACGACAGCTTTTGAATGGCCAAAAAATGTCGCTCCATCTGGTTTTTCAATGAAGGTATATATTCGTCGTTTGTTTTCCCCATTTTCATTTCAGTTAATTTTGATAATTCTAAAAACAATAATAATAAATAAAAATGAAATCAAAATAATATCAATTTTCTCTTTAATAGAAAAAAATGTCTTCTAAAATTAATTTCTCGTCTTATTTATTTCCAGATGAGAAAACATTTGAAAAATAAACGATTAGAAAGTTTAAAGCAAATTGGCTCCGATCGAATAGTCGATTTTCAATTTGGAAGCGGAGAAGCTGCTTATCATATTATTTTGGAATTGTACGATCGCGGTAATATTATTCTCACCGATTACGAGATGACTATTTTAAATGTCCTGAGACCTCACACTGAGGGCGACAAAATTAGGTGACAAGTTAATAATAATAACTAATTAATATCAGTTAATTTTTCTTATATTATTATTATTATTAAAGTAAAAAAAATAATTACAATAATATCTTCAAGTAATTAAATTCGAAACAATTAAATTACGTTCAAAAATTTTAACAATATTTTTTGCAAAAAAAAGAATTCAATTACTTTCAAGAATTGTAATTAAATTCTTGATAAGAATCCAATTATTTTCAAAATTTTATAAACTTCTTGACAAAAATTACATTATTTTTTTTAACACTTTCTATAAAAATCATTCAAAGAATTCAATTATTTTTTTTCCAAAAAATTTTAATAATTAAAATTTTATTTCATTATCAATTCACAGATTTGCCGTACGCGAAAAATATCCCCTCGATCGTGCGCACAAGGAAATAATGCCATCAATTCAAGAAATAAAAAAACGTATCGAGAGTGCAAAACAAGGTGAACAATTGAAAAAAATACTCAATCTTCTCCTTGAATTTGGCGCCTCATTAATTGATCATATTCTCTTGAGAGCTGGTTTTCAATCAAATTGCAAGATTGGACAAAATTTTCACATTGAAAGTGATTTTGAAAAATTACACGTGGCACTCGATGAGGGAAAATTAATACTTGAAAATGCAATGAAAACAAATTCAAAAGGTTATATTGTACAGAAAAAGGAATCGAAAATAAATACCGATGGCAAGGAAGAATCTATCTATGCAAACATTGAATTTCATCCATTGCTATTTGAACAAATTAAAAATCAAATTTACAAGGAATTCGATACATTTGATCTTGCTGTCGATGAATATTTCTCATCGATGGAGGGACAGAAATTGGAATTAAAAGTTTTACAACAAGAGCGTGAGGCACTCAAGAAATTGGATAATGTACGTAAGGATCATAATCAACGATTAATATCGTTGACGAAAGTACAGGATGTGGATAAACAAAAAGCCGAATTAATTGCCAGGTGATTAATTCTACCAATTTTAGAATTTTTTCTTTTTATTCCATTTGCCAGCAAATGATACGCGGAACGCGGTATTCCATTTCTTATTATTTTATAAATTAATCAATTTTATATTTTCAAGAATAAATATCAATTTTTTAATGATTACAGATTTAAAATTTAAAGAATGCACTTATTAAGTACATAATATTAAATATTCTTGTTTATTATTTTAATTTTAAACTAGCAACAAACTAGCTAACTTCTTACTGCCTTTTTTAAAATAAAATTAGCAATTTTAAAAATAATAGAATTTAAAAATTTTCTAATTAAAATTTTTGTTGAAAACACTAAAAAAAAAATTCAATTTTGGAGAAATTACAAATTATTGCAGAAATCCAATTATTCCGAATAAAAAATAAAATTCTTCTTATAAAATTTAACTATGTTCAAAATTTGAAAAAAATTCTCTTAAAAATCCCAATAATCTTTATAAAGAACAAAATTCTTCTCCAAAGTTCAATTATTTTCATAAATGGCAAAAAAAATTATTGTCCTCATTTCAATTATTTTCAATATCTATTATTTTAATATAATTTCCCAAAAAGAATTAGATTATTTAAAAAAAAAACTTTATAATAAATTTGTATGCAAACATTTAATTATTTACATAAATGATAAAAATTTCACAGGAATTCAATTATTTTTATAAATAATATAATTCTTCGAACGAATTCAATTATTTTCATAAAAAAATAATTTAAAGTTCTAGAAAGTAATAATTGAATTAAAATGATGAAAATAATTTTGATGAAGTTAAGTTACAATATTCTTATAATATAAAATAATAATTTTGTTAAAAAAATTGTGATTCATAAAGAAAAATAATGCAAAATAAATAAATTTTCTATTTCTTAATCACAGTTGTTTAACAATTTTCTAATTTTGTTTAGAAGTAAAGAACAAAAATCTGCATAATTTCAATTTGACAAAACATAATATTTAACAAAATTTTAGTCTTTTAATGAAAAGAAGTGAAAAAAAATCTGATTTCTATATATTTGTCATTACAATTTTGAATTGATTATAAAATAAAAATAATTATAACATAATAATATAATATAGCAATCTATCTAAAGTTAACAAAAAACAAAAATATTAACAAAAGACAACTTCAGAATGTGAGAGACAAAAATAGTGAATGAATGAAAGAATGAAAGAACATTCAAAATATTATAGTTAATTATACTTAATTTTAATAAATTATTTTCACTACAATTTTAATAAAATTTTTCGAAAGAATACAATTATTTTATAAAATATTAATTAAATTCAATTATTTTTAAGAATTTTAATATAAATTCAATTATTTTCAACAGTTTTGATGAAATTTTTTTTAAAAAATCATTATTTTCAAAATTTTTAATAATATTTCTTCAAAAAATTCAACTATTTTCAAAAATTCAGATAAAATTCTTCGAAACAATTCAATTATTTTTATGAATTGTAAAATCCTCCGCAAGAATTTAATTATTTTCATAAATAAGAAAATTCTTGTCAAGAATTAAAATATTTTCATAAATAATAAAATTCTCCAAAGGAATTCAATTATTTTCATAAATAATAAAATGTTTCGAAGGAATTCGATTATTTTCAATACAATTTTAATATAATTTCTCAAAAAAATGCAATTATTGTTAAAAATATTATTTAAATTCAATTATTTTCAATAATTTTGATGAAATTCTTTTTAAAAAAATCATTATTTTCAAAATTTGTAATATAATTCCTTCAAAAAAATTCAACAATTTTCGAAAATTCAGATAAAATTCTTTGAAACAATTCAATTCTTTTTATAAATTGTAAAATTCGTCGCAAGAATTCAATTATTTTCATAAATAATAAAATGATTCGGAGAAATTCAATTTTTTTTCAATACAATTTAAATTTCTAGAAAAAAATCCAATTATATTCAAGATAATTTTAATAAAATTTCTCTAACAGATTAAATTATTTTTTAAAATACTTAGTGTAATAAAATTTTTCTAAACAATTCAATTGTTCTCAAAAGTTTTTAATAAAATTCTTTAAAAATTTAAATTATTTTCAAAATTTTCAATTAAAATTACTTTAAAAAATTACATTATTTTTTACGAAATTTAATAAAATTCTTGGAAAAAAAACGTAATTATTTACAAAAACTCTAATAAAATATTGTTTAAAAAAATTTAATTTTCTAGGAATAATTTTATTATAATTTAATAGGAAAATCGTTAATTACAATTAATAATTAATACGATTATTTAAAAAATTCTTCTTAAAATTCAATTATCTTCAAAATTTTCAGTAAAAGTTATTTTTAAAAAACTGCTTTATTTCCAAGAAAATTTAAATAAATTCTGCAAAACAATAAAATTATTTTAAATAATTTTAATAAAAATTTTGCCAAGAATTAAATTATTATCAATACAATTTTAATTACATTTTCCCGAAAGAATTCAATTATTGAAAAATATGTTGATAAAATTCTTGAAATGAATTCAATTATTTTCAAATTTTTTTTATAAATACTTTACAAGAAGTAAATGATTTTCAGTACATTAATTTAAAAGTTTTAATCATTTAGAAAGTTAGGAAACAAAACACAAAACAGCAACTAACTTCAAACTGCGAACAGATTACCGGATTACAACGATTATTAATATAGATTTTAATATTTTATTTTTACCAAAATTGACTTTATTTTTATTACTTTTTGCAATTTGTTTATTTTGACTTATTCAGTTTTTAAATATTTGTATTAATAATAAATTAGTTTTAGTAATAAAAAATGAATATTTGCAGAAATCAAGAATTAGTGGACGCTGCAATTGTCGCTGTACAAAGTTTATTGGCGCATCAATTTTCATGGCCGGATATTGAGGCATTGGTAAAGGAAGCGCAGGATCGAAATGATCCAATTGCACAACATATAAAACAATTGAAATTAGAAACTAATCATATATCATTATTGTTAACGGATCCATATCACGAGGATAATAATGACGACGGCGATGATGATGGTGATGATGATGATAATGAACCCGAATTAAAATCAATGATTGTTGATATTAATTTGGCGCACAGCGCATTTTCAAATGCAACGAAATATTACGATTTAAAGCGTCATGCCGCTAAAAAGCAGCAAAAAACAATTGAATCACAGGGCAAGGCATTGAAATCGGCGGAGAGAAAAACAATGCAAACATTAAAGGAGGTTCAAACAATTCACAGTATCAATAAATTACGTAAAGTTTATTGGTTCGAGAAATTCTATTGGTTCATATCGTCGGAAAATTATTTAGGTATTTTAATTTAATTCATTTAATTAATCAAATATCAATTTCAATTTTTAAATAATATCAGATTCAACATTATAAAAATAATTCAATTATATTCATAAATAAAAAAAATTCTTCAAAACAATTACTTTAAAAATACAAATTCAATTGCATCGAAGAAAATAAAAAATTTTTCGAGGAACGTTTCACACGTGAAATTTGGAGAAAATTTTAATAAATGAAATTAAAAATTACTTTTGCTATTACAGTGATTGGCGGAAGAGATCAACAGCAAAATGAATTAATTGTAAAACGTTATTTACGCGCTGGCGACATTTATGTTCATGCTGATTTAACCGGCGCGAGTTCAGTGGTAATTAAAAATCCAAGCGGAGCTCCAGTGCCACCGAAAACTCTCGCTGAAGCCGGAACAATGGCTGTGACTTACAGGTAATAAAAAATTCCATCCTTTTAATCAAATAATTGCGCAAAATTAATATTTTTCATTATTTCAGGCTTAGCACTCATTTACTAAAATCTACTATTTGCTACTTTTTTTTACGATTTGATACTATTTGGATACTGTTCTTAGATTTTTGACACTAAAAGCTACTTTCTTTTCTTTTTAGAATTTCAGGGTTGATACAAAACTTTAATTTTGTTTCTCCCTGACTTCCAGACAAAATTTTGACTTTTCCCCGATTCTAAAGAATATTCTGATCCCCCAACTAAAATTCTTCTTTAAACCAATTATTTTTAAGAATTTTTGAAAAAGTCTTTGAGTTTTCAATTTTATTTGTTCACAATTCAATTTTATGTAGAATTTCGATTATTCGGAAATTATTCAATTAAATATATATATTAGAAAATAAAAATTTGAAATAATTTTAAAAAAATTCAATTAAACTTTTTCAAAAAAATTCTAAAATATTAACTAAAAATCATTTTTAAATCAATTTTTAATAGAAAATTCCACAAGAATTAAATTATTTAAATACAAAAATAAATAATTTATTGAATAATTAAACGTCTCTCAAAATTGAATTCTCATAAAAAATTTTAATCAACAAAATTAAAAATAATTTAATTCTTTCGACGAATTTTAATAACATTTTTAAAAATAATTACATTTTTCGAGGAATTCGATTAAAATTTTATTAAAAATAATTGAAATTCTGCGATGAGTTTTATTATTTATGAAAATAATTGAATTCTTACGATGGATTTTATGAAAATTTTTGCAAATAATAGAAACCTGTAAAAAATTTTATTATTTACGAAAATAATTGAATTCCTGTGAAATTTTTATTATTTTATGAAAATAATTATAATGTTTGCGTAGAAGTTTATTATAATATAATTATTGTTAAATAATTGAATTATTTTGGAAAATTTTATTAAAATAGTAAGTAGATATCGAAAATCATTGAATTGAGGAAAATTTTTTAATATAATTGAAATTTAGCCAACAATTTTATTAAAACTTTTGAAAATGATTTAATTTCTGCAATCATATGTAACTTCTCCAAAATTCAATTTTTTTAGCGTTTTTAACTAAAATTATTCTATAAATCATTTATTTTTAATAATTAAATTAAAATATATTAAAAAAACTTAATTCTAATTTAAGAAGAATTTAAATTATTAAAATTTGTCAAGAAAAAAAAATTTCATTAAAATTTCTAATTAAGTTAATTGAAAATTGATATTTTATAAAATTTCAAATTTATACTTTTTGTAACAAGTTAATCTATTTATGAAAGTTGTAAATTTAACTGTTTTAAAATTTAATTAATTTTGAAATATTGAAGTAAAATTATTCATTAGATAATTTATAAGTAATAATTTTATGATAGGTGTTCAAGAATTAAGTTATTTAAAAAGAAATTATTGTTAGAAATAGAAAAAATTGAAGGTTTTTTCATTAGAATTCGTAGTAATTTCATAGTTCCCAAATTCGGAATTTTTTTTTGAATTCTAAAAATTTAATTTTCTCTATTACTATTATTAAAAGTTCCTGACTTTTCCCTTACTTTCCTAATCTGTGACAACCCTGTAATTATTATTATTAGTAAATAAGTTATTAAATGTTAATTAAATGAAAAAAACTGTTTTCAGTATTGCATGGGAGGCGAAAGTGGTTGCTGGTGCTTGGTGGGTAAACAATGATCAAGTATCAAAAACTGCGCCAACTGGAGAATATTTAACGACCGGTTCGTTCATGATTCGTGGCAAAAAAAATTACCTCCCCCCCTGTCAATTGGTCATGGGCTTGGGATTTATGTTCCGTCTCGAGGAAAGTTCAATAGAACGTCATAAAGGCGAAAGAAGAGTTCGAACATTAGACGACGAGAATGATGAAAGTTTCGTTGAAACGGAAAAAGAAATCGAAATCGAAGAGGGAGAAGGAGAAGACGAAGAAGGTACAAAAAAATATTTATTTACGAAATACCTCATTAGAAATTATTTCCTTTCTATGAATATTATTAATTGGATAATTTATACAAGAAATCTTTTTCCTTCCATCAATATTTTTTAATATTTGAAGCAGAATGAGCGGTAAAACTTTAATAAATATTTGTACAATTCAGATAATTTAGAGCAGGAGAAATTGAATCCAATTCAGGAACTAAATGAACTGGAAAACACTCAAGAAGAAAAAGTAGAGGAAAAAAATGACGAAAGCAGTGACGATGAAGAAAACAAGTCACTTTTTCCAGATACACAGATTAAAATCGATCTCTCCGGAAGCAAGTAATGAAAAAAATTTTTTTTTTTATTGAAAAAGGCGTTTTTTGATTATTTACTAAAATAATATATTGTTTCGTTTGTTTCTTTTTCTTCCTTTAAGAATGCATCTGCGAGTCGATAACGCGAAACCCTTGACGAATCAAGAAAACAAAGAAGTAAAGGAAGAGGAGAAACTTGAAAAAATCACGCAAAAGAAGGAGAAGGTAAATTCGCAGAATAGATCACAACAAAAGGCCGAAAACGAGGAGGAAAAGGAAAAACCAAAACCACAAGCATTGAAGCGAGGGCAAAAAGGGAAATTGAAGAAAATTAAAGAAAAGTACAAGGATCAAGACGAAGAAGACCGTCGACTATTAATGGCAGCCTTGCAGGTATTTTTCTCTCATCAAATAAAGTTCTAATCAAAATTTACATTTAGTATTTAAAAAATAACTTTTTTCTTTTATACAAACTTTTTATTTTCATTTCACTTAATTTTTTTTCTAACTTTACTTTTTATCTCAATTAAATTTTTAATATTTTTTAATTATGCTTAATTTTACTTCATAATATTTATAAATAAATAAATAATTTGAATAAAAATTTTTCCTTATATAATTTTTGTTTTTTTGTAATTAAATAAAAATGACATTGAAATGTTTGATAATTCAAGTCGGCGGGAGCAGCGAAGGAAGATAAAAGGAAAAATCGCCAGAAAGATCCCTCGGGACCAAAGCAACAAAAGAAGAAAAATGTTCCGCCAAAAAGAAAACCAATCGAGCAAAATGTCGAAATTGGCGAAAATAATATTGAAGAGGAAGATTTGGGACCGGCTCCGGAAATCGATATGTTGGATCAATTAACCGGAAAACCAGTCGAAGAAGATGAATTACTCTTTGCTGTACCAATAATTGCACCTTATAATACTTTAACTAATTACAAGTAAGTAATTTTATTCATCAATACTAAAAAAATCCCTAACTCATTTCAATTTCTTTAATATTAATCATTTTAGATTTTACTTTAATTCGCGTAACTTATTTAAATAATCAAAAACAAATTAATAACAGAATAAAAGTAATTAATTTTATCGGCTTATTAATTTTTTAAACTCAATTAAAAAGAAATTTTCTATTCTTAATTAATTGTTGGGGTCATTCACAAACAACGTCACGCTTTTTTGGACTGATTTTTACCCCCCCCCCCCTTTGTCACATTTTTTACATAAAAAAAATTTTTTTTTCACACTTCGTCACACACAGCTCGACACCCCTAGGAGTGTGACGTAGTTTATGAACGACCCCTTCAGTTTAATACCATTTTTAATTATTAATAATAACAATTATTATTAATGAAATAATTGGATAATTCATAAGATTAATTTGTCGGGAATTCAATTATTTTCATAAGTGATGAAATTCTTTCGAGGAATTCAATTATATTTACATAAATAATAAAATTCTTCGCAGAAATTCAATTATTTTTTAAAATTTTATTAAAACTAGCTACACCCCACAAAGCACAGACATTTTCTGCAAGTTTTCCATGCAAATGGAAAACTTTGCATTGCAAGTTTGCAGCAAACTTGCATAAATATAAAAATGTCACCCACTTGACAAATTTGCACTGCAAGTTTGCAGCAAACTTGCGCCAAATAGCAAAAACTTAAATGTATGCGCAGTAGTTTACTATGACATCTAGAGCTGCGCACTATATTTTAGTCACCTTCCCTGCAGGGAAGGCATCGTTCATCAAAATATATGCAATTTGAATAAAAAATTTTTTTTTTAATTTTTTAGGTATTTTAGAAAGTTTGCTGCAAATGTCAAGTAATAAAGTTTTTCATATTAAAAAAAAAAGAAAATATTTCACAGGTTTTACATTTGTTAATTTTCTAAACTGTTTGTTACAAAATGCTAATTTTTTAGAAACAAAGGAAATAATGAATAATATAATAATATTAATAATTTTTTTAGATTAAAAATATTTTTGAATTATTTAAGAAATAAAAATAATATTATTAAATTAAAAGAATAATAACAAAATAAAGAAATGTAATATTATCTATCAAAACATATAAAAAAACAAAAGCATGAATTTTGTTAAAAAATCGTTATTTCATATTTTATTTCTATTTTTTATCAAAACGAATAAAAAACAAAAGAATAACCATGACTAACTTCAGGTGTGGACAGACTGAACAGAATGAATGAATGAATACGACGATTATTATAGTTAATTCTTATCAAGAATTTAATTATTTTCTTAAATAAAAAAATTATTCGGAGAAATTCAATTATTTTCAAAATTTAAGTAGAACTTTTGTCAAAAATTCTATTATTTTCTTAAATAATAAAATTTTTCGGAGGAAATCAAATTTTCAATTGAATTTTAAAAAAATTCAATTAAAAAAATTTAATTAATTTCAAGCTTTTAATAAAATTTTTTGAAACAATTCAATAATTTTCAACAATTTTCATTAAAACCATCCACAAAATTCAATTTTTTAATAAATAATAAAGTTTTCAGAGAAATTCAATTATTTTCAATAGAATTTCAATAAAATTTCTTGATTGATTTAAATTATTTTTAAAAACTTTAATAAAATTCCTTAAAAGAATTTAATTTTCAAAAATTTTGTCAAAATTCTTTAAAAATAAAAAAACGTAAATGTAAGTAAAATCCGGTGTTTTAAAAAAATTAATTATTAAAATTAAAGATAATAATTATTAATAAATTAATTTATTACCAACTTTAGAAAAAAAAATGATTAAATTTTATTCTTTTCTTCGCAGATTTAAAGTGAAATTAACGCCAGGCACGGGAAAAAGGGGAAAGGCGGCGAAAACTGCTGTCGCTGTATTTTTGAAGGACAAACTAATAACATCACGCGAGAAGGATTTAATAAAATCAGTGAAAGACGAATCCATCGCGAGAAACATTCCCGGTAAAGTGAAAATTAGTGCTCCACAAATTCAAAAGGTGAAAAAATAATTTTTCCCCCTCTATTTTCAAAGAGAGAAAAAGATATTTTAATTCACAACGTGTAGAAATTTATGTAAAGTTTACATTGTTTAAAAAAAATAAAGTTTTTTGTAAATATTAAATTGAAAATTGTCTTCTCTATAATTCACCCTATTTGCAAAATAAACAAAAAAAGTTCAACAAAATATTTTCTTTAAGACCTAGAGAGACTGGAAAAATTCCTTTTCATTTTCGATAAATATTTAGTGGGAAATTCTTATTATTATTCTATTATTATAAAAAATAAAAAAAAACAAAAAATTTAATAAAAAAATTCAATTTGATTAAAAATATTTAATTTATTGAAAAAATATAATTCATCATCATTGAGATGGAATTTTTTTCCCCCTCTAAATAACAATTTTATTCACTAATAAAAAAAGCAATTATTTATCTACTAGGAAAATTTTTCACATACTTCCACATTCATTTTAATGTGTTTTAAATTTTAATGTTTTTATTTTTTAATGTTAAATTTTAAAAAAAGAACAAAATTTCGTGTAAGTGGAAATTTTTGTTTTTTATTTCAAAAAGTCATAATAAACATTGTGGAATGTGAGAGGGAAATAATTCCACTTGTTTAAAAGGCCACATTATTATAAAGTGGGAGAGGGATGGAAAAAAGTAGAATGAAGAAAAAAAATACTGATTACCTCAAATAATTGCAATGATCAAAACAAAGTTTTTCCCTAAAACTTTATACTGTCATTTTTTTCTTTTCTAAAAAATGAAAACTTTTTTTTTGTACTTTCTCGAAAAAAATCAGCCTCTTCTTGATTTTCTTTCTTTTCACATTATCTTAGAATCATTGTTGATCATTCATCATCGAACATATCCTTCTCGGAATTGAGACTTGAATTTTTCTTTGCTCTCGATGTCAATTTTCCTCGTGGTCTCGATCTCGTACCAACAGTGATAATCTAAAATTAAATACAAAAATTCTATTATTTTCATAAATTACATAAAATTATTAAGCAAATTACAAAATTTTATATTTTCAAATATGAATTTTTTTTAATAATTTCAGATTCAAACCTTAAAAAAATTCAATTATTTTTAAACAAAATTGAAATAAAATTTCACGAATGAAAACAATTATTTTTTTAAATTTTAATAAATACCTTAGCTAAAATTCAATTATATTCAAAACAATTTCACGAAAGAATTCAAATTTTTTTCTTAATTCGATATAAAAATTTCAACAGAATTCAATTATTTCCTAAAATTTTAATAAATTCTTCGAAACAATTCAATTATATTTATAAATAGTAAAATTCTTTGCAAAAATTCAATTATTTTTAATACAATTTTAATAAAATTTCATGGAAGCATTCAAATTTAAAAAAAATTTTTAATAATATTTCTCGAAAAAATTGAATTATTTTGAAAAAAATTATATATTTATAAATTTCTTTAAATAGTAAAATCTTTGCAAAAATTCAATTATTTTTAATAAAATTTCATAAAAATATTCAATTTTTTAAAAAAAATTTTATATTAGGGGAGACTGGGGCGAAAAGTTAAATTGTGAAAACAGTTAAAATTCATTATCTTTCGAACAGAAATAGTAAGAGCATTGCAATTTTAATAATAGAAGGGTGTTATCACCCTGAATAAATGTCCGGAGTTATGTGATATTCTGCTAATTTATGTGGTGTCCATATTTAAATTTTTTTTCACCCTACTTTTAAAAATTTTTTCGTAAAAGAAAATATCAACTTTTAAGTATATTTTTTGCATTTATTCTCACCGCGATTTTTTTACTTCATTATTTGGGTCCCCTGAAGAGATACCTAAAGGTATTTGCTAAATATCTTCAGTGAGATTTTTTATATTTGTTGTTAAAGCCAAAAACGCACCCTGGGGCGAAAAGTTAAATGTATTTTTACATGTTATTAAAAATTTTTTTTTATTTTTCGTTTTTTTGGGTTTATTTGTTTAAAAATGATTTATTTGACATTAGGCAAGTACTCTATCAAAAAACAAGACCGCTCACGTGAAATAAACCAAAAAAAATTTTTTTTTTTTGAAATTTCAATTTATTGACTTTATAACTATTCTAATGCTTTTGTTAAGTAAACAAAGATCTTTTATTAACTAAATTACTTGTTAACGTATACTTTAACTTATCTACTACTTAACACCTATCAGAAAATAGTTTTAGTAGGCTAAAAATAGAATTTAACTTTTTGGCCCAGCCATTTAACTTTTCGCCCCAGCATGGGGCGAAAAGTTAAAAAAAACAAAATTTTCAAAAAAGGACAAAACATGTATTGTATGCGAAAATATCAGAAACTTTTTTATTGAAAGTTGTAGGGGACAAGTTGCCCTACAATATTCATGTATAAATATTTGCATCTAAGCGGATTATATTGTCTAGAAAAAATCATTTATGAAAAATTTAACTTTTCGCCCCAGTCTCCCCTAATATTTTTTGAAATATTAAATTATTTTCTAAAATTTTAGTAAATTCTTCGACACAATTTAATTATATTTATAATTAGTAAAATTCTATGCACAAATTGAATAATTTTTATAAAATTTAACGAAAGAATTCAATTTTTTTCTCAATTCGTTATAAAATATTTCAAAAGAATTCAATATTAGTTTCTAAAATTTTAATAAAATTTAATAATTAAATGTTTAATTACAATTAATAATAATCACGATTATTTTAAAAACTTGAAAGAAATTGTTGATAAAATTTAATTATTTAAAAAATTTTTAATTAAAATTATTAAAGAAACTCCATTATTTAAAAAAAAATCCAAAGAAATTCTTCAAAAAGAATTTAATTAGAATTTTCAAAAATTTTAAGAAAATTCTTTGCGAGAATTCAATTATTTTGCTAAATAATACAATTTCAGTAGAATTCAATTATTTCCTAAAATTTTAATAAATTCTTTGAAACAATTCAATTATATTTAAACAAATAGTAAAATTCTCCGCAAAAATTCAATTATTTTCATAAAATTTCATGAAAGAATTCAATTTTTTTCCTAATTCGTTATAAAAAATTTCAGTAGAATTGAATTATTTCCTAAAATTTTAATAAATTCTTTGAAACAATTCAATTATATTTAAACAAATAGTAAAATTCTTTGCACAAATGGAATTATTTTCAAAAAAATTTCACGAAAGAATTCATTTTTTTTCTTAATTTGTTATAAAATTTTTCAAAAGAATTCAATTACCTATTTTCTAAAATTTCACTAAAGAATTCAATTTTTTTCTTAATTCGTTATAAAAAATTTCAGTAGAATTCAATTATTTCCTAAAATTTTAATAAATTCTTTGAAACAATTCAATTATATTTAAACAAATAGTAAAATTCTCCGCAAAAATTCAATTATTTTCATAAAATTTCATGAAAGAATTCAATTTTTTTCCTAATTCGTTATAAAATATTTCAAAAGAATTCAATTAGTTTCTAAACTTTTAATAAAATTTAATAATTAAATGTTCAATTTCAATTATTAACAGACACGATTATTTTAAAAACTTGAAGGAAATTGTTCATAAAATTTAATTATTTTTAAAATTCTTAATTAGAATTTTCAAAAATTTTAACAAATTTCTTCGCGTGAACTCAAATATTTTACTATGTAAATAATAAAATTATTCGAAGGAATTCAATATTATTAAATTTTTTGATAAAATTCTTTGCAAAAATTAGATGATTTTCAATACATTAATTTTAAAATTGAGAATTATTATTAATTATTAATAAATTCTTAGAAGAAATTCAATTTATTATTTTCAAAGATTTTGATAAAATTCTTTGCAAAAAATTCAGTGATTTTCAATAGGATTAATTTTGAATATTGAAAACATTTAAAAAGTTAGAAATCAAAAAGATTTTTCTTTATTCACCTCGGGTTCAGAGTCAGAGTCCAATTGTTTACGAGTATTCTTTTTCCTCTCCCTCATAACTCGCTTCCCTGACGATCCAGCATCACGTGTTGCCGCCTTTTTTTCCGGCGTCTCGCTCTTATCAACAACTCGCTTCTTCCTCTTTATTTGTACCTCATATTCCTCGCCTGGATCGAGATTAGCCAAAACTTTTTTCACCACATCATCGCCGCTAATGCACGAATTATTCATAATCATTGAGTCATTCAATGAATTTGCCTCCGAGCTCAGTCTCTTGAGTGCTGCAATTTTTTTCGGTACTGCCGAAAGAATATTTCCCGTCTCCTTAGTTGTAATTTTCTTTGGTAAACGTGACTGCACTTTTGACGCAACTTTCTTCTCAACTGGAGTTTTTGTTTCAATAACCGATGCAATTTTTCCAGCTGTTGTTGATTTTTTACCGCCGGAAAACACTAATTTATCGCCTGGCGTTTTACCGAGAGACTTGAGACCTTGAATTAGTGTTTGCTTAAATTTCTCATAATCGGGCGTGTCATTGAATTTCATTTTTGCCAGGAGTGAAACAAATTGTGTGATTGCCGCGGGAATTATTGAATCGGCGAAACATTGTTTGAGAAATTTATTTGTATCACTGAAGGCGGCCTCTTTTTGCTTTTGCACTGCTGAAGGATCGCTTAAATTTTTCTCCCATGGCAAAGCGCCGCAGATCCATTGAATTAAATTATAAGCGAGAATTTCTATGTCGCCTCGCATTGTCGGCACTAAAATAATAGTAGGAGGTTTATTTTAATTATTATAAATCTTAACTAAAGTATAAATATCAAAGGTGAAAGAAGTTAATTAATTTAAATAATGATAATAATATAAATAAGTAGAAACTATAAAGAAGAATAATAAAAATGTAACAATAAATTATCAAATTTAATTAAAAGGAAAGGAAAAAAATTGAAAACCAACCTCCCATGTGAGCATCACGGCTCGTGTACTCAATAGTTCCATTGTGTGCTTTTTTAGGATCTAATTTGTACTCCGGTTTTGTCGTATAATGCGACGCCAAGCCAAAATCAACAAGATACACTTGATTTTCATTTCCTCGATTAAGTAACAAATTTCCTCCCTTAATGTCAGCGTGAACGTACGTTCGACTATGAATATACTCTAAAACATCAATCTGAAAAAAGAGAAATTATAAAAAATCCAGCTGTTGTTATTTAACAAAAGAAAATAAACAGGATTGACAAAAAAATTAATTTTTGTTTTTCCCTGATTTCCAGACAATATTTTCACTTTTTCCCTGACTCTAAAGAATATTCTGATTCACTCTAAAAATTATTAGATACTCAAAAAAATTTTTCTGTTACATTTATTTACGAATTTCTTTAATTGTAAAATTATTCAAAAACATCAATAACTTCTTTTTTAAATAAATATTTAATCATTAGTCATTACTATTTTTCCAAAGGAATTAAGATTTTCAAAATATTAAAATTCAAACCTTTTTGAAATTCAACAACTTGTAACAATATTATTACAAAACAAGAAGAAGAAAAAAGAAAGAAAAAGAAAAAGGTAGCAGCGAGCAGCTCAAGGCTTGTCACTGCTACCCGACTGGTAGTATCCATTCCAAGCCTCGCGTTCCTCCCCTTATTTTATGTAGCCCTTCAATTCTTCTTCAAATCAATTATTTTTAATAATTTTTCGAAAAACTTCTTTGAGAATTTTCAAATCCATTTGTTTACAAAAAAATGTTACAGGAAATTTAGATTATTCGGAAATTCTCCAATTAAATATATAATATAAAATAAAAATTTCAAAATAATACAATTAAACTTTTTCACAAAAATTAATTCTACAGAATTGTTAGTTAAAAGTAAGAAAAATTCAAACTTTCAAAGATTTTAATTTGAACCTTTCAAAATCCAATTATTTCTAAAAATTCGCGCTATAATGCTTTTAATATTCAATTATTATTATCTAAAATTTTAACTCAAATTAATTTTTAAATCAATTTTTATCAGAAAATTCTACGAAAATTCAATTATTTAAATACAAAAATAAATAGTTTGTTAAATAATTGAATGTTTCTTAAAATTGAATTCTCATAAAGAATGTTATCTAAATTTTTCAAAATTATTTAACTCTTTCTAGAAATTTGAATAAAATTTTATTGAAAATAATTAAACTCCTCCGAAGAATTTTACTATTTATATGAAAATAATTAAACTGCTCCGAAGAATTTGATTATTTATGAAAATAATTGAATTTTTGATAAGAGTTTTATTTAAATTTTGAAAATAATTGAATTATTTTCAATAATTTCATTAAAATTTTGAAAATAATTTAATTGTTTCTAAGAATTTCATTAAAATTTAAAAAATTAATTAAATTCTTTCCACAAATTTAATTAAAAATGTATTGAAAATAATTAAATTCAATTAAAAAAAATTTTTTCAAATGTTTTAAAAATAATTGATTTTCTGGAAAGAATTATATTAAAATTGTTTAAAATAATTGAATTCATTCTAGAAATTTTAATAAAACTTTACTGAAAATAATTGAATCTCCAAGAAGAATTTTATTATTTATAAAATTTTCAAATAGTTTAATTTGAAACCTTTTTAAAATTCAATTATTTCTAAAAATTGACGATATAATACTCTTAATATTCAATTATTATCTAAAATTTTTAACTGACTTTCATTTTTAAATAAATTTTTATCAAAAAATTCTACTAGAATTCAATTATTTAAATACAAAAATAAATAATTCATTGAATAATTGAATGTTTCTTAAAATTAAATAACCGTGAAGAATTTCATCAACAATTTATTAAATAATTCATTTTTCGAAGAATTCGATTAAAATTGTATTAAAAGAAGGTTCCTGAAGTTGGCATCGATGCTCAGCATCGAAAACTATTTTTTCTTATTTTTAGTTATAAAATTTTAACTTATTTCACTTCTTTCATTCATCTAAGAAGTTAAAAACTTTTTAAGAATACAACTTCTTTAAACTTAAACCTCGGAAAAAATTGAGTGATTTTTTTCGGTTTCGTACAAAAAATATTTGCAACTTCAGGGACCTTTAAAAGAATTGAAATCCTATGATGAGTATTTTTATTCATAAAAATAATTGAATCTCTGTAAAAAACTATATTATTTATCAAAATAATTGAATTATTACGAAGAAATTCATAAATACTTTGTAAATAGTTGAATTCATGTGAAATTTGTACCTATTATTTATACGAAAATAATAAAATTGTTCCGTAGAATTTTATCAAAAATTTTTTTAAAGAACTGAATTCTTTTGGAAAACTTTATTAAGATAGTAGATGTTAAAAATCATTGAATTGAGAAAAATTCTTAAAAATAATTGAAATTTTGTAAAGAATTTTATTAAAATTTTCGAAAATAATTGAATTTCGGAGATGAATTTTATTATTTATAAAAATTATTGAAATTTTTGAGAGAATTTTTTAAAATGTTTGAACTTAATTGAATTTCTGCGAAGAATTTTATTACTTTTAAAAATAATTGAATTTCTGCAAATATTTGTGACTTTTCCAAAATTCAATTTTTTTTAGTGTTTTTTTTTACTAAAATGATCCTATAAATCAATTATTTTTAATAATTAGAATTAAATACATATTAAAAAGATTTAAGTAATTTCAGAAGAATTTGAATTATTAAAATTTTTCAATTATCTAAGTTCATTAAAATTTCTATAATTAAATTCAATGAAAATTGAAATTTTCTAAAATTTCCAATTTAACGTTTTTTTAAGTATAAAAGAGAATAAAAAAATATAAAATATTTACAATCTGCAGGCCAACTTGATAAACAGTATTCTCTGGAAAAACTCGATTATTTTCCAAAAACAATTTCCATAAATCAGTACTGTAACGTTCCATAACGACAAAACGATATTTTGTATTGTTACATTCATGACTTCCAGAACCAAGAAAACGTGGCATTCCAATGAAGGAGAGTTTCTTTTTCTTTCTCCATGATTCAACTGAAAATTAAAATTCTTTTTCAATATTTTTCTCTTCAAAAGAAAAGAAACATTTAAAATAAATTAAATAATTAATATATTGAATTGAAGTTCATTTAATAGATATGTACTTAATTAAAGTCCTAAATTTATTAAATTTTATAATTGTGACAAAAATTTTACGTACTATCATCTGATTTAGCATTTCTCATGTAAAAATGCATTTCCACGAATAAAGGTCCATTTCCATGTGGTTCCTGAAAAAAATTTCTATTACTATTTATTTTTAGTTGCTATTTTACAAAAAATACAATTTATTCTTTTTATTTAGTAAATTGTAAATAAGAAAAAACTCCTAAAATAATGAATAAAAGTAGCTAAGGAAACGTGTGTTATTTTAAAAAATAATGAACTAAATAATAATTAAATAAAACAAAGTAAATTAATTAAATAAATAGTAAACTTAACTAATAATTAACAAAACAACGTAAAAAAATCGTACGTACAATTTTAATGACATTTGGATAATCTTTTGGTGTTTTGCCAGAATAAGGTGCAGCTGTAAAGTAAAAAGAAAAATAAAATTTATTGAAATTTTCAAAAAAAAAAAAGAATTCAACTGTTTTTTACTTTTTTTCTGTAAAAAACTACTTATTTAAACTTTTTTCTCTCTACCTGAGTAAATTTCGCCAAAACCACCAACTCCAATTGAACTGCTAATAATCCATTTGTTTTTCATTAAATCAGTTACAATTTCTCCATTTGGAATTGGATCAGGTAATTTATATCCATTTGCACCTTTTTTCTTAGGCGCCTTTTTTGCCGTTGCTTTACCGGCCATTTTTCGCCTTATTCTTTATATTTTTTTCTTTTTGAGGTTAGAAATTTAGTAAATATAAGTTGACGCTCCACACAAAAGAAAACAAATTAACGAATAAACAATTAATCAAAACACTCACGTAAATAATTGTTACAGTGTGTTTAAATAGTCAACAAAAACAACAAAGAATTCTTTTCTCTTTAAATTTATTTTTTCTTTAAAAAAACTAATCTATATGTACATGGTCAACATCAACAACTGACAGTAAATTTTCTTATATGGACACTCTGTTTTCAAAAGTGTAGCCAACAAGCCGACCAATGAAATTAAAGAATTTTTTGACACGATTCAACAGGATAAATTTAACGGATTTTTTTTAGATTTTTATAATTTAATAGATTTAATACACGAATCAAACTGGAGAATAAAATTTATTTTATATCGATTATGATGAATAGTTGCTAAATTATCATTTTCTTTTTAATATATGTATAAAAAATTTATTTTTTCAGAGAGAACTGTCAGAACTGCATTAAGCTCGGAACACTCGTCTAGGTTAATAAGCTTGTCCAATTTTTTAATCATCTCTTTATTGGTATCCCTGACAGAGTGGGGGAAAAGTTTTAGCGGGAAATTTTTTTTTGAGAAAAAAAAAGAAAAATACAATTTTTGTATTATATAGGTGAGGCATTGTAATCTCTTTTTCCTCTCTTTTTGTTCGCTACAATTTTTGTTGATTTTTTTCTTTTTCAGCAATTGTGTATTTCTATTTTGCATTTTGCCAATCTTCCCCCTGGGTGAAGGGTGAACTGAGTAGCCTGGGGCTCACGTTGGCGCTTTAATGCGGAATTGAATACACTTTGCTTTTTGGAAGTTTTTTTTTGTTTTTTGTGTTGGTTTTTTTTTCTCCTTTCATTTTGTAATTTTTCGTTTGTTTTTCTTTTTGTTTTCATATTTTCTATTTTTTTGAATTACTTTTGTTCTCAACTGTCGATCTTACATAAATTTGTACTACGACTCTCTATCATAGTTCGTGAGGCATTTTACGTGAAATGTCCTAAGTTGAAATTTCAACTTCTTGAAAAAAATTGAAACTCAGGGAATTTGTTGTTCTATCAAGTAGAAATGTGCCCCAAAAAATATTTTTGATTTTTTCGAAAATTTGGAGGGGGTACGGGGGGGTCAATTTGACCAAGTTTGCTAACACCGGCTACTTTGTGAATTTTTTCTGAACATACTTGTAATGGGAAAAAATTTTTAGAATATGTTTCTGAAAGGTTTTTTCGTGCTCTTTCCAATGGTGTATTTTATTTTTTAATATTCTAAAAATTTTTCCCTAATTTTTGATAATTAATATTTAATTTTCAATTTCCCAAAAATCGGTCCGTTTTTTTTTGAAAATAAATTATTGCAAACGAAAGCTGAGGTTTTTTCCTATCGGCATGTAAATTTTCAGAATGCCCATTTTCTTTTGTTTTTGAGTTATTGAATTTCAAAGAATAAATTGCGGCGCGCTGCGTCGCGGTTGCACTGAGCCGCGTGGCAACCGGCGTGAGACGAGGCGCCCGGGACGCAATTTATTCTTTGAAATTTAATAACTCAAAAACAAAAGAAAATGGGCATTCTGAAAATTTACATGCCGATAGGAAAAAACCTCAGCTTTCGTTTGCAATAATTTATTTTCAAAAAAAAACGGACCGATTTTTGGGAAATTGAAAATTAAATATTAATTATCAAAAATTAGGGAAAAATTTTTAGAATATTAAAAAATAAAATACACCATTGGAAAGAGCACGAAAAAACCTTTCAGAAACATATTCTAAAAATTTTTTCCCATTACAAGTATGTTCAGAAAAAATTCACAAAGTAGCCGGTGTTAGCAAACTTGGTCAAATTGACCCCCCCGTACCCCCTCCAAATTTTCGAAAAAATCAAAAATATTTTTTGGGGCACATTTCTACTTGATAGAACAACAAATTCCCTGAGTTTCAATTTTTTTCAAGAAGTTGAAATTTCAACTTAGGACATTTCACGTAAAATGCCTCAGGTATATAATATAATTTTTTGTAATTATAATTTAATTTTTGCAAAAATATTAAAAATTAATCAATTTTTTCAAGAATTTTAATAAAAAATTTGAAATTATATGATTTTTGCAAAATTTTATAAAAATAAATCCGAAAAAGTAAAATTTTTAAAAATTTTAATTCACTTTTTTTCAAGATAATTAAATTTTAAAAACTTACGAAGAAAAAAATTATTTTTTACATTTATAAAATTAATAAAATATTAATTTATAATTTATGTAATCAAAATAATATAGATTTATAATTATTACAGTCAATATAATATAATATTGATTTAGAATTTATAATCGTAATATTAATTTATAAGGTACAAACAATGTAATAATTATTTAAATCAATTTAATTTAAACAATTATTAACTATTATACTTAAATTTAAATTAGTATTAATCGATTCACTCCAATTCGAATTTGGCAATAAATTTTTTAAAAAAATAGTTCACAGTATTTGTCATTTTTATTATAAAAATGACAATAAAAAAATAATTGAAATTAAAGAATTGAATTGAGAATTGAAATAAAACAATTTTTTATAGCATGAAGAAGATATCAACTTTACGATTTAGTCTCTCTAAATAAAAGGAAAAATTATTTTTAATAATAAAAAATAAAAAATTTTCTATTAACTCTGTAATCGTTGCTCTTTGCATTTTATTAAAACCTCTTTGATATAACATATATAATAATATAATTTCTAGTTTCTAAATATTATTAATACGCGCAATGTACACCAACACTGTTATATTTCAAAAAAAAAAAAAAAAATTACACACAGATTTTTCCTGTGTGTCTATATATATTTATATATTATATTTTTTTTATTGGCTCGGTTTATTTTTTCTCGATAGAATAAAATATTTTGGATGGATCATTTTGATATAAATATATTTAGTCACTCGCAAAAAAATATTTAATTAAAAAACTAAAAAACATAGACACAGTAGAAATCATAATTATTCTTTAAAAAATGCTTGTGTAAAATAAAAATATTTCGCCTGCGATGAAAAAAAGTAAGAAACTTTTAAATATAAATCCTTCTCCAAACCTTTTTTTTAATAAGTAATTTCTATAAAAGTCATGAAAAATAATTTAATTATAAATAATAGAAAATAATTAAATTCCGAAATTTTTTTTCCTTTTTTATTTTAAAAGAAAACCTAATTAATTTAAATAAAAAATATCGCAAATAATATCAACTTAATTTACAGAAAAAACTGAAATTGTAATTTTTTGTAAATTTTCTACCTTAAGAAGCGTAAAATAATTTAAATAAAATTTAAAATAAATATAAAAACTCTAAAAATTATAATTTTGTTCAGAATTATTTTTGTTCGGAAATTAAAAAAAAAACAAAAAGCTTGCGCTATTTTAGAGAAAAATTTGTACCAATATAAAAAAAAGTTTTTAAAAATAAAGAATACAAGAAAATATATTTTAAAAATATTTTCATACAAAAAAAATATTTTCCAAATAGAAAATTCTACGAGTAAAATATTTAAACAATTAGAATGAAAGCAATTATCATGAAAATTAGTTAAAAAAAATGAAATGAAAATTTTTCTGTTGAGAAGAAAAACTTGAATTGAAAAAAGCACAATTAATTTTAATTAATGAAATAATTATTAATTATTAATTATTAATTATTATAATAAATAATTATAATAAAAATTATTATTTATAATTAATTAACTAAAGCACAATTTTCTTACATTAAAATTTAAATTGACAGTTTCAAATCTTTGGTCCGACTTTTTATCAAAAAGAAAGAAAAAAAATCGTCCAATTTCAGTCTCTTTTTTCTTTTTTACACATTTTTTTTGCATTTATTTAAATTAATGCGAATGAAAAAATTTTTTTGTCCGATTATCATTTCGCAATATCGCAAATTTCCAAGAATTTCAAAAATTTTCTTTTATTCACTGCGCGAAAATATTTATTTAAAAGTTTCTCTACACTATCAATTATTATTTATTTTATTTAAATATGAAATAATTGCAAATTCTTGTGCTCTTTTAGCAAAGAAATTTTTTTATTATTATAAAAGTTTTTCTATATTCACTTTAATATTAATTTCTTAGTTTATTTATTAGTCAAATAAATTTTTGTACCTACAAAAAGAATTTTATTAAGTTTGTTAATAACAAAAGAAAAAATTACACCTAATTTTATTTGAATTATGAAGTAAAATTTAAACTGAATTTTGTTAATTATAAAAAGTAGTTATTTTTTGTAATTTTGCACCCAAAAGAAACTTTTAAATAATTATTTTTTTTGCACCTAAGAGAAACTTTTAAATATTTAAAAGGAAAATTGAAATATTTTTTTTAAAGAAGAGAAATTCGATTGAAAAGAAAAAAAATGCCGGTGAAAAAGAAAATTCTCCCCACATCACAAAGCTTGGAAGCATTAAAAAACCCAAGTGCGATAAATAATTTGAGATTTCTGAATGTCGTAAAAGTAAAATAAAATTCTACGATAATAACAATAATAAAAAAAAATTAGAGGGTTTAGATTTAAACAAATTACTTTGCGATATGATGAGAATTTCTCTTTTTGTTTTTCTCGAATAAAATCAGTATCATTGCACGTAAAATTGGTGTGAATACTTTTGGTCGAGCACATTTTGGCCCTTATCACAAATCAAGATAAAAATATTAACGAAAAAACGAACGTTTTTCTTTTTTTTTTCGTCTCTATTTTTAATGGTAATTTTTTTTTGCAAAATTAAATTTTTTGCATTCTCGCGTATTTTCGGTTTTTGTTTCTTGCAAACAGTGATATAATTGTTTTTTTCTTTTCTTTTCTTGGAAGATAGAAATTGAAAATAATATTAAATTTTCAATTCCGAACTTACGAGGGAGACGATTGCGTGTTCTTGTGTTATTGCAGCGAGTTCCTTGAGCCACTCGTCCAAAACAACTGCACAAAGAATGACATTTTGCACGGGCGTTATTTCACTTGGCGATTCCCACGAAGTTTTCGTGTAGTACCTTTAAAAAATCATTTCAAATTTGAGATATTTTTGACATATTTTTTTTTTATTGTTAATATAAATTAATTACCGTTCTAAGCTTTTTTTATTTTATAACTAGCCAAAATATCCGCGCGCAAGCGCGCGGGAATGTTCTACTGAACTGTTTATTTTAAACAATTTGAAGGCATTTTATTTTTAAAAATTTGTAAAGAAATAATAATTATTATTACCTAACAAAAAGTTTGAACTAATTAAAGGTGGAAAAAGCTAACAATTATAGAGAATTAAATTTTCATTTTATATTGTTTAGAAACTTTAAAGTTTACAAAAAAAAATTTAACAAATTCGAACTTCCAATTTTTTTTAAATTCTAATAATTTCCCTCAATGGTCTCAATTTAAATAGAATTTACATTACTGGACCTAAACTATGGCTAAAACAATTCCAATTAATATCTGGGTCATAAAAATGAATTTAATTCACAATAATAAAAAAATTTCCACAGCCGATAATCATCAGGAGGGGAAAAATTATTTTTTGAGCGAATTCTATCTTTTGTATTGCTTATTTTAAAAAATATAAAGCCATTTTAATTTAAATACTTTTTAAAGAAATAATAATAACACACTGAAAAATTTTTTACTTGAAACAGCGATAATTTTCTCTAGAATAGCGAAAGTATTAATTGAAGCACTAAATTAAAAAATTAAATTAAATTAACATCAGATTTTGTAAAGTCAAAATAACGAATTCAACATAGACATTAATTATCTCAAAACTTTACCAAATTCACCCCAGAAATCACTGAATCCGATAAATTAGAAAAAAGTCATACAATGGAAGTTCTATTTTGAATTTCTAAAATTTAATGTTATGTTTACCGCATTAGAAATAAATTTCAAGTGAATCCGATAAATTTTGTTACTTTCTTGTAGTACAATTGTAGTAAAATTGAATCTCGCAAAAATTGTTACATATTTTATACTTTTATTTCAAAAATAATTTTGATTACGAACATTTAAATTATTCTAAAAATTAAAAAAATTATTATTTATTTAGCTTTTTAAACAAAGAATTCCGTATCTTTCGAAACTAAAATAACTGTTAGTTATTTTCACAAATAAAGTTTTCCACAAGAATTGAATTATTTTAACTAATAACATATTCATAATATTTATTATATATCGAAAAAATTAATTATTATTGAAAACAATGTTCATAAAATTCTTATGAAGAATTCAATTACTTTTAAAAATAACAAAATTTTGCACAGAAATCCAATTCTTTCTAAACATTTTAATAAACTTTTCCGCAATAATTCCATTATTTTCAAAAATAATAAAATTTCTCAAAGGAATTAAATTATTTTTGAAAATTTTAATAAAATTCTTAGCAACTATTTATAATTATTATTATAAATAATTCTTCAAAAGAATTCAATTATATCGATAAATAAGAAGATTATTTCCGAAAGTTAATTTATTTTGAGGTATTTTAATAAAATTCTTTGCAAAATTCAATTATTTTCATAAATAACAATATTCATCACAATAATTCAATTATTTTTAAAAGTAATAAATTTCTTCAGGGAAATTCCATTATTTAAAAAAATTTTAATAAAATCGTTCGCAAGAATTCAATTATTTTCATAAATAATAAAATGTTTTTTAGGAATTCAATTATTTTCAAAAAAATTTAATAAAATTTTTACAAACTTTTCACAATTCAATGATTTTCAATATCTACTATTTTCATAAAATTTCCAAACAGAATTTAGTTATTTTAAAAAAATTTTTCATGAATAATAAAAATTTTTCAGGAATTCATCAATTATTTAAAAATTTTTATAAAATTCTTCTCAAGAATGATATTATTTTTATAAATATTAGTTAAATTCTTTCATGAATATTAAAATTAATTGCAGGAATTCAATTTATTAACAGGATAAGAAGAAAGTAAATATTTTTTATGAAAATTAGGAAAAGTCAGGAATAAAAAATATAAATTATAAAAATAATAATTTAAAATTAATAACTGATAATAATATAATAATAATTTTATACTTGGGGAATCTAGAAGTAAAAATAAAAATGAATTAAAATAAATTTTATCAAATATCTTTTAACAATATTATATTAAAATAATAAATAATATTAAATTATGGACACCAACCTTTAGACTAAATGATAAAATTATTTAGTTAATTAAAAATTTAATTCAATATAATAAATTGTATATAGAATTAAATATTGAGAATAGGAATGCGTCTTGTAAATTCTACATAGGTCCTAACCGTTAAAAAGTTTGACATTAAAAAAAAATACAAAATGCCAATAACCCACAAAAATTAATTTTCAAAACAAACAAATGAATGCAGAAAATTTGCTAACGGAAAGGAAACTTACGATTATTATAATGTATATTCACTTAGTTATATTTTATATTTCTCTCAATTAGTATCGAGAATAAATTAATTACCGATATCCAGAACCATCGGGAACAATTTCAAGATGATTTTCTGAAATACTTGAGGGCGGACTCGTTAAACTGGAAAATGGAGAACTTCCACTCGATCTTCTGAACATTTGCGTCAGTGATGAAGTTAAACTCCGTCTCTTTAGTTCGCCTAAAAATTTAAAATATAAATTAAAAATAGAAAGAAAAGAATAATTTTCGATTGAAATTATAGACTTGAAAATTAAAATCTTTCCTCTCTTTTGTTCACTACCTCTCGAGAATGGCTCACTATTTGTCGTGGTCTTCGTTTCCGTCGTTGAAGATCGAGCGGCAGCTTCTAAAGCATTTTTTCTCGCATTCACAAGTTTGTCCTCACGGCCAATGAGAAAATTCCTCGCCTGTTCAATAAGTAAATCAACTTCCTCGTGCTTCGATAAAAATTGATCGATTTTCTGTTTCAACGAGGCCAACACCTGCAAAAAACAAATAAAAAGACAAATTATATCCGAATTAAGAAAAATAAATAACAAAATTACTTTCTCTTTCGTTTACTCCTTTAAATTTCAATTTTCTTTTGAATTATACAACAAAAAAAAAAGAAGTTATAAATACGATTTTCGTAAAAGAATTCAATTATTTTTATATAAATAATAAAATTCTTAGCAGGATTTCACATATTTTCAATACAATTTTAATTGATTTTTTCGGAAATTTAACTTATTTTAAATACAATTTTAATTGAATTCCAGGGAAAATTAAATTATTTTTACATTCTTCGTAAGAATTCAATTATATCAATAAATAGTAAATTTTTCTCAGATATTCAATTATTTTAAAAACAATTTTCATAAAATTCTTCTCAAAAATTCACTTATTATTTAAAATTTTGCAAAAATTCAATTATTTGCAGGAATAATAAATTTTTTTGGATATATTAAAATTATTCATAGAAAATTAATTTCTTTTAAACAATTTCATTAGATTTTTTGTAAATAATTACATTTTTTTCTGGAGAATTGCATTAAATTTCGTAAAAATAATGTAATTTTTTAAAGTAATTTTAATTGAAAATTTTGTAAATAATTGAAATTTACAAAGAATTTTATTAAAAACTTTTAAGAACAATTTGAATTGTTTAGAAAAATTTTATTACAATTTTTAAAAATAATTGAATTTGTCACAGAAATTTTATTAAATTTATCTTAAGGGGGATTCCACGGGTAAATTACACAGTTGTACGTGACAAGTTACCGATTTGTCTCAAAGTTTTTAGGCGTATTCTACCTTCAAAAATAGTGATCTAGCCAAAATTTTAAGTGCCTATCTCATAAAGATCACTCACAATCATCAATTTCATGAAAAGTGCCATTTTTCAAAACTAAGATTAAAAAATCCATTTTTGCTTGAAATAATGTCAATTTTGGTCTAAAAAAAATCGGAAAAGTACTAGTCGATGGGAAATTTTCCAAAGAATCCAATGCCGTTGGAATTTTTGAGATATTTCAAAACGCATGCGCAGTAGATTAAAAAAACTACTTTTTAAAAAAAAATTTATAACTCAAAAACACCTTTTTCGATTTGGCTCAAATTTTCAGAAAATATAGTTGAAAAGCCATACTTTAAAATGATTATTCCGGAATTCTGGGTATTTTGAGTTTTTAGCCATATTTTTGCAAAATAGTGAGATAATTCGATTTTTTTCAATGTTTCCTTACAGTTTTTCCCATTTTGTGCTTATACGCAGCTATATAGAAAAAATTTGAGCCCAAATTCACAATCCTTGGAAAATTTCCAATCAATTTTATATATATTTAAACTTATTTTTATTTATTTTAGACAAATTTTAACAGCAAAAACAAATACAAGATATAATTAAGAGTATTAAAAAGTTGCGCATGACGATTAGGGTAGCCCAAAAAAATTTTTGAGTGGAAAAAGCAAAAAACCCCTGCAATTTGTTCCAATGCCAATAAAAAAAAATACGTATTTTTTATTTTAAAAAATATTGATATTAACCACCGAGCATTTCAATTTTCCCATGTAGAATGCATGTGAAAAATTTCAATTTTCAAAAAATCATAATCATTTGCGAGGGTTTCAAAAAAGTTAACATTAAGCTATTGGGATTTATAGAGCGCTTTCCGCCAAGTAATTTGACTTATATAACTTTCAATTTTTACCATCCCTACCTTCTAGAGCCCGGCCCCAAAGTTACCCATTTTTTGGAAATTTATAATTTAACGTGTTTTTGTGGTATAATATCGATTTTTCAACGTTTTTTGTCGGATCTTGTGTTTATAATAAAATACGTAGTTACTTTTATTGACATTGGAAAAAATTGCAGGGGTTTCTTGCTTTTTTCCACTCAAAAATTTTTTTGGGCTGCCCTAATCGTCATGCGCAACTTTTTAATACTCTTAATTATATCTTGTATTTGTTTTTGCTGTTAAAATTTGTCTAAAATAAATAAAAATAAGTTTAAATATATATAATTGATTGGAAATTTTCCAAGGATTGTAAATTTGGGCTCAAATTTTTTCTATATAGCTGCGTATAAGCACAAAATGTGAAAAACCGTAAGGAAACATTGAAAAAAATCGAATTATCTCACTATTTTGCAAAAATATGGCTAAAAACTCAAAATACCCAGAATTCCGGAATAATCATTTTAAAGTATGGCTTTTCAACTATATTTTCTGAAAATTTGAGCCAAATCGAAAAAGGTGTTTTTGAGTTATAAATTTTTTTTTAAAAAGTAGTTTTTTTAATCTACTGCGCATGCGTTTTGAAATATCTCAAAAATTCCAACGGCATTGGATTCTTTGGAAAATTTCCCATCGACTAGTACTTTTCCGATTTTTTTTAGACCAAAATTGACATTTTTTTAGGCAAAAATGGATTTTTTAATCTTAGTTTTGAAAAATGGCACTTTTCATGAAATTGATGATTGTGAGTGATCTTTATGAGATAGGCACTTAAAATTTTGGCTAGATCACTATTTTTGAAGGTAGAATACGCCTAAAAACTTTGAGACAAATCGGTAACTTGTCACGTACAACTGTGTAATTTACCCGTGGAATCCCCCTTAAATATAATTGAATTTTTTCCAAGAAATTTAATTAAAATTGTATTGAAAATAATTGAATTTCTTTGTAGAATTTTATAAAAAAAATTTAAATAACTCGTTTTTTTCGAAACAGTTTATGCCAATTCTTTTTTAAATAATTGAATTCCAGTGGAATTGTTACTATTTATGAAAATAATTGAATGTTTGACTAGAAAAACAAGAATATTTAATATTATGTACTTAATAAGTGAATTCTTCAAATTTTAAATCTGTAATCATGCAAAAAGATAAATTGATGTTTATTCTTGAAATTATAAAATTTGTTAATTTACAAAATGATAATAAATGGAATACCGCATTCCGCGCGTATCGTTTGCTAGTTATAAATAAACTATTTATTAGTCTTATATATATTAAAAAATCAAACCTGAAAAAGTGATCTTATACTGGGCTGAAAAACCAGCGAATGATTGAGAAGAAACGATTGGAGCAATGGTTGGGGATAAATAGCGAGCCTACTGATAAGTCCCGTGAGATGTAAATTAACATAGACATTATTCGACATCATGCATTCCAATTTTCTCAGTAGAACATCAAGAAAAATGCCCACACTCGGTTGACCATTAATAATTGTTCGACGAAATGAATGCTCCTTATTCAATGTTTCTCTACTCGACGATATCGTTTCATAAGACTCCCTGAGACCATGAATTTGTACACTCGCCTCGCTACACGTTTCAATTATTGTCTCCTCGTGCTCACTAATACGATCTTCATTTGATTCATTGTCAGGCGTCGATTCCGCTGATCCTTTAAAAGCAAAACTCTCATATCCACTGCTCTCGCCAATCGATAACAGGGAATTCATCGCCGTATTTGACTCGTCAATTCCGCTGTCGGAACCTGTTGGAAAAAAGAATTTCATCATTAAATAATCAATAAATAGTTTAATTATTAAACAGGGTTGCCACAAAAATTTAATCTTGTTTTTCCCTGATTTACAGACAAAATTTTCACTTTTCCCTGAAACTAAACTCGATTCGAATCGAATTTTGCACAGCTCTAATTATTTTCTAAAATTTTTAACTAAAATTCTTCTATATAAATCAATTATTTTTAATAATTTTTGAAAAAGTTCTTCTTGAGAATTTTCAAATCCATTTATTTACAATTTAATTTTTCGTGAAATTTCAATTATTTGTAAATTCTTCAATTAAATATATATTAGAAAATAAAAACTTCAAGTAATTTAAAAAAGAAATTCAATTAAGTTTTTCAAAAAAATTAATTCTACAGGATTGTTAGTTAAAAATATTAAAAATTCAAATTTTCAAAGATTTTAATTTGAAACCTTTTCAAAATTCTATTATTTCTAAAAATTTAGTTTATAATGCTTTTAATATTCAAGTATTATCTAAAATTGTAACAAAAATTCATTTGTAAATCGATTTTTATAAAAAAAATTCTACGAATAATTACATTCTCCGAGGAATTCGATTAAACTTAGATTAAAAATAATTGAAATTCTGCGATGAGTTCTATTATTTATTAAAACAATTGGATTTTTAAAAAGAATCTTATTTTTTTTAAATAATTTAATTTTGAAGAAGAATTTTATTATTTATAAAGATAGTTAGAATTTTTACGAGAATTTTTAGAAATTTTTGAACATAATCGAATTATTTATAAGAATTTTATTACTTTTAAAAATTATTAAATTTCTGTATTCATTTGTATAACTTCTCGAAAAATCAATTTTTTACTGTTTTTATCGAAAATTTAACGAGAATTCAATTATTTAAATACAAAAATAAATAGTTTATTGAATAATTGAATGTTTCTTAAAATGGAATTCTCCTAAAGAATTTTTTATCAAAATTTTATTATTTATGAAAATACTTGAATTATTGATGTGAGTTTCATTTAAGCTTTGAAAATAATTGAATTGTTTCTAAGAATTTCATTAAAATTTTAAAAAATAATTAAATTCAAATAAACAAAATTTTATCAAATTTTTTAAAAATAATTGATCTTTCGGAAAGAATTATATTAAAATATTCAGAATAATTGAATTCTTTCTAGAAATTATAATAAAACTTTATTGAAAATAATTAAATTCTTCAGAAGTATTTTATTATTTATAAATATAATTGAAATTTTGACAAGAATTTTATTAAAATTTTTAAAAATAATTGAATTTCGGAGAAGAATTTTATTATTTATAAATATTATAATTCAAATTTTGCCAAGATTTTTATTAAAATTTTTAAAAATAATTGAATTCCTAAAAAGAATTTTATTATTTATGAAAATAATTGAATTTCTGCAAAGAATTTTATTACTTTTGAAAATAACTGAATGTTTGCGTAGAATTTTTTCTATTTTTTTTTAAATAATTGAATTCTTTTGAAAATTTTTATTAAATTAGTAGATATTTGGAAATCATTCAGTTGAGGAAAATTTTTTAAAATATGTAATTGAATTTTGTCAAGAGTATTAAAATGTTTGAAAATAATTGAATTTTGGAGAAGAATTTTGACGAGAATTTTTAAAAATTTTTGAAAAAAATGGACTTTTTTTACTTGTGAAAATAAATGAATTTCTGCAATAATTTAGAATTTTCTTATGAATTTTAAAAATTAAATTTTTTCCAGTACTCTTAATAAAAATTTCTGACTTTTCTCTGATTTCTCTGACCAAATCTACTTTCCCTACTTTTCTCTGAATTCCCTGACTTTCCTGATTTGTGGCAACCTTGTTAAATAATTTTTTTTAATTTTTGCAATACCTTTTTTATCCAAGTTCTCCTCAATAGTGACGCCGGTAATTTCCTCACTCAATAATTCAGCGATATCGGCATCCAATTTCTCTTGATTTTCCCTGGAGATAATTTTCGTCGACTCTAAAAAATTCCCCTCACTATCGCCACTCACCTCCAATAGTGATTGAATATTATCGAGAATATTTTGCATCTGAGAATTATCAGTGACATCCTCACTAATTTCCGTCCTACTTTCCACATCCATTAAACATGCATCATTATTAACAATAATAATATTATTATTATTATGACTACTATTACTATTGACATTATCGTCGGCAAGTGTCGTGACACTACTCGTATTACTACTGTCATGTGGCGGTGATTCTCCATCGTAGAGACTCGTCCAATTTGTGCAGGCAATTTGGCAAGAGGTAATTTTTTGTCGCGCATCACAAAGATATGCATGATAATTCCCATAGAGACTTTCAGTTGTACGTGAACTGTAATTACTTGTTGTTGTTGTTGCTGTTGTTGTTATTGGTGGTAATGATTTATTGACATTATCATTTATTGTTTGTTGGGAATTTTTTCTTCTAACTGATGAAGGCACTGGTGGCAAGGAATTTGGCGGCGTTGAAACAATGGCAAATGGTTGACAACATTTTGGCGCGAGTGAGAGAAATTTATCGGCAGCGCGTGCAAATGGATCGACATCGCGTAACCTTCGTCGTTGTGACAGCATTACATGACTGCATGGTGTTAATGCAGCGAGACATAATTCCAGCATCACGTCTTCGCAATTCAAATTTATTAGCGTCTCAAAAAGTGCGAGTGTCACTATACAGAGCTGAAAAATAGAAAAACAAATTAGAAGATGCATATATATTGAGTGGAAAAGAATTTATCAATCAATCCAAGTCAGGTTTTGTTTTAGAAAAACAAATTATTTATTTTTGTAAATCATTGAATTCTTGTAAAGAATTTTATTAAAACATCTAAAAATAATTGAATTCCTTCAAAAAAATGTATTATTTATGAAAATAATTGAATTCTTGCTGAGAATTTTATTAAAATTAGCGCGGCTAACTTCTTAACTACTTTTATAAGTAAAATTAGCAATTTTAAAAATAATAGAATTGAAGGGCTGGCTGCAATAAGGGGACGAACGCAGGGCTCGAAGCAGTGAAAGTATTTAAAAATACGGACCATTTACGGACCAACTGACAAAAATAGAATCAGGCCGAATCAAATAAGAGAATATTTTACTTAAAACTAGAAATTCAATTTTTCATAACTATAAAACATGAAGAAATCGATAACTCCGAGTCTTCGACTCAAAGTTATCGATTTCTTCATGTTTTATAATAATTAATAATAATTAAAATCATTATCAATTCAATTATTATTTTTAAGAATTTTCATCTAAAATTCTTCTTTATATCGATTATTTTTAATAATTTTCTAAAAAGTTCTTTGACAATTTTCAAATTTATTTCTTTACGCAATATTCAATTTTACGAAATTTCAATTATTCGTAAATTCTTTAATTAAATAAATATTAGAAAATAGAAACTAAAAATAATATTAAAAAACTCAATTAAACTTTTTCAAAAAAACTAATTACTAAATTCAATTATTTTTTCAAAATTCACGCTCTACTGCATTTAATATTCAATTATTATCTAAAATTTTAACTGACATTCATTTTTATTGAATGAAAATCAATTTTTATTAGAAAATTCTACTAGAATTCAATTATTTAAATACAAATTTAAATGTAAAAATGCAAATAAATAATTTATTGAATAATTGAACGTTTCTTAAAATTCAATTCCCATAAAAAATCGTTATCAACAAATTTTCAAATAATTAATTATATTAATGGAATTCGTCGAAAAAATTTATTAAAATTAGCCAAAAGAATCTAATTATTTAAAAATTTGTTGAGAAAATTCTTTATGACAATTATAATTTAAAGAAACATTCAATTATTCAATAAATTATTTATTTTTGTATCTAAATAATTGAATTCTCGTAAAATTTACTGATAAAAATTTATTTAAAAATGAATTTCAGTTAAAACTTTAGATAATAAATAGATATTAAAAGTATTATAGCGTGAACTTTTAGAAATAATTCAATTTTAATAAGGTTTCAAATTAAAATCTTTGAAAATTTTATAAATAATAAAACTCAATTCAATGATTTTCAATATTTACTGTTTTAATAAAATTTTCCAATAGAATTCAATTTTGTTAAAGAAATTATAATAATATTCTACGCAAACATTTAGTCATTTTTATAAATAATAAAAATTTCGAAGGAAATCAATCATTTACAAATTTTTTTTATAAATTTCTTCACAACAATTCAATTATTTTCATAAATAATAAAACTCATCGCAGAATTTCAATTATTTTTAATGCAATTTTAATCAAATTTCTCGAAAAATGTAATTATTCTTAAAAAATTTATTAGAATGCGTCAAAAGAATTCAATTATTTACAAATTTGCTTGTTGGCAAAATTCTTTATGACAATTATAATTTTAAGAAACATTCAATTATTCAATAAATTATTTATTTTTGTATTTAAATAATTTAATTCTTGTAGAATTTTCTAATAAAAATTGATTTATAAATGAATTTAAGTTAAAATTTTAGATAATAATTGAATATTAAAAGGATTATAGCATGAATTTTTAGAAATAATTGAAATTTAACAAGGTTTTAATTTTAAATCTTTGAAAATTTGATTTTTTCATACTTTTAAATAATAATTCTGTAGAATTTATATTTTTGAAAAAGTTCAATAGAATTTTTTAAAAATTATTTCAAGTTTTTATTTTCTACTTGTATATTTAGTTGAAGAATTTCCGAATAATCAAAATTTCATAAAATTGAATTTGATTTGAAAATTCTCTATTCTAAGAACTTCTTCAAAAATTATGAAAAATAATTGATTTAAAAAAAATTTTAGTTATAAATTCTATAAAATAATAATTAAATTGAAATTATGAAAATAATTTAGAAGAAGTTACAGTAACAGTATTCTTATAATATAAAATAATGATTTGAAATTTTTGAAAATCTTAATTTTCATGAAAAAATAATAATAATTAAGTAATTATTTAAAGAAGAAGTTATTGTTTTTTTCGAATAATTTTACAATTAAAGAAATTCGTAAATAAATGTAACAGAACATTTTTGTGAGTAATTTTTTCCCTTTATTTTCTAAAAATTCAAAATATTTCTACATATTTCATTTTCAATTAAAATTTCTTAATTTTTGAAAATGCTAATTAAATTTTTTTGAAGAATTTCTTTGAATTTTTTTAAATTAATGAAGTTTTTTTTATAATTTTAATTGAAAATTTTGAAAGTACTTAATTAATTTTTTATAAAATACAATTTACGATTTTTTTATTATAGAAAAAAATGTTAAAAAATGATGAGAGCAAACTCACCCGAGACTTAGACGATATTCTTTGGATTAAGCTGTCAAGAATACGGCAATCGTCAAAATTGTCTTCCAATAAAAATCGAACGAATGAACGTAACAATCCGGGTTCGGTAACTGAGCGTAGAAATAAATCGAAATATGCAGTCGCTGCAAGAAGATCCTCCACCGAAGACTGTAAATTACAGGAAATGAAATTTAACTTTCAATTTTGAATTTCATTTTGCCCATTTTCTCCTATCATTTATTTTATTCAAAATCGTTAGCATGCTTTTTTCAATACAATAAATAGAAAATTTATATTCTAAAGTTAACGAATAATTAATAAATAGCAAATAAATATTTTTAAGTACTGATAATTGCTATTCATATTACTATTATTATTAGTTTTACTACTATTACCACTTAAAATGATATTTATTTTACAAATTAAGTTTCAAAATGGCAAAAAATTATTATAAACAATAATTATTAATATATTCAATTCAAAATTATTAGTTTATCTACAATTATTATAATTATACGAAAATATATTAATTATAATGAAAGAATGAAATTAAATTTGCCTTTGTTAATTATTATTAATTATATTAATTATAATTAATTTTACTTTATTAAATTATTAAAGAGAAATTAGTTATTAAAATTTCCTGTAAGTACTTTCTAAAAAAGGCGGAATTTAGAAACAAAAGAACCTGTAAATAAAATAATAAAATAGAGAATTATGTAATTTAATAAAAGCTAATAAATTGAAGCTCGTGCAATTATTTTTTTTTTAAATTGATTATAATGTTTTAATGAATAGGTGTATTTGACTTGGTACGAACCCTGTTTTGCGGTGCATCAAGCTGATCTATAGTCAAGTGAAGAGAATCCTACAAAGCAAGATGGATAATCACCTCAGAGCCACCGACAACCACAAACATTTAAATAAAAAATTACCTCAACCTCTTATTTTATGTAATTTTTTAAATTTTACTCATTTTTTCGATTATATTTATTAATAAAAAATAAAAGAAAACTATTTAAAAAATTTATTTTTTAATTATTACACTTTTAAACCATCACCAAAAATGCAAAAAAAAACAAATCTCACCAAATAAAAAAATTGTTATTAACTTCAAAAAACACAGAAAAAAAAATTCCCATGATAAAAAAAATGCTAAACTTCAAAAATAACAATTTAAAGATAAATTTTTCAATTTTTTTTAAGTCTACGATAATTTATTACATTTTTTTGAATATTGGAATTACAAGGGAATATTTTTACAAATTACTATTCTATTTAAAAGTTAAAAAATAGTTGAAATGAACACTATTCTAGTTAATACAAAAAAAATTTGTAAAATAATGTTTGAATTAATTAAACTCGAAAGAAATGGATTTAAATTCTAAAATTATAAATGAAATTAATTTATAAAAATATAAATTTTTATACTAAAATTTACTAATAAACAACAATCAGGATTGCCACAAAAATTTCCTAGAACTTTCAACTAAAACTCTTCTCCAAATCAATTAAATTAATTAATTTTTGACAAAGTTCTTTTTGTGAATTTTCATATCCATTTGTTTACAATTAAATTTTACGTGAAATTTCGATTATTCGGAAATTCTTCAATTAAATATATATTAGGAAATAAAAACTTAAAATAATTTAAAATAAAATTCAATTAAACTTTTTTTAAAAAAATTATTTCTGCAGAATTGATAATTAAAAGTATGAAAAATCCAGATTTCCAAAGATTTTAATTTGAAATTCTTTTTGAAATACAATTATTTCTAAAAATTCATCCTGTAATGCTTCTAATATTCGACGAGAATTTAATTATTTAAATTGAAAAATAAATTAAATTTCCTACAATGGAATTCCTATAAAGAATTTTATCAACAAATTTTTAAATAATTGAAGTTCTGCAATGAGTTTTAATATTTATGAAAACAATTGAATGTTTGTCTAGAATTTTATCAAAAAGTTTGTTAATTGTGCGAATAGAATTTTGTTAAAATTCCAATAAATAATTGAATTTCTGGGAAGAATTTTAATATTTATCAAGATAATTGAATTCATTCGAAGAATTGTGTTGAAACCTTAAAAATAATTCAATAACATATGTATATTAAAAAATTCAACTATAATTTCAACAGAATTGAAATGGAAATTTTTCAAAAAAATAAGTTCTATTGAATTATTGATTAGAAGCACAAAAAATGAGGGTCCCAATCAAAGAACCGGTTATAATTTTTTAAGCTCAAAATCATTGCCCTGTAAGTAAAAAATTAAACTGTTTTTAATCTTAATTTTTTGAGAAACATTTTGGTAATCTTTATACAAATACGAAATGTTTTCAAGAAATTAAAATTTTAAATCCTTTTTTTATTTAGTGGTCGAGAATTTTGAGTCTTAAAAACTTATAACCGGTTCTTTGATTGGGACCCTCAAATTCAGATTTTTCAAAGATTTTAATTTCAAACCTTTTTCCAAATTCTATTATTTAAAAAAATTTCTATTATTCATAACTTCTACAAAATTCAATTATTTCCTGAAATTTTTAACTAAAATTTTTTCCTAAATAAATTATTTTTAATAATTAAATATATTATATTACAAAATTCAACTAATTTCAAAAGAATTTGAATTAAATTTTTTCAAGGAACTAAGTTTTTTAAATTTTCTAATATTAAATTCATAACAAAATTCAAATTTTCTAAAATTTCAAATTGAAACCTTTTTAAATTCTATTATTTAAAAATATTGTAAACGCAATTCTTATAATTAATTTAATTAATTTTAATTTTCAAAAAATGAATTTCGAACAAAATTTCAAATTACAAATTTTGAATTAAATTAAATATTATCAGCATCGAATTTATTTTGAAAAGAAACAAAAACTCAAAAATTATTGAAAAATCGCCAATGAAGCTCGCAACACTTATAAATAATGAAAATAGTTTTGATTAGAAAAATAAGGAAATAATGATTTTAAGCTAAAAAATTGGATTTCCTCAAAATGGATCTAATTAGCAAAGAAAAGGGTAAATTGCAATGCACTCATAAAAAAAAATAAAAATATGTAGGATGATAATATTCGACAATAACTCAGAAAAGAAATTAGAAAAGAGAATTAATTTAACAAATTTTTTACCTGTAAAAGAGCATATCCCATAACCGGAACTAAAAATCCATTGTACAAAAAGTCGAGAACTTGTTTTTGCACTAATGGGTGGGCAACTTGTGCCACTGCATTACAGAATTCGAGATAATTTATTAATTGCGTGAGAGCTGGCATATCGTTGATATCGTCGGGTGTCAAACGATGCCAATCATCTGTTTCGATGTCTAATTTTTTCGGCAAGTCTGAATAAAGAGCATTTATCACCATCGCCAACACCTGAATCGAAACAAAAATTACTATTCAATTTGTGGAAATATTTTGGTTTACAAAAGATATTTTTCAGAAACAATTTCAAAATACAAAAACTATTTCAAAATTTTTCAAAAACTATTTTCAAATATTTTAAAATGATTTTAAAATAGTTTAAAAATATTTTTCAACTGTTCAAAACTATTTAAAACCATAAAGAATATTATTTAACTCTTTAAAACTGTTAAAAATAGTTTCTTTTAATTTGTTTTACCACTTAATAGTATTAAAAATATTGTTTAACTGTTTAAAACTATAGAAAATGTTTTTCAACTGTTTTTAACTATTTTCAACTATAAAAAATATTTTTATCTATTTAAAACTACAAAATACTTTTTTACTGTTTAAAAATATTTAAAACTATTAAAAAGGTTTTTTTTAACTGTTGTTAACTATTTAATTTTATTTAAAATATTTCTTCATTAAGTAAAAAATTTTAAAAAAATTTTAACAGTTATAAAACTTTTTTTGATTGTTTTTTTATTTTCTTAAACTTTTAACTACTAAAAATTTTTAGTAGTTTTCAATAGTTAAAAACAGTTTAAAACTATAGAAAAAAATTTTTTCAACTATTTAAAACTATAAAAAATGTTTTTTATAGTTTTAAATTTAAAAATATAAAAAATATTTTTTTTACTAATTAAAACTATTTGAACTATAAAAAATGTTTTCTAACTGTTCAAAACTATTTAAATCTGTTAAAAAAAATTTACAGTTTAAAAACAATAAAAACTATTTAGAAATATTAAAAATATTTTTTAACTATTAAAAAAAAAATATTTAAAGTAGTTGAAAATTTAAGATTAAGAAACAAGATTATTTTAAAAACATGAAAGAAATTCTTCATAAAATTAAATTATTTTCATTAATAATAAAATGTTAATATAAAATTTCTCGAAAGAATTCAATTATTTTTAAAAATATTAAATGAAATTCAATTATTTTCAATAGTTTTGATAAATGTTTTTAACTATTTAAAGCTATAAAAAATATTTTTTTTACTAATTAAAACTATTTAAAACTATAAAAAATGTTTTCTAACTGTTCAAAACTATTTAAATCTATTAAAAAGAAATTTACAGTTTAAAAACAATAAAAACTATTTAGAAATATTATAAATATTTTTTAACTATTAAAACACATTATTTAAAGTAGTCGAAAATCATTTTCAGAATATTTAGCGAAAAAATATTAACGAAATTCGTTTCTTCAAGAATTCATTTTCATGAAAGAAAAAAATTAACAAAAAACCTACTGAACAAACTCCAGTGGACGTATCGGCAATGTAACTGCCAACTTCATCATTTTTTCTCGATAATGACATACAAAGTAGCATCGCATCTCTCGCTTGTTGGCCAACTCCTCCTTCACGATGAATATGCGGTATTAAAAGTGTAAATATAAGAAACCTACAAAAAATATTAATTATTAATTTCCTTTGTTGCAAATTTTCAAAGGAATAAAAAATTACTTTTTCCTTTATTGCACTACAAAATTAATTTCTTTTTTGTTTTGAGAAAATTCAACAAATTTACTTTTAAAAATTCAAAAAGTTTTCTTTTGAAAATAACAAACAGTTTAAACAGTTTTCTCCTGAAAATACAAAATAGTTTTATTTTGAAAATACAAAATACTTTTGTAAATAAGAAAATAAAATAAAAATAATTTTATAAAAAAAATAATTACAAAAATACTTTGGTAAAAAAACGAAAATAAATTTTATAAAAAAAAAAACAAAATATAACTAATATTGTAAAAAAAACAAAATTAAATAACTTTTTAAAACAAGAAAACATAATGAAAATAACTTTGTAAAGAAAAGTAATTTAAAAATACTTTTGTAAAAAAAGAAACGAAAATACTTTTGTAAAAAAGAAAACAAAATGAAACTAATTTCGTAAAGAAAACAAAATTAAATACTTTTCTAAAAAAGAAAACATAATGAAAATACTTTTGTAAAGAAAAGTAATTAAAAAATATTTCTATAAAAAAATACTAAAACGAAATAAATTTTGTAAGGTAAATAATTCAGTAATAATTTTTGTAAACAAAATAGAAAAATAATTTAGTTCCAAAAAGAATACGAAAATAATTTTACGAGAGAATTCCTTAAAAACAATATACGTTAATAGTATTATTTTCTCACTTATTTTTCTCATTTGCTTTTGGATGAAAGAAAAGATCCAGAAGTGCAAGATTTTGCATTAGAGCAACACAAAGTTGATTAAGTAAAATCACGAGCTTCTTTTCGACTTCAAAAGGCATAACATCATTGGAGCATTGTTCCAATAATCGTAACAATGGTCTTGCCACCGGTTCGTGCGCTAAGAGTGCACTATTATAAGAGACCAAAAGTTCATACAATTTCAATTGCTCCAAACGAACAGCATTATTAAATCTGTAAACAAAAAAGAAAAGAAAGAAAAGAGAACATTAATTCAGCATTTTTAAAATATTAACAGATATAAAATAAAATAAATAAAAATAACCCTAAATAATAAAAAAAATCCTTTTTGTTTCCTTCAGGTTATTTAAAATCTTTTTTTCAGTAAAATTTCTAAAAAATCTCATAATTTTCAAAACGTATAATAAATTTCTTGAGAAATATTCAAATATCTTCAATAAAACTTAAGAAATTTTAATTATAATTCCTAAATTCAATTATTTAAAAAATAATTAAAGCAATTCTAAAATTGAGTTAATCTCAAAAATTTAATTATTTTCAAAATTTTTAAGAAATTTCTTGTAAAATATTAAAATATTATATTCTATAAAAATTAGAAAATGATACAATTTGTTTATAAAAATTTAATTATGTCAATTTTTTAATAAAATTCTTGAAAAATTAAATTTCTTTTTATAGAATTTAAAAACTAATTTTGCAGAATTTTAAATACAATATTTCTTTAAAGAATTCAACTATATTCGAAAATTTTGATTAAATTCTTCGCAAAACTTCAATTATTTTCATAAATAGTAACATTCTTTGGAATAATTTAATTATTTTCAAAAAAATTTTAATAAAATCTCAACAAAGGATTCAATTAAATTTTATCCCATTTTTTAAATAAAATTTTTCGAAAGAATTCAATATTATTTTCTAAACTTCTAATAAATTCTTGGAAACAATTCAATTATTTTTAAACATATTAAAATTCTTCGCAAGAATTAAATTATTTCTATAAATAATAAAATTATTCACAGGAATTCAATTATTTTTAATACAATTTTAATAAACTTTAATAATGAAATATTTAATTATAATTTTTAACAGACGCGATTACTTTTAAAATTTGAAAAAAATTCTTTGTTTAATTCAATTATTTTCCAAATTTCTAATTAAAATTATTGAAAAACTACATTATTTTATTATTATATTATTAAATCTAATAAAATTGTTTAAATGAGTTTAATTTTTTATCAATAATTTTAATAAAGTTTTAATAGTAGAATTATTAATTACAATTATTAACTAATAACTAGCCAAACTATCCGCGCGCAAGCGCGCGGGAATGTTGTATCGAACTGTTTATTTTAAACAATTTAAACTCCATTTTATTTAAAAAAATGTTTAAAGAAATAATTATTATTACCTAACAAAAAGATTGAAATAATTAAAGGTAGAAAAAGTTAACAATTATAGAGAATTAAATTTTCATTTTATATTATTTTGAAACTTTAAAGTTTACAAAAAAAATTTAACAACTTCGAACTTCTAAATTTTTTTTTTAAATTCAAATACTTTCACTTAATGGTCTCAATTTAAATAGAATTTACATTACTGGACCTGAACTATGGCTAGAACAATTCCAATTAGTATCTGGGTCATAAAAATTAATTTAATTCACAATTAATAAAAAAATAGCCACAGCCGGTAATCAGCAGGAGGTGAAAAATTATTTTTTGAGCAAATTTTATCTTTTACATTGCTTATTTTAAACAATATAAAGCCATTTTAATTTAAATATAGTTTTTAAAGAAATAATAATTATTACACACTGAAAAAAGCTTTACTTGAAACAGCGATATGTTTCTCTAGAATAGAGAAAATATTATAATTGAAGCACTGAAAAATTTCGCTAATAAAGTGAAATCTGTAGTTTATCCAGGTAAATATTTTTTGTCGTGCATAACAAAAAAAGAATTAAATTAACATCAGATTTTCTAAATTCAATATAACGAATTCAACATAGAAATTAATCATTTTAGAACTTTATCAAATTCACCCCACAAATCACTGAATCCGATAAATTAGAAGAAAGTCAGACAAATGGAAGTTCTATTTTGAATTTCTAAATTTTAATGTCAAATTTAACGCATTAGAAACGAATTTTAAGTGAATCCTATAAATTTTGTAAAAAAAAATTACTGCTGTTAAACTTTCATGTTGTACGAAGAAAATTGAATCTCGCAAAAATTGTTACATATTTTATACTTTTATTTTCAAAATAATTTTGATTACGAAAATTTTAATTATTCCAAAAATTAAAAAAATAATTATTCATTTAGCTTTTTAAACAAAAAATTCCGTATCTTTTGAAACTACCATAACTGCAAAAAATTAAATTAATTGAAAAATAATAAAGTTAACAACTTTTAATTCTAATTTCTTTGGAAAACAAAATATCTATAGTATAATTATACAAACTATAACTTGCATTAATTATTTAATTACAAGATGTAATATAATATTATAATGATAGCCCCTAAATTTTAATTCTATACGTTGGTTGTTTAGTTGAATTTTTAACTTAATAATTATTATTTACTCGGCAGGTATGTGTCCATAATTTAATGACAACATTATTTTAATATTGGGAATAGATATTTGATGTAATATATTTTTAATTGAAAAAATTGACAATATATTTTCATTGATTTGTTGAATATTCTTTAAATCACGTATTAATTAAAAACATGAAAATTAAGACACGTTAAAAGTTTATAAAATAAACATGATATTAGACAATATTTTTATGTAATAAAAAAAAAATATAAAAATAAAACTTGTATTAAATTTATTATTATTACTATTTTATAAAATATACTTTGATAATTTAAATTTATGTTGTAGTCTTTAATAATACCTATATAGTGATTATTTTAAATTATTATGAAAATAATTAATAATTAATAATTTTAAATTATGAAAAATAAATATTATATTTTTAACAATTACATTATGTAGAGTTTTACAAGTTAAAAAATTATTAAAAAGTTAAAAAACTAAATATTCTGTAATTAAGAAATTTATAAAAATAAAATTCAATTGAATGTAAATTATATCAAATAACTTTTTTCAATATATTGAAATAATGTTAACATTAAATTATAGAAAATTATTTACCTTTAGAGTGAATGATAGTTGTATAAAGCTAAAAATTGAATCAAACACAATAACAGTACTGCCAGATGATTAAAACGACAAATCTTCAGACTTTTCTTATTTATCTTCAGAAATCTTTAAATTAGTCAAAAAACTTTCTTCAGATTTTGGTTGTAATTTTTTCTAGAATATGATAAATGAAATTAAATTTCACAAAGAATTATAAAGAAATAAATTAATTTTGCTGTGTTTGAATCTGTTCGCAATTTGAAAGTAAAAGTTTTCAATGTTTTTAATTTTAAAAATTAATGCACTGAAAATGATTAAATTCTTGCAAAGTTTTTATTGAAAAATTTGAAAATAATTATAGTCATTTGATTTTTATAAAAAATTTTTTTAAATAATTCAATTCTTTGCAAAGAATGTTTTATTAAAATTTTTTTTAAATTATTTAATTCTTTCGAAAACTGTTATTAACATTTTTGAAAATAATAAACAAGAATAATTAATTATATAGTTAATCTGAAATTAAAAAATTAATGTTTATATTTGAAAATATAAAATTTTTTGATTTGCAAAATAATAAATGGAACTTTAACAAATACTTTAGTAATTAATAATTATTACATTTATTATTATAATCATAAAAACGTAAAGAACAAAAATTATAATTTATCTTTAAAAAATGGTTTATTTCACAAAATTTTCAAACAATCTTCAAGTTTTTACTATATATTTCTTCCAATCTGGCAGCACTGAACAATAATAACATGAACATTGAAAAATTTGACATTTAAAAATATAAAAAACATATAAAAAATGCCAATACTTAACCCACAAAAATTAATTTTCAAAACAAACAAATGAATGCAGATAATTTGCTAACGGAAAGGAAACTTACGATTATTATAATGTTATAATTATAATTATAATTATAATGTATATAATAATAATGTATATTATAATGTATGTATATGTATAATATAATTGTTATTTAATAATAATATTAATAACGCAGCTTAATGTTTATTATATTTTTACAACTGTTAAATACGTTTTGTACTTTATGTATGAAGGGGACTCAATGCCCGTAAATAAATAAATAATTAACAAAATCGATTATATTCAATAAATTAAAGAAATTCTTTGAAAAAATTCAATTATTTTCTATATTTTCATAAAATTCGCTGAATATGAATTAAATTATTTTAGAAAATTGTAATAAAATAAATTGTGAAAAGAATTCAATTACCTTTCAAAAATTTTAAGAAAATTCAATGAATAAGTGTTTAATTTCAATTATTAAGAAACAAGATTATTTTAAAAACTTGAAAGAAATTCTTCATAAAATTCAATTACTTTCAAAAATTTCAAATTACAATTATTAAAGAAATTAGATTATTTTAAAAAAATCCAAAAAATTTCTTCAAAAGAATTTAATTAGAATTTTGAAAAATTTTAACAAAATTCTTCGCAAGAATTAAATTATTTTCATTAATAATAAAATTCCTTGAAGGAATTAAATTATTTTCATAAATAATAAAATTCTTTAAAGGAATTCAATTATTTTCATTAATAATAAAATTCCTTGAAGGAATTAAATTATTTTCATAAATAATAAAATTCTTTAAAGGAATTCAATTATTTTCATTAATAATAAAATTCTTCGGAGGAATTCAATTATAAAAAAATTTCTCAAAAGAATTCAATTATTTTTAAAAATATTAATATAAATTATAATATTATAATTAATATTATTTTCAATCGTTTTGATGAAATTTTTAAGAAAAATTAATTATTTTAAACGTTTTAATAAAAGTTTTCGATTGAATCCAATTATTTAATAAATTAAATTTTATTTTCGGAATAATTTCGAATATGAGTATAGGAACAAATATAATTTAATAAAAAAAAAAAGGATTTCTTACTTTCCTGTGTATAAACTCCAGTCGAAGAGTTTATCAAGTAAATTTTCACTGAGTAAGTACTCTAAGCATGGAGAGTGCGTAGGCGATGCCGTGTTCCGGTGATTAGGCACCGTGGAATTTCGAAGTTCCAACAAGAGAAGAGTCACCATCTGATCAACATGATTCACCACACCCAGGACGTCGTCCTGCTTTGGAAATCCCTTTGGAGGCTAAATTAACAAAAAAAACAAAAATTTATTTTTCTCTCTCGAAAAAAACTATACATTTATATAATTCTAAAATTGTTTTTAATTCTAGAAATATTAAAAAAACAAATAATACCAACAAAAAAGACAATAACAAAAGCAACAAAACAGCATAAATAGAAAAAAGTAAAGAAACAAAAAAAAAATAAAATAAAAAGTATATTATTTTTATTAAAGACGTTTTTTATTTTTCAAAATAATAAATAACAACAACAAAACAGCATAAATAAAAAAAACTAAAGAAACAAAAAAAAATTTTAATTTCAACTGCACTGTATTCACTTGTAATGTTGGTAAATCTTGCTGAATAATTTTCAAAACAGAAAATGTATTTTCCTGAGAAGAATCCTCAAAGTGGTAATCAGTAATGTTTGATAAGTATCAAAATTTGTAGAGTTTAGTATATTTTTGAATTTTTCTAAATCTATTGATCTTAATATATAAATTGTCTGATTGTTCAGAGGAGTCGGTGGTTCTTTCCCTATACAACACGACAGAAGATAAATTACTTGCAGAGTAATTGTAATTTTAGTTGTCATGTAATTTTCGTTCATCTTGCCCGACTTCGTAAACAGGAAATGACTTTGCTGATAGCAACTTGTTAGTAAAGTACAAGTTTTGAAATCATTTTTTTCAATTTTGTAATATTCTGTGGATGTGTTGCATTCTTTGTAACATAGCAACAAAGTGAACTTAACAATTTTACTAACAACAAATTGAAAAATTGCTCTGGATCGATTTGTTGTTATTTCAGTCACTAAGCAACAGAATTAATATTTCTTTCAGTTTTATCAACCACTAAATCATTGTCAATTTTTTCCATCTAATTGATGAAAATCTAAACAACTATTCTTCCAATGCAGAAAATTTTGCCAATCTTATCTATCAATAATTCACCGAGAAATACAAAACAAGAGAGACCGAATCCCAAACTAAAAATGTAGAACATCAACATTCTTAAATAAGCATTCTCATCTTCATCTGCCGCCTCCAAATCTACGGTTATCATCTCACTATTGATATAATCGACCAATTTTACCTTCCATCGTTCTGAAAGTCCATATTGCTGTACCAACAGAAACAAATCCTCAAATCTTGATCGATACGGTGAAGAAGGTTCAAGTGCAAGTACTTCCATCGTAGAGTAAAAATTATCCGGAATTACATTAATTACCTCTCGATCATTTCTATTGTACTTTAACAAATACCATTCGGCCATTAATTTCTTCATGATACAAGCAACATTTTTCCTCTCAATCAAATCTTTCAAACACAATTCATGAGAGAGGAAAATTTTCTGCTTCCTGCTAACCATGTTAATGATCTCTTTATCCTTCGTAGACGCAATCAAAAAGAATGTATTAATCTGTAAGCCAATGTCAAGATTCGATTTATTCAGATCCATGAAGCTGTTAATTTTAAACACATCATTCTTCTTTACACTGACACTTGTCAGCAAGGCAAAAATTTCTGACGAAAAGAAAAATGACGCAAACACCATTGTTAGAAAAATGATCCGTCCGCGAAGTTTCTCTGGTTCCTTATTGATTGACATGCCAAAGGAGATTTGTATAATTGTCGTCATGCTGAAAATTGAGTCATCAAGATGCCATCGATATTCGAAAATCCAGATTAAAAGGACAATTCCAACCAGAATTGGAATTGTGTAATAAAATGCGGCGCCCATAGAAAATGAAAATGAATCTTCTAATGTTGGTACTAATGCGGTAAGTTGTTCGAATTCTAGATTTGCATATTCACAAGGAGGATAAATTGTCTTCTTATCGAAAGGTGTAATGTAGCCAATTGTCAATGAACGAACACCAATATACTGCAAAAATCCGTTCATTACCTGATACATCAAACCTGTTGATTTCGCCTTATTGAATGAAAACTTTCCAAAATTATCCTCCAGTGTTGGTACCAAAATCGATTGAAAATTCATTCTTTCCGCAAATATTTCTCCCAAATACACATCCTTTCCTAAGGTTTCCACTGGATGATGGGTGGAGTTCCTTCTCACGTACGCCAACGGTGGTAATTGAAATAATCCAATTTTCATTGGATAACGATTCATATTTCGACATTTATCAGGAAATAATACCAATTTTCGATTGAATTTCATATTCTTGTAGCCGACGAAAGGATTGAATTGATGAATTCTAATTGTATTTTGATTTTCATCAATTATCGTGACGTCGAGAAAAAGTTTCATCCACATTTTCCGGAGGAATTTCTCCGTATTAATCGTTTCCAAAAAGTTGATAATTAGACATCTTGGTCGCATTTTCGTGCCTGTCATGCGGACAATTTGCATCATTGATTTCTCGATATTGGCGAAATCCTTCTCTTCGTTTATCATCAAAAATAATGACGTGTCTCGTAAATTTAGAAATGCTCCAAAAGTGAAGAAATCTGCAATACTTTTGTCATTAAAGTGTGTAGAATTCAATTGTAGGCATGGTAAATTTTGCTGCATGTGTCTCAGGAAAGGAAGTGTATTCTGATTGTGGTCATTGTCACTAATCAGCAATGTTTGATAAACATCGAAGTTAATCAATTGTACGATATTGTCAAATACTGACAGGGTTTCGTTGTAAGAAATGTCTTTACCACTGGCAAATATGGATGACAAAAGTAAAACTAATGTTAGAAGAAGCATGAAGCTTTCTCTCCTTTTCTTCTCTTGAAACATTCTTGAGGGAGAAATTTTGAATGCCTGTTATATTTAATTTGAAACTTTGTCAAAAAAACCACGGTTATGAGTCGAAAAACTTCGTTCTGTTTGTAGCCTATCGTAACTTGGTAACAAAAGTAATTTTCAAAGTACATTTCCTTAGATGTTTGTTGCTTTCTTAGTAACTAGGCAACAAAATGATAGACTGTTGTCTGCAATTTACAGGCTTCGCACTCAATTATGAGTTTAAAAAAAGTAGGAAAAAGTAGCCTCGACGACAAAAAAAAGTAGGAAATAGTAGCCTCGGTGACAAAAAAAAAGTCGTATACATACATATATTGACCGTGAAAAACCGGGAATATGCCAGAAATTTTATTCCAAACCAGGAATTTTCTCACCAAATTAGAAAAAGTTTTATTATTTTAATTTGTGTTCAAAAAATCGCTTTTTATTTCAATTTTTGTAGATATTTATACTGTTACTCTAAATTTAAATTACAGTAGAGACTCCATTATCCGGACCCCTATTATCCGGACAAATTAAAAATTTTTTTTTTTAATATAAAGTTTATAAGGTCTCAAGCCGTTAACTTCTATTTTAAATTTCTTTACACGAAATGTTGCGTTTTAAAGTGTTTTAATTATTTTAAGAAAATGTTTATGTAAATATTTTAAAACATTTCTAACTAAATATTTATTAATGTTAACTTTAAAAGTTTTAGTTTGTTTCAGTCTTATTTTAATACATATGCAAATAAATACATAAAATTATGAATCAAAAATTTGTTTAATTCGTACTTTACTCGATTATCCGGATTTTCGATTATCCGGACAAGTAACTGCATCCATTAGTCCGGATAATGGAGTCTCTACTGTAGTTAAAAATAATTAATTTGATAGTAAAAAATCAGTCACTGATTTAAATATAGTTTGTAAATAAATAATTTAAAAAAAATTATCGAACTAATAGAAATTTCGTGAAATGCAACTGAAAATAATAACATTTATTAAAGAATTTCATTAAAAACTTTTAACAAATCGAATTTTCAAAGTATTTTAATTTAATAATCGATAAATAATTAAATTTTATAAGGAGTCACATTCTAATGTATTCATGTTTCTTGGTGCGACGATTAATACATAATTAAAATTTTTATTAGTTAATTTAAAAAAAGAAACACACTTCAAAATTTTTAATAAATTTAAATGTTTGTAAAGTTTTTTTGAAAATTTTAAAAAATAAGATTTTTAAAATTTTTTAATTCTGTTGTTTCAAGATAATTGAATTTTTATAAACAAATGATAGAAAATTTTTGATATGATTGACATTTCTTTACAATCTATTAAAAATAATTTACTTCCTTTAAAGAATTTTATTTAAATTTTTCCAAAATAATCCAGGGAATTTAGTCACTGTAATTATGATTTTATTTTTAAAAATTTCTTCGCATTACATTCAATTATTTTCATAAATAGTAAAACTTGAAAAATGTAATTATTCTTAAAAATTTTATTAAAATTCGTCGAAAGAATTCAATTATTTCTAGAAACTGTAAAAAAATTCTTCTTAAGAATTCAATTATTTCCATAAACAGCAAAATTCTTCAGATTTATTAAATTCTTTTGAATATTATTTTTAAAAAATATTCCTCACAAGAATTCAATTATTTTCTTAAATTTCCATAAAATTCTTAAAAAAAACAATTCAATTATTTCAAAAGTAATAAAATTCTTCGCAGAAATTCAATTATGTTTAAAATTTTTTTTGAAATTCTCCTCGAAATTTCAATTATCTTTATAAATAATTAAATTGTTCTCTACAATTCAATTATTTTCAAAAATTTTAATAAAATTCTACGTAAACATTTAATTGTTTTCATAAATATGTCATAACATCCTTTGGAAGGATTCAAATACTTTTATAAATAGTAAAATTCTTTGCAGAAATTCAATTAGTTTTCAATAAATTTTAATAATATTGAATTAATCAAATTTTCAATTATAATTATGAACAGACCGCAAGGTTTTTTTTTTAAATTGAAAAAATTCTTTGTTTAATTGAATTATTTTTCAAATTTTTGATTAAAATTATTAAAAAAAACATTATTTTAAGAAAATGTAAAGAAACTCTTCAAAACAATGTAATTATTCATAAAAAATCTAATACAAATTTTTTAAACCATTTGTAGATTTATTTATGTTCGAAATCAAATAAATTTAAATTTGATGAGAAAATAAAACCGGGAAAAATTAGAACAAAGCTAGGAAAATCGGTAATTTAAAGTTAT